ACAATGAAGACACCTGAAATAACAACAAAAGCAAATAAGAAACAGCAAGAAAAACACAAGATACACCGAACATATCGGACATGTCCGTTTTGAAGCCATGTCGGTCTTCGTTTTGGTAACCTTCATGGTGCACGTGTCATGTGTCTGCGTTCAGGTTCGTGGCTCCTATCAGGCTTGAGAACGGATGTTTTTGGCAAATTATCAGGCATTTGTGATATTGGCTTGATTCATCTCATGCATACCTTCGCAACCACGTGTGTTTAAGAATACGGAGCGGTCGTGGTGTTTTGCTTTGCTGATGATTGCTTGATGATTCTTTTCGGAACCCAGGGTTACACGTACAATGTGTGTCAGTGGTTGCCCAGCCCTTCTACCCAGTCCTACTGTCAGGAATGATGTGCCATGAATTGCCAAATATTTTTGTTGTGTGCTGCGCTGCCAATGTTTTGCCAATGCATGAGAATGATTACACTGCATGCACACGACCATGGCTACAAAACCCGTGCTTATGTAGCCTACGCAGCAGAACAACAGGACAAAGTTATCATGTTCACTGTGACACCACATAATGTCAGCATGTCATGGAAGCATGTGGTGCTTGGCGCGGGGTTGGCAAAAGGCACGTGCGAGTGCAGATTCTTGCGGCAAGAGCACAGGCATGTGCATCCCCTGTTTTGTTATGCGTTTTCGTTTTGTGGAAAGGGTGCCGAAGGTCAAACGTCTTCGAGGGTCCCACTGTTTGATTACGACTGCGCATCTGTGCATGGAAGGCTTGGGGCCCCAGCATCAGACGTGCATGTTGCTTTTGGTTGTGGCGAAATAAGTATAGCGATGAAGTGCCAGAGGTCAGCCACCATCGATTGGGAGCACCTGTATGAAGAGGTCCTTGCATCGGGGCAAGATGGGGCAGTGACAGGTTTCTTTGGTAGTGTGACCATGACCAGTGTGCTTCTTTGGCGCTTCAGGGCAGGGCTGAATTGCATCTCCCTTTCGACTTCAGCACATGTGCCTAACTGGATGCTTTACATCAGTGCTTTGGTTCCCATTGCATTGCAATCCAATCCCTTTGAAGAATTTATCCTGTGAACAGCTGCTGCGCGCAGGTGTCCTTCAGTGTAGAAGAGGCTCAGCGAGGCACCAGCAGTGCAGGGTGATTTGGTGTAAAAACATTCAGACTGAATGATGGAGGCTTCGTTGCCCCGCAGCCCCCAGCAAGGCGCGAACTGCTGCGAAACTGATGCCGCTTCACTGCAACGCGCGGACAGATTGTAGAGCTTTACGCAATGTGATAAGAGAAGACTGTGTCAGAATGTGCACAGTGGTACCGCTCGTGTTTCTGCAGCGCAGAATCTCAGATGTTCTTGTCTTGTGTACGTCTGTTCGTCATAGTTTTGGATCACAGCTTTGTATGTGCGTAGGTAGGATTTGAAGTGGTGTGCGACATGCCGATTGAAAAGTCGCCAGCTCGTAATGGAGATCTTCCGGTTCTACTCGAAGGTGAAGAGATTCGGTTTTCGGAGCCCAAGACCAGGCCTGGCCAGTCAAATGAGTCAAACCATGTCACATGGTACGGTGCAAGGCCAAGACTTATACCCCATTTGGCCACACGGTGGTCTCTTTCGTAGGGTTGCTGTCAGGGCTCCGGGAGTCTAGGAAAGCTACACTTCAAGATGTTGTCCTACACTTCCTACGCACCACGAAGTGCTTCACGCCCTTGTTTCATCAGGCTTTACACCCGCCAGCATCTTGAAGGTGAGGGCGTGTTGCATTTGACCACGAAGCGCTTGGTTTGGCTTGGTGGTCCTGGCTGCGCCATCGACTATCCTTTCATCACCATGCGCCTTTGCACGAGGTAGATGCAGTCCTGAACCCGAAGATGCAATCCGGAACCCGAAATCACAAACTCTAAGCCTCTAAGCCTTGAAGGCTTTGATGTCTTAGGGCCTAATGGGGTCCAGGGGCATGCTGAGGCATGCCGTTTCGCGGGACAAGAATGCCTGGCCAGATCCTTGCTTGTACTGCCAGCTGCGCGAAGAGGAGGCAGAGGAGGAAGAGGAGGAGAAATCAGCTTTGAATGACAAGCTTTAAGGCTTCAGCATTCTTTTTTTCTTTCCAGCAATGCTCTATCCGATTCCATCTTACAGCCTGTATCATATCACGCTTTCAGGTTTTTGATATATCCTTGCGTGCGCTCCGCCAGGAGGATCCTAGCATCCCGGAGTTAAGATTTGTCCCTGCTGAGCCGGCTCATCTGCAGGAGCAGCTTGTCGGTTTGGCACTCGAGAGCTTAGATTTTCGCGAGTGGTTCCGTGCAGGAAGTGACGGCAGATTGCAGTGCATGTGCCCTCTGTGCTCCTTAAGGATGTTCCACGTGTTCTCCGAGATGTCTGCTCTGAATCCCGACCCATATGACGAACAAGGGGACGACAGCGGATCCGAGCCAGACTTTGACGAGTTGCTGGGCGGTCAGTGTCAACCCCAGAGTGAGCTTGGCGTGATGTGGAATGCAGAAGCCAATGATGCAGCGATGGAAGATGCAGATGAAGATGACGACGAGCACATGTAGCGGGCAATGTTTACAGCATGCCCTTGAGAGCTGCCTTGTGTGAGCTGCCTTGAGCTGGCTTTGGCCCCTTGCAGACGGCCCCCCCCCCAAGCCCGCAGGTTGCAACCCATGCAACCCCGTGCAGCTCCGAATCCGGAAACGGAGGATTCAACGGAGGACGGTCCTCCTTAGTGTTTCACGTGTTTTGTATCTTGGTGAAAGTTCCCAGGAAACTAGAGATGCAGGCGATCTGCAAAAGATGCTGCTCAGATGTTTCTTGAACGCTTGTGGCATCTTCGTGTGGCATTTTGTGAGCACTGCGGTATGGCGCGGGCTTGCCAGGTCGGGCCGACTACTGTTGTTGCAGTCCGAGCAGGCTTCCAAGGAGAGTGCGTCCAGTCATGTGCTGTCATGCCAAGCAAAGTTTGACTTTCAGCCTTTGACATCCTGTGAAAGCATGTGAAAGCATGTGAAAGCCACATTCCTAGACACACCACATGCTTGAACCGCGTTGCAAAGTAGCAGCGACTCTGCAACTGCTGGCTCTTGGCTCAAACGCCACACCTCAGGGCTGGCACTTTCAAGAACAAGGCCCTGGGTAGACGCGTCGTTTTCTCGAGTTCTCTTCTACTTAAGCCCTCGGTCTAGGTCTGCCCCAGAAGATTATGTTTGTCCGGAAGGTCCAGTCCAACTTTTGCCACGCCGTTTTCCACTGGAGGATGACCAGTTTCTTTGGCCGAGTAAGGTTGAGTTATGTTGAGGGTTTAGGGATGTTTAGGGTTCGTCGGGTTCGTCTGGCTTGGATAGAGGATCCATGTATTGGGCGATGTGCCGGCAGTCTCGGGCCCTCCCACCCTCAGGAAGCAGAGGGAGCTCCTACGGGCAAAGCACCAATCTGCATGCTTTGGTGGGCAGGGTGGGATATGGATCTCCTAAATCCGAAATCAAAAGGTCATCAACCCCGGCTCTGAAAACAACGCTGATCCAATCCCTTTGTGATCCAAAGGCCACCTGAGCGGCATCCTCACCTTCGTGACGTGGATATCTTTTGGTGCAGCTGCGCCGCTCACCGCAGAGACCCCTGAGATGCATCTGGATTGGCTGCAGCTGTGGCAAACACTCTAAGACTCTAAGACTCTAAGTATCCAAATCATATCCCTAGGCTTGTCATAGCCGCGTGGGACCAAGGAATGCGCCATGGAACATCAACGTTGAGACACAGCTAGGGCCCCAGATAGCCGAGCGCGCGGGCCGCTCGGCTATTCTGCATGCAAACCGAGGCATGAGCCGCACAAGTACAGAGGCAAGTGGCAGAACCACGTGTACTTTCCATCTCCGAAGGACCTCGAACCGGGGTGTCAGGAGATTGTCCATGACCTTGGGCGTTATAAGTTTGGTGAAACCATCATGGAGAGCTTTGTGAGGACTGGCGGTCATTGTCCATTTATCAGCTTATCACTGACCGATTTGCTGATGGCGATCCTCGCAACAACGAGCTCTTTCAGGGAGGTTTTGATGTCAGAGACATGACCTACAGGCACCTGATGGCACTTGCTCTTGGCGTTCTTGTGCACATGATTTCGCAGTCGTCTGTGGTCCTTCCATTGCGTGACTAGCAGCCCGTGCTAACATGGATCCCCGCAACGCCCGCTGTTTTGGGCGGATGTTTCTAGATGCGGATCCCAGCCAGACTAGCACTTACCACGTCCTCATCGCGGTGATTCTACGAATTTGGTTGTTGGGAACAGCTGCCTCCCCGAGCGTGCCAGGCACGGAGGCGACTTTGTTGGCCTGACCAGCAAGCTGCCTTACATCAAGGGTCTGGGTTGCCAGGCGGGCTTGGCTTTGTTTTTTGCTTCTTTCGGGGAAGGTTCGCGCTGTCACAATCAAGGGCGCTAGGTTCTCTGGATCGATGTGACCTCTGCCAACGGTCTTTCAACTTTTGTCTTGATCACCATCCGTGAACCGGTCAGGCCGTGTGGATCTCACCTATCTTCCAGAATGGCTTCAATGACTATCATCAGAGTCTCAGAAGCAAGTTGTTGAGGGAACAGAGAGAGGCTCCATGCTCTTCACCGTCTCGGGGCTCAGAGTTGGGGATGCAGGGTTCTTGGAGTTTGTTGGTGACCGGCTACAACACTACTTCTGATCGCTTTCCGAAGTAGGAGCTTTCAGTCGCACACGTGACAATTTAGGTATGCACAGATCGACTTCACGCTCCTTGATCAACGAATGGGTACGCTCCAAGAGCTCCGCAATCTCGTCACAACAGCGCATGACCTGGGAATGTATGTGATCGTGGACGCTTTGAGCTCAGATTTTCACTCGCAGATGGCTCGGGGAAGGGCTCGACTCCTTTTAAAGTGTTTAAAGCAATGTCAGGAATCTTAAGGTGGAGGTGATGAGACGCTAATACTGTAGACATGGTACTCGGGACCAGGTCGTCATGAACCACATGGCGAATGAGTTCTTCTTCGAGGGTCACGAGTACACCCAGGCACCATTTCGATTTCACGAAGATGGAGGCTTGCGCGAATATCTCTTACAAGCGCGAAAGGACGCTGGGCTTGTCATGCCTGCCTCATCCTGCCTCTCTCTCGCTCGCTCTCTCTCTCTCTCTCTCTCTTCCTCTTCTCACTCTGCTCTCATTTGCTTCCTGTTGGACTCTGTTGCTTTGTCGTAGTTACGTAGTTTGATTCGATGTGAGATGCGTCGCTCCTTTGAGTTGCATGTGAGGAAGAGAGCTTGCTGCACGACACACCTGCTGGAAAGCAGCCCTACCAAGACTTCTACTATGACAACACGTGGGTCCCAAGCGCGCAGTATAACGGCACAGCATACGACCAGTACGGCAGGGGCTTTACGGATACGGGTGGTGGTACATATGATTTGTCAGACTTTCATCACAATGGAGACTTGGTAGACTACTTTGACCCGTGGGAAATCAATTCTGGCAAGATCTATGGCATCATGGATGACCTAAGACTGGAGCATGAACGTGTGCAGCAGAAGTACATTGCAATGACCAGGGCACTGATTGAAAGTTGTGACATTGACGGCTTTCGAGTCGAGCCACAGATGCACGTAGCTGTGTAGCTGTTCCCGTGACAGAGTTTTGTCGCTTGTGGTTCTGTAGATGGTTTTCCGCAGACACAAGCTCCAGTTGCGAGGACACGCCCATGCAAGTGCCGCTGAACTTCTTCAAAACATGGGCGCCTGCCATGCGGCAACATGCTGCATCGCTTGGAAAGGAGCGCTTCGGAATCTTCGGCGAGTTCTATGTGACGCCCTCACGTTATGCTACCATGACTGGCAGAGGCAGGGACAACACCATGTCGACTGCTTAGTTTTGGGCTCCTCTGTGGCATCAGCTAGAGAAGGTGCCAAGGTATGGGCAGGGTTTCATGACTGCCTAAGGTATGGACAAGATGTCTTCATCGATGGTATAGCCACCTTGAAAGGTGGCATTGTGTATCCGTATTATTGGTACATATTCACCTCCATGGTTTACAAGGACTCGCAGTATGCAGATGGTTTGCTATTGGCATACACGGAGGAGAACAAGATGATTGACACGTTCGACCCAACCACCAACAGATCTGAGTATGCCATGTGGACCTTTTGCAATAACCATGACAACTGGCGCATGCAGAGTATGACGGGCAAGGCTGAGATGAGGATGTGTCTGGCCGTCATCACGTTTTGGCGCTGGCCTGAGCTTCATAGATAGCACAACATGCATCCTGCGTGCTTGGGGTTTCCATTGCCTCCCCTCGTCTCATTGAGGCCTGGAATCCCACTTCACTATGCAGGTGATGAGCAGGATTTCAACACCCCAGGAAGTGCACTGGATGGATGGGCTCGCGAGGCAGGACCTTTTCAATCTCGCCTCTGAAAGCACTGAAGGTTTAGTTATGTGTCGAAGCCTCAACCCTCAAGACTCAAGCCCAAAACCTGACACCGTAGAACGTGCATGAAGGCTGAAATCTAGACCCAAAGCCGCAACCTCTCAACCCTGAACTTGACTTTGCATGGTTTTTCAGGAGCTGAGCGCTTCCTTGGCTTGGCAAGCGATTCGGACTCGTCCGGATGGAAACCCCGCGGACCGGGACAGCTTCGACATGACCAGCAGCACTTATCGTGACTGGGCTTTAGGATGTAGTGCTTTGGGTTTATGAGGATTCAGCTGTTCTCTCTTGCGGCTGGCTCTTAAAGACATGTCGACTTGGCTGTCCATGTCGCGCACTGCAGTGGATGCTCATGCCGGCATGTAAAGTGATGCATTTGTCCCTGCTCACTTCCACTTGCCAAGGGTACATTGCTCGGTTGAATGCGCTTCGACGCTGGTACTTTGGTGACTTCGGAAAGGAGGAGTGTGATGCCGTCACGGCACCGAACCCGCAGATCCCTGGAGTGCTCGTGTTCGAGCGTGGATGCGACAGCTTCAGCAAGGTCTTGGTCGTTGCCAGTTTTGAGACGGTTGAGAACAAGACTGTCAGGATTCCTGTGTCCTGGGTGAGCGGGACTCAGCTCATGGACAGCTTGGAAGTCCGAAACCCATTGAGGAAGACTGTCAGCCCGACTCGTGACGTTTCCATTGCGTTGCCTCCTCTCGCCGCTTATGTCATGGTCCCGGTACCTGTGGCGAGCGTCCCCCCGTCTGTTGTGTCTGTGAACCCTGCTCACGGTTCGGTTGCGGCGTGGTCAGCTGATCCTGGGGAGACAGTGAACATCACGATACAGTTTGACCGTGCAATGCAGCCTTCAGTCCTGTCTGCAGCACTTTTCGATGGACAGCCAGCTGCATTCCGATGCGCGACGTCGCAATGCGATGCGATCGTGCTTGAGCTGGATGCGGCCTCGGTCAGCAACCGTGTCCACTCACTGTCCATCCTCGACACAGCGACATCGCAGGATGGGATTCCGATGTTCGCCAGTTTCCGCTCCACCTTCGTCGTGGACCGGAGCTTCGGGGTCCTCAGCCGCCCGTGGCTGCACAGCGTCCCTGGCCTCATCTGCGGCAACTGGACACGAATCTGCCACAACGCCACAGGGGCAGAGTGGGTCCGCATCAAGAACGTGGGTGGAGACTGGTCTGCATGGAAGTCGGCGGAGCCGAGAACGGCATGGCAAAGCTCTCCCGGTGTCCCGGTGCTGGTGCAATACCATGCCGAACACAGTGCCAGCTTCATCGTTGCTGACTGCTTGAGCTGGGATCTTGAGAAAGGTTCGGAAGTCCCTTGCCTGGCCAGCTGGCATGAGTCCATGCACTTGCGTGGTGATTTTAATCGCTGGGGCCGATCAGATGCGGGGTCGATGGTGAAGCTGGACCACTTTACCTGGGCGACCAACATCACCCTGGACCGTTTCATGACAGGCAAGTTTGCGCCCTTCCGGGATTGGACCGTATCATACGGGCTCCAAGCCTCGAGGGACCTCCTATACAACATGCCGTCGTTCGATGCACGGTACTACACCTTCCAGGTAGATCCGCAAAGGTTGGGATCAGAGGCCATGAGGCAGTGGATGGAAGAACGAGGCCACTGGTCAGCGCATGAGGGCATAGTCTCTGGAGCCGGAAACGCTAATGTTTGGTTCAGCCACCTTTGTTCCACAGCAGCTCCTGAGTGTGAGCCAGCAGAGAACCCAGAGTGGGAACCTCATGGTTTCAGAGCCGGAGAAGATCAAGAGTGGTGTGCGACGGTTGGTGTTCATCGTTGTGTGGAGTATAAGGCGAACGATTACTCCGATGCAATGCGCAGCTGCGGTACGTTTTCGTGCTGCAAGAGGAAGGTTAGCACCGTTCCAAGCGGCGCCCCTACAACATGCTGTGTGCTGTTCAATGACCTTTTGCTCAACTACACGGTTACTCCCGACCTCTCCAAGTGCTCAAAGTTTGGCGCCACCACCGTGACTACAACGTCGATAGCGTTGAAGACCTGCCCACCTCGGAATCTGACAATGGAGGATGCCCGAAGTGCCTCGCAGGCGCCGCCGTCGCCATTTGGCCTGGACCCGTCGATGCAGGAGACACTCGAGTGGAGCCGCAACCGCCTGCTTGAGGCCATGAATCAGTGAAGTCAGAACCCCGACCCCGCACCCTAATGTCTCTAAAGACTCTACGAAAAAATTCTGCCCCAAACCCCAGGCCGAGGCTGAGTTCGACTCCACGGGGTACTCGCGCAAGGACTCCCCCAACTCCTGGCACGAGGACGTGGCCTACAGCATTCTCGTAGACCGCTTTGCCAACGGCGACTTATCCAACGACGAATCCAACCTTCCGAACTTCCAAAGGGAGGAGCCTCGAACCCCACGCGCCCTCTCAAAAACCCTTCAACCCCTCAGAATCCCTCGTCGCCCTATTCCCCAGATCGGCTAAGCTCAGTGCTAAGCTCACTGTGCTAAGCTCACTGTGCTAAGACTCTAAGCTCCGCCCTGTTCAGGAGATAAAGGAAGGGCAGCCGTGGTCCATCCACCAGTGGCGTCATGGTGGGGACTTGCAGGGAGTCAAGGGCCGGCTCATGTGACTTGGCTTCTCAGGGGCTGGGATCCGATCAAGATTAGCTGCAAGGCGCTTGCAAGGCGCTTGCAAGGTGCTGGGAGGCTGTGGGAACCGGGGTCTGAGAAACGAACTCTTGCGAAGAGGTACCTGAAGCAGCTGGGCGTCTCCACGGTGGTGCTGTCCCCGATCTTCCTGAACGGAGGCGGGGAGTACCATGGGTCTTGCACCTCGGACCTCTCCAAGATCGATCCGGGCTTTGGCAGCCCGGAGCTGCTCCGGGATCTGGTGCAGGATGCCCACGCCCTGGACATGCGAGTCGTCCTGGACGTCCAGGTGAACCACATCTGTGCCGAAGGGCTCGGTTACACCTCGAATCCCGCCGTCGATTCCGTCAGTGAGTGCGTCAAGGAAACAGAGCAAGCCTATTGGGGCACGGATCGTGGCTTCCCACTTTTTCCAAGCGCTTCTCGCAAGGAGATGGCCTGGGGCGATGCTTTGCCCCAGTACATGCGACACCAGGCCTTCTTTGTTCGGTGTGGCCCGAAGGCCATGTACCGGCCCGGGGGAACGGACTTCCTGAGGCTGGAGCTGGAGAATGCCACCTCCATCGAAGCAGGGTTCGTGTTTCCTGAGTTCTTCTCTACAACCTACTTCGAGCTGAACACCATGGATGTGCATTTGCAGGAGCTCTTCACCAACCTTCTGAAGTACTGGATAGCGTTTGCTGACGTGGATGGATACCGGGTGAGTGCGGTGGCGCACATCACCGCCGACTTCTCGGCATTTCTGGCCACCAACCTGCGCTACTACGCGGCGGCGCTGGGGAAGGGGAACTTCTTCGTGCTCGGAGAGGTCCAGCAGGCAACTACCCCCTTTGGCTTCATGCACGTCGGCAAGGTCCAGGGACCGACGGGGCCAGGGCTGTTGCCCAAGAAAGTGCAAGGCGTGCTGGATGACATGTGCCCTTACTACAGCGCGCTCTCTCCGGCGAAGCCCGGCTTCTTGGCGACCTATCCCATCCAGGAGTCTTTCCTGGTCCGGGAGATTGCTGCAGGATCGTCGAAGCCGATGGACCTCTATGACCGTGAGGAATGGCAGGTGGGCATTTTGGAACTTCCTTGCTGGGATTCCCCTGTGACATGCATCTGCGTGTGCTTTGAAGTGCTTGTTGAAGACCTGCGACTGCAGTTTCCTTAGCCTGTCGTGCATGCGGGGGAAGGCCTACCAGGTGCTCCACAAACAAGCAGTAAACAGCACTAGCATGCACAAGCTGCGCAACGCACTCTTCAAGTGAAGCGCACAGGCTGTGCAATGCACACGATGGTGCCGCCACACACCGGCGCCCTGCATGAAGACTCGATGGTGCACTGCATGCGGCGGAGGTGTAGCTGTCAAGACGTGAATGACCACCTGGTGGACGCGGTCTGGGTAGCCAAACACAACTTAAGCACACTCCCCGTCAGTGTCCAAACATGCACAGCAGCTGTGTAGCACATCACGCAGTTGTTTTGCCAACGGATGTGAGGGAGGGAGGACGAGCGCCATACTTCCTCCAATTGTTTTGCCAAAAGTAGAGTACAGGCCAGAAATGCGCAGGTGCGCGGAAGCTACTGTCACACATGGAAGCAGCACATGGCTTGACCAGAACACACAGCGAAAGTCTAACGATCGCAGCGACATGATCGTAATGACATCAACAACAGTTCGTAGAGGCCTACCCCCCCAAGTTCAGATGGGTGAGCCATCCATGGCAAGCTCCCTGAGGTGGCCGTGACAAGATCCCGGCAAATCATCGCCTCTCAGGGCGACATCCACTCAAGCATGGCCTCAGCGGAGTCGAAGGACACACCCAAACTCTTGTCGCAGCAGCTTGGAGAGAAACAAAGGGTTGCGATGTGTTTGGAAGGCAGGATTTCTAATGCACCCCCTGAATTTGGACTCTTCAACCCATACCACACAAAACTTCTCTGAATCCATCTCCGCCCCCAAGGCAAGGAGGACACTTCGCCGAAGACCTTTGGCGGCTCCAAGTGAGCCTCGCGTGGAGCTTCACCTGGTGCCTGGGTCTGCCTTGGGGTTTTCGGTGAGAGTCTGAGTTTGGGATAGTTTGGGGGAGATCCAGAGCCTTCATCCCGATTGGTAGGGTGGGGGGTGGGAGTGTCCGGTCCCAAACAGGTTTGCGCGCATGCGGTTGTTGACGTGTCAACAGTCAATAGGATTCTCCTGGATGCCATAGCTTGCACATCCCTGAGCGCATTGCCGGCGAGCCTACGGTGCGCGAGGCTGTCCCTGACTACGCACTCCGCACGTTCACCTCCAACGATGCACCTGAACCCCGACCGCCGCCGGGTGTGTCCCTTCTGCGTTGCCATCGGGTCGCCGCAGTTGGCGGCACGGCCGGTGTCGACTTCGTGCACCTCCCGCCGCGCGCGCCTTGACAGCAGAACCGCTCGCCACAGGAGGTCCTGACACTTTCGCCGAGCTCTGCGACCCGCAGCGGCGACCGCAGGAACCTCACGCACCCGTGCCGCCAGCCGCGCTCCGGCACGCGCCTGATCAAGCATGCCCCCTCCCCCAGGAAGCTTTCCTCGACAATCTGCGGCGTGATCGGCGTGCTCGTCGGGGCTTTGCGGCCGGCCCATCCGGTGCCATCGCGGAACACATCCGCGTCCTCCTTGATGACGAAAAGGACACCCGCTTGCTGCATGGCGCCGCGCTCCGGCTAGCCAATGCGGAATTCGTGCGACGCCAAGAGTCCAAGATAGGGCTGGAGCCTCGGCCCCGAGCTGTTCGGAAAAGCAGTGCTGTCAGTCCAGTCCTGTCGCGCTCACCTTCCCCAGACCTTCTCCATTCCCTCCCAATCCCCTTGCTATCCCTTGCTTGTCAGTCAACACCGTTGCTGCATATTGTTATCCATAGAGAGCCCAATTTGGAACCGTCTACGACTGCATAAGCTGTGACAGGTCCACAAATAGCTTTGGGGTATTCTCTGTTGCTTGCCAGTCTAGTGTCATCACCCATCATGATTCGACCATGAGTGCCGGGACGGTGGACGGTGTTTCCTCCCGGCACTCATGGCACTTTGACATACCGCTGGTCAAAGCTGCTTAAAAATCGCCAAGGTATGGAATCCCGGACATCTATAACGGAGCGGAGATGGGCTTGAATGGCATCTGCTACCGCAATGCTGAGGAGAAGAAGGAGACGTGTGGAAGACTGTCCTAAGACGGTAGAGATCGGTAGAGCGTCATGGCCCGCTTCAAGATAGGAGCAGAGCCCAAGGTTAAAAAACTTCCATACCCTGTAAGATTTACAAGACCTTTAAGATTCATTCTGAATCGGGACCGCCACCCATGAGCCAGGAGAAGAAGGCGAGCATGATTTCAGGAGGCATGCGGGATGAGGTCGCGGAGGCCATCCTCATCGGCTGCGACTACACCTCCTTCGCGAATCGGATGGACCCTGGCTACTGGCGCCAGGACACAGACAGACGCCGTCAGACCTGCAAGCTAATTACCCTAAACATCCTGAGCCTTTAGTCCTCATCTTCCTCAGCCCTAAGAGCCCTAAGCACCACGCACAGGACATGTTCTCCTCTGGGCCCTTCCGCTTGGGGTCGGCAGTGCCGAGCATCCAAGCCCAGGTGCGGGTTTGGGGTGAATTTCATTTTCACGCCCGTCCTGGGCACTGGGTTAAGAGGGAAGAAACGTCGTGCAGTTCTGCTACTTGCTGTGGGTGCGAGAGTGAGATCTTAACGTCGCCTTAGACCCCCAAACGCTTTAGCTTGAATCGGCTTGCCAGGCTGGGATTGACACGTCCCTGCAGGGTGCGAGCAGCCCACATTGGTGCGAGGATCCGCTGCTGGACACCCGCAATCCCATCTACCGGCTGACACGGGCCCTGATTCGCATGCGGAAGGCGTGCTACCCCTTGCGCACTGCGCTCGACTTCCCAGCCAAGGCCATGGGGGGTGTCGAGCAGGAGCTTGCCTATTGGAAGGTGGGCGACGGCAACGCTGGGACCGAGCAGCCGCGCGCCATGTTGGTTGTGCTGAGGATGGTGGAGACTCCGAGTGCAGACCACTCCAAGTATGTCTTCCCAAATCTCGAGCAGCCGTATCCAGAGGGCCAGGCTTTCGTGGACTTGTTCAACCCCTCACGGCTGGCCGTGGTCTTCACGGACAATAACGTCAGTTACCTGCTCGTGCCTGGCAACTTGGCCACCAGCCACGTGGGCATCTTCGCCCCGGTTGGCTCTGTGGAGGCAGACGACGTCGGGGAATGGTCAGTGTCTAGGATGTTTCTTTGAACATTTCTCTTTGAGCATGTCCTGCTCTGTTCGTAAAGCAACGAATCGCAGCGGGTTCGGGGGGTGGCGTTCTGAAACCAAGGTGTGCAAAGGGGCCAGCCTTCCCCCGCTTGAGGAGTACAGCTGCGAGACTCAGAGCTCAATGTTCCCAATGTTCCCCACGTTGGCAACGACCATACTCTGGCTTGCAACGGTGGTCCTGATTTTGCTGGGCAATGCCCGGACCAGCATCTACTTGAGCGTGGTCATGGAGCCCACTCCACCTAAAATCTCTCAGCCCCAGGGTGTGCGCGTCGAGCCGCGCCATATCCTCGTGGCAGCGATCGAGCACACCATCCCGGAAAGGGGTGTCAAGGTGAGTGCAGGCGGGCTTGGCAAGGTCCTGGACCAGATGCTCAAGGAGCATCCTCCGGGCATCATGAGCCTGGTGCACCCCATGTTTGGCGATGTGAACTATGGTGAAATGGATGAGTTCACCAAGTTCAGCATCGTGGTGGATGGCAAGCCTCAAGAGGTTATAGTCTACACCATGCAGAGTGAGTTCGAGGGCATCACCAGAGTGTGGTACATCTTGAAGCATGACTACTTCACCAAGCAGGAGAAGAAGGCGCCGTATCCCAGCTCCATGACAAAGGTGGCTACTCTTCGATATTTCTCACTTTGGAATCAGGCAGTGGCTCTTCTCCTTAGTGAGCTTGCTCCGGATGTGTACCATTGCATGGACTACCATGCTGCAATGGCACCGCTATACTTGTCGCGAGAGAAGCAGCTTCCAATCATTCTCGTCTTGCACAATGCAGACTACATGGGCGTCATCGAGACAGACTTCATTTGTGACCGATTCTGGAAGACAGTGAGCTCGCTGCGCCGACTCAGCCTCATCTTCAACATTCAGATTTCCACGATCCGGAAATACTGCATGTTTGAGGGCCGCTTCAACATGTTGAAGGCAGCCGTGACCTACATTCGCGAGGTGCAAGCAGGGCATGGCATCTGCGCTGTCGCCGAGAACTACGCTGTGGAGCTGGCACGTGAAAAGACACTTTTTGCAGGGTTGCCGCACCTCATCGCGCTTGACAACGCCACAGATCCAGCAGATGCACATGCAGAGATCAGTGACGCTCGGCCCATCTCAGCCGCATCCACAAGAGTAAGGCCTGCACTTGAAGGTGAGCGAAGTGCCCAAAACTAGCAGGCAGAATGCTGAATAGAAAGCTGTTGAGAAGCCGTGCGGGCTTGAGGCTGCTTTTGGAGCTTGCACGACCAAGGTACTCAAGGAACGTCGCTTCAAGGCGAAAGAGATGCTGCAGATGGAGTGTGGATTGGACCTTGACCCGGGGGCGAAGATTTTGATCTTCATTGGCCGTTGGGTGAAGCAGAAGGGAGTTGATCACATCGCGATGTTGACCCCTGTGTTTCTTCGCAGTCACCAGGATGTTCAAATCGTTCTTGCAGGTCCTCCAGATGATTCCTGTGGCAGGTACGCTGGTGAGCTGCTTGCAGGACTGGGCGACGAGTTTAAGGGCAGACTCTTCGTTTGCACACAGTGCCGTGGCATCTCATGGCATGCGTTGGCTGTTGTAGGCCTTTCGACTGGTGTTGATATTTTCTCGATTACGTGTAGAGTAGACATTGGGAATTTGCTTTCGGTCTTCGGTCGACATGAGTCGACATGTTGGGGCTGGCGCAGCAGCACAGGTTCTTCAAGCTTAGCGAGGCGTGCCGCGCCGGGGCACACCTCTGCTTCACTCCTTCTTGCTCTGAGCCGTTTGGCTACGTGGACGTGGAGTTTGGCCTCCTGGGAGTACCCTGCTCGCATGGAAAAAGAAGTACGTAGAAAGGTGTACTTGGTTGGCACTCCGGTCTTCTCTTCGTTCTCTGAGTATACGTATGAAGTTATCGTAGGACCTAGGGGGTTTCGGCTCAGACGGGTGGCTGTGAAGCCAGGGCTAAAGTGGACCTTTGCGTTCTTTGTTTACAGTGCCATGGTGCCCCTAAAGCTCCGGGTGCAACCTAAAAATGAGAGCCGCAGTAAGCCTCTAGTGAGCTAAACTTAAGAAACATCATGTGACCTTCTCGAAAATCACGACCATCCTCCACGCGGAAGTGAGACAGCTTTTGCCCCGTCGGCAGAGTCCGAAGGTCACAGGCCCTGTCGTTTCCTGTGCGGTAATCCGAAAAATTATCCGGGAAGGCCCGGAGGTCCCTCCGCCATGGTAGAGGCGATCCGGACCAAGCTCGTTCTGCCCTGTCACGGGTTCTCAGCACTGGTTCTAGATCGAGCTTCAAGAAGGATGAAATGCCTAATGCGACCCTCTCGCTAGCATGTCGTAGGTGCGACTTTTGTGAAGCAAGCGTGCCGAGCTTGGCACGACAATCCCTACACGTGTGCAGTACATGTTGACTGTGAACACATCCTGTACCTGAGCTCATTCTGAAGCCAGGTTGTGTCACACATGTGTACACACAGATGTCACATGCTATAGTTCACTTGCAGAGCCCTTGAGTTTTTGTCGGAGTTCCCACTTGGGAAAGCTGACGCCAGCAAGTAAAGCCAAAGCAAGATTACGGTTTACTTGCAAAGATCTCCAAAGCCCAGAAGTCAAAAGCGGCCCAGACTCTACAACTCCAACACCTCTTTCATGAAAGCCGCTCAGGTTCCCTCTGTGGGCTGCGCCATTGGAGGCCTCGGGAAGATGCCGGGTGTCTACTTCCGCCAGCAAAACTCTGATGATGCCAAGAGCCTGATTGACTCCTTCTTCTGCGCCGTGGATTATGCCCTGAACATGAAGCTAGTTCCCGGTTCAGTAACATTTCAGGATGGAGGACTCTTGTGCCCTGAAGTCGAACCGCAAAGCCCAACTTCAAACCCCCCAGGAACGAGAAGGATTATTGGCAAATGGCCAGCAATGCGACAACAGCAGAATTTCCATTCCACACCTGGCGCGTGTCTTTGATGCAAACGAGTGACAGAAACCAGCCCCTCTCTTCGACCCTAAAGCCTAAGTCTCAGCTGTTAAATCGAACCTTGCATCTTGCAACGGTCGATTCGGGGGGGATCTGCCGTAAGACAATACAAGCCCAAGAGCCCAACAACCCCACGCAGCTCCAAGAAAGCCCCGAAACCTTTTCGCTCCCTAGTCCCCCCGCCCCCCAGAAAGTACGACCTTGAGCCGAGGAGAATTTGATTGGCGCCTACACGGAGGCATGTGTCAACTTCCGACGGTCCTCAGGTGTGGGGTGGGGGGAAGGGGAAGGGCTTTGAGTTTAGAGCTCCGCTTCGCACCGGAGATCGCGGGTGTGAAGCCTGTCGTAACACGCAGGCTCACGTATATAGACCAGGCAAAACAAGAAACCCAAAAGGCCGGTTGGGAAATCTCGGTAGAGGAGGGGGTAGGGATGGGGAAGGATGCGGGTTGGGGTAGGGGGTGGTGTTCGCCACGACCTTGGCTGCAAATATGATTCCTTTTGGGGGTCCTGCTGTGGCGCGCCCCAGATGTGGGAGTGGTCAAGAAGAGCGAACAAGGGGGGTCACCTGCTTTCTGATACCCATTTACGGCCCGAGGCCTCGGCTGCGATTTCGGGGTGCTCGTTGAGGAATTGCGGGGTCTAGGTTTGTCGGCTGGTTTCGATGGTTAGGCTTCAGGTTTTTTTTGAGGGCAGGGTGTGCTCTGGCATTCAGAAAGGAGGGCTCCCGGACATGACCAGGCGTATCACCCTGAGCATCCCTGAGCCCGCAATCTCAAAAACGAAGAATTCCCATCTTCGAGCTTCCAGGAGCTTCGCTGACTCTGAACCACCTCTGGGTCCGAAAGGGGGCCACCACGGCAGTGCAGGAGGCGGGCATCTTGGGGTCGGGGGACAGTGAGGTGAGTGGGCAAAATAACGCAACCCGCATGGCAAAACAGAGCAGCGAATGCTGTATCAGATCGTGTCTTGCAGCATGTCTTATGTAAAGCATATGTATATAACCCCCTATGGATCAACTTTTTTCTGCTCCAATCCTATGAAGATACGCTTAGTGAATGGCCCCTAGCCGTAAATAACTTGAACAGTACTGTGTCATGGTGCATAAAACCGAAGGCTGGATGTTGCTAACGTAGGTTGTAACGAGACACAAGTATTCATAACTCAGGGGTCAGCTATCTGAAAGGCTCGTGGCTCCAAAGGTGATGCACAATGTACTTCAACTTGAACGTTGTAATCAGGTACTAGTTATTTGTGGTTTTGTGTGCTAATTCTAAAGGTTAATGTGTTAACAACAATGACCCCTGACTGAAATTGTATCTTCATGAAGTCGCGAAGTAGATCTTACAGAATAGTACTTCTGGTTATCTTTGTTCCAGGTTCAACTCAGCTGGAGGTCGCTAGATGAGGAAAGAGTACTCTCATACTGTTACTTTCATTTCCCCCGGCCGTTATTTGAGTAGTAGAGCTTCATGTAACAAAGTTAATGATGTTTATGAATGAGGCCATGTGCATTTGAGTGCGTGGGAAAACGTTAACTTGTAGAGTGTGCTACTATAAACTATAAGTCCTGCCACGTAGTAGAGGAGAATAGATTTTGTTTTGTTGCAAGCTTAGAAGCAACTTGTTATGTTTTTGCAATAAGTAGAACTAACCCCCATTAAAGTTGAAAAAAGACCCCCCCCCCCACTACAAAAAAGCTTGGTTTGAACGGTACTAGGAAGGCTCGGGTAGCTTCATTCCTAATAAATGCTAGGTAGACTCAAGCGCGAAATTAGGCTGTCGAGTGTGAAAATACTTTGCTTATATAAGCATGTAATCATGTCTTCGGTTTCGGTGATGTGTTGCATCTTTCTCGCAGTGTGGAGGAAAAATCTCCAGCAACCATACACATGGCACGGCGTATGCGACCCTATAGCTAATAAGAAAATACCCTTAATCATTGTATAGGTATATCCCGTGCCTCGAAACCAGACGTGCCCTGGAGCACAGAGAAGAAGCACAGACCTATAGAAAAAAAACCGGTAGCCCTCCTCGAGGTGCGAATGAGCGTAACGGGTTGTGCTCAGAGCAGCCCTCTCCTGAAGGCAATGGCGCCCCGACGGGACAGCGCCTTGAGGCGCATGTCCTCCACTGCCCAGGTGGCTCATCAGATGCAGGCGAGGGAGGGAGGTCGACTGGGTTGTGCCCTGCTCGCTTTTGCCCAGCTCGCTTGCCTTCCGCTCTTTCTTGGCTTTCTCTTTGAGTTTCTGTCTTTCTGTTTGCTTTTGTGTCTCTTTATTTTTTATCTTTCTCTCTTTGTTTTTAATTTCTTTGTTATTGTTCGTTATTTGTCTTCATATCTCTCTTTTTCTCTTGCTCTTATCTCAGCTTATATTTCTGTCTCCTTCTCGGATCCTTCTCTCGCCAGAGGTGCTGGACATCAACGATGATGCCGAGTTCCTTACGCAGGGAGTCAGCACGGAGAGGGTTCAAGAGATCATGAAGCAGGCCATGGCCAACAACCGTGGAAAAGTCAAAGATGCGGAAACCTTGCAGAGCTACATCTGCCAGGCGGACCTCAAACCTTAACCTTTTGCACCCCAAAGCGCTCCAATCTTGAGTTCTTGTTTGTTCAACCCTCTAAAGCCTTTTGGAGGCTCTTTAGAGCCCTAAATGCCAGGCAGAGCAGCGGCTCACGGAGAAGAGTCCCTTGTCCCTGTGGCTGATGAAGCCCTTCCTTCGCGGCATTTGTCTGCGCATCCACGTGGTCATCGCACTCGGCTACATCTTCTCCCCGGTGGGTGAGGCCAGTCGCACAGAAAACCAGACCCTGCTTGGAACTTACGATGATTTTTTCTGGGTACCTCTAGAGTTTGGGCGGGCTTGAAGCCCAAATCCGTCACCCAAGCAGTCCACCTTCACGGGGTTGAATAATTCAGCGGCTTGGGTGCTTGCCTCGGTTCCTGTTGAGGCCTTGCTGAAGACCTTGGAGATGCGGGCCATGGCCAACTCGGGGGCCTCCGAGCAGGCGGGCCTCGAGGTTCCCAGTTTGGGGCGCATGTGGAGGGACAGAAGGTAGAGGAAAACAACGAGTTTCAGCGAGTTACAGAGTTGCTCTGTAAGAGTGTTAAGGTTTTTGGACCTACTCTTCAGCCGCACCCTCCCTCAGCCTCTACAAAACAGGCGCTCTGGACTGTCTTCTACGCGGGCTCCGCCGTGGGGTGCATCTTCTGGCTTTTCTTGTCCAAGGGCATTCCCCCGAACCTTCTCATGGCCAGCTCTCAGTTGCTGAGCCTCGGGCAAAGGGTGTACGCTGTAAACGCAGTTCTACGTATGCAGGGATTGTTAGCGATTGTAGGGGTATGTGTAGCTGTTTTTAGTTGGTTGTATTGTTGAAGGCTCGAATCATGGCATGCCACGCCTCGCGCTAGGAATATGGTCTTCTTCGTGCTCGTGCCTGCGCTGCCAGAGGAACTCTTCGACAATGCCGTGGTGACCTTGACCCTTGCTCGCGTGTAGCCTTGCAATCGGAATCGCTGTGTAGCAGCATCTCTAAACCCCAAACGGTTTCAAAGCTCGTTTCCCCCAGTCCCTGAGCCGAGCTCTTGTCCCTCGCACACTTCAGGACCTACCTGGGCCTCTGTGGGGTGCAGAGCACCTCCCGCCTACTCTTTATCATCTGGAACTTCAACGAGGACCTCCTCTTGTCCCTTGGGGGCCCCCCAAAAGAGGCTCACGTTGGGCTATAGAGCCCATACAGTAATATAGCATTCCCACCCCCAAGACGGTGCAACGAGGACTTCCATGGGGGCTTCCAGGTCGCGGCGCGGCGCATCGGCGTTCTGGAGTCCCTGCGCTCGGGCGTTGCATGGATTGCTGTGACGTTGAGCTATGCAGGACAGGGCCTGTTGGGTTTCGGGGTTTTGGTGTAATCTTTGCCCGGTAGTGATCACGTGGACGGGCACAGGAATGGACTACATCAACAAGCAGCTGGTGCTCGTGGTCTCGCTAACAACGTTGGTCTTGCTGTTCAAAGCACCGCACTGCTACGCATCGTATGTCCTTCCCAAGACACAGCTGCTGGAGGGGATGACGCACAAGTCCTTCTTAATGCTGGTTGCAGCGGAGGCCCTCAATACTTTGACGTCTTACTCTTCGCAAAGCTTCACCCAATGGTGGACACTGAATGGCTGGGAGCCTTCAGAGATTGCAGTCTTTGCGCTGACTGTGGGCCTCGTGGGCCCCGTGGCATTGTCCGTGATCTTCTTCTTCCTGACTCGCATGAGCTTGGGTTTAGAGTTTAGCGTTTCGTTTGAGGTTTTCTTCGGGCATATTTTGCGTAATTTGGAAGCGGTGAACAGGACATGGCCAGCGGCACAAGTCAATCAAGGGAGCTAGTCTGGTGTTCTGCAGAAGCAGTTGTGAGTCTTCCTTCGGAAGCCAAGGAACAAATGGGGCCCCTGGGCCATGCGAGACTTCAGCTGCTTGTTGCCACCAGGCTCGCTTCTGCGGGCCCTTTGCTTGTGGGACCTGGGTTGCTTGGCTGAAGTTTGGTTTCGGTTGGTATACTGCTTTGTTTTTAAAGACGAGCTCAGAAGCCTCAGAAGAAACAGAAGCCTCAGAAGCCTCAGAAGCTTAAGAACCCCTGGCCCGTTTCCAGGCTATCTGAACTTCCGATCGGAGATCTTTGTCGTCGCGATCTTGGTTTCCGTTGGCCTAGATGTGGCTCGTGGGGCAGCCGTGTGGTGCTCCATCATGACCATCCTCGGTAACAAGTGGTATGCCCTGAAGGGCTGTTGCTCGGTTTGTAGTTTCAGAGCTTTTGCTTTCAAGAGGTCAACACTACAAGGTTGTTTTGACTGGCCACGATGCCTCGACCAAGGTTATATCTGCCTCACCTTGATCTCGGCATGTGCTGCCCTCTCGCCCATGACGGGGCACTGGATTGCACAGGCGGCCACGCGTACGTCCCCGCTCACGGACACCAAGACGCTGGACCGCCCGATTTCTGGCAAAGGATCCCTGGGCGAGGCCACGGCGTGGGCAGTGGTGCCACTGGCGCTTGCGAGCTACATCTTCCAGCTGCTGGCCTGGAGGTACCTTGGGGGCCTGGAAGTGTTTCTGGGGGGTTGTTTCCCGAATGAGATGCCAAGCCCCATGAGACCTTAGAATTGTTTTAACACTTAAAAACACTTCGGAGCTAGTACAGGTACTTCAACGGTGACATTCTGACCTTCAAGGGCCATGGCAACGTGCTCCCAGATGGCAGCATCACCGGCACGGAGTCGACCATCCAGCGCATCCCCGCTTCCGAGATCAAGACGCTCAGCTGCATCCTGGGGGCCCCCTTCTTGCCTTCTTCCGGTCTCTCCTCACTTTCTCACTTGGCAGTAGCTTTTGCTTCCGAGCTCAGGAGGAAGCGGAAAGCAGCTCAGAGGGTGCAGGGCAAAGAGTGCAAGGAAGAAGAGTGCAAGGAAGCCGAGATTGCACCGACCGCACCCGAAGATCCTGAGCCCCTCGAGGTGGTGCCGGAGGTTTCGGAGGATCCGAAGGAAGAGAAAGGAGAACATGAGCCGAAGGACGACCGGGCACCGCGGCCCCAGTCCAAACAGAAAAGCGAGAAAAGCGCCAAAAGTGGGATGACCGTCAACGAAGAGGACCCCAAGTTTCGGGGATGGCCCCGTGCCGCAGCTTGTGCATCTGCATGAACTGACGGTTGGCAAGCTCTACTCGACGGGTTGCTTGTACGTCGAAGGTGTTGTTGTTTGACATGTTCTTGGGGACAAGCCCCAGAAGCTTGTGAGGACTTCGGGAAGGTGCCAAGTTGTCCCAACCAGCTTCCTGGCGACTCTGACGAGGTGGTGGACAACGATGCTGGCCAAAAGCCTAACCAGCCGAAAATCCCCAACTCATAGAGCAACGCAGACAACGTTTAGGCCATATGTTGGTTTCTACTCGATGCCAGAAACTGTTGGACCAACTCGGGGTTCGGGTGAGTGTTTTGATGTGTTTAGGGTCTCCGACTCAGGAGATGGACTTTGCAAGTGAGGCTGTTCCGCCGGAGGCCTTGACATAACTGAGACATGTCTGGCAAGCTGCTGTCCAGTAGGCTGACGGGCTGGTTTTTTCGAAGGGTTTTGGACGTGTGGCGTCTGGCATGCACCGTGCATGAAGCTGAACAGGCAAGACAGGAAGATGCGGGCTGAGGATGTTAAGGTTTACGGTGGATTGCATCCGACGCGCAGGAGAAACCTCTTGACTCAGCTCGGCGAGGCAGGTTCGAGGAATCACTCTGTGTGCTCATGTCATGGCGCTTTTGTGAACGTAGCAAAAGATGGAGAGGCTCGAACTTTATTCACACAATGTCTATTAGGAGCCAAGAGGTTGCAGGGCGATTGGCAACGTGACCTCCATCCTAACCTGAATGTCCAAGCTGAACCCCCTGGGAGGCCCAGAGCAAGCTTCGGGAGGTCGAATGTCTCAGCTACTAAGCAAGGCCGCATCGGTTTTCATCAGTCACAGAACGAACGCCAGCAATGCTGTGGATGAGAGGGAAGCAACTCTCCTCAGTGTGGCTGATGAGCAGTCGAAGCTGTGAGCATGAGATTTGTGGGTGTTATGGTTTCGCCCAGTGAGCATCAAGAGTGCAAAGTGTACACAGTTTGGAAGAGTTGGTGTTTTGCAGACAGGAGCAGGTATCCATGACTCTCTCCATGCGCCCAATGGTGGTGCAATGCCGGTCTCTAAGAGACTAGCACAGAGTTGTGAGTTCAGTGGTGGTGGAGCTTAGTTCCTCACACACTTGAATTCGCCTAGATCTGCATGAACTTTGTCGAAAGTTGGGCGCAAGAGACACTCAACTTCGAGAAGGGTCTGCAGTTGGATCATTTACACCTCGAATCCAAAGGTTTCGGAGGTAGGACTCTTGGTAACAGCAGGGCACTTGTCAATGTTGACAGGTTTTCTATGAATTCGAGGATTCGCAGCGCACGAGAATCGTGAGCATATTGTGCGACGCGGATCCCTACAGAATGTGCAGATGCCTGGCCTTTCTGACCTTGTACAGCGCGTGGAGATGCAAACTTCTTCCTCCGCGCAAACAATGCAGCTACCCAAGCTGTCTGTTTGCATGGTTCACAGCCATACGTGTGGAGGATGATCGGACGGATGAGAAGACGAGGTCAAACAAGGTTTGCTGTCCCGAACGTGCCTGTCTTCCTACAGTCTGCATCCTGTGGGCCGCTGCTTCTGCACCAAACGTCGGATGCTTGACTGCCTGCTGGAGGAGTGTCCTTTGGGAGCATATCCGGCGAGTCGTTAGCATGGTCCGCTTCCTTCAGCCTGCACGGGGCTGTGGGGATCAGCATCTGCAAAGGTAGAGGCTCCGACTCTGAGGCTACCTCATATCATGGACTACACATAACTAAGACCAACACTCTGATGACTGCGCAATAGTAGTAATTATGGGTTGTGGACGCATCCAACATGTCGCCCATGCCCTCGCCCCTTCACCCCTCCACCTACATACGCAAGGTTCTCTTTGTGGGCATCTGAACAGTGTATATGTAGAGATGTGGGACTTGGGGCAGTGGTGGCACTACTTCACAGCTAGGAAAACCCTTTCCGGCCTGCATTGGGCAGACCCCATGTAGTGAATGCAGATGTGCACAGCATGTCCAGTCCAGAGACCAGACGTACAAAGTAGGGAAGGCAACGCAAGGGGGAGCTGGGCAGTGTCACCTTGTTGTGACAGTTTGTGTCGAAACCCTAACCACCAACCTCTAATTTCCTCAAACCTCTTGCAATTGAATCCCAAAGAATCCCTATATTTTCTTACGCTATGCCAGGTGCTCAACCTGGCAGTCATCCACTTCTACACGGCGCTCTTCGAACTGAGCGTGTCTCCGCAGGACAAGAGCCGACAACAGGTGCCAACCTCATAACTCAGGATACCTCAGGATAGGGGGGCATTGAGGCTTCATAAGGTTTTTGCACCTTTAGCCTCAGGATGGTTTACGGTCTCCTTCGGCTTCAGGGTTTCCTTTCTTTTGGCTTTCGGAGCTTTAAAAAGCGCTATGCAGAAGGGAAGTCTTCCAGAGTCAGGCCGGCCTCCGGTAATGGCAGTCTGGTCGCAGGGATCCTTGTTGTCCTGAGGTCCTCGAGATGTCGGCAAACCTTGTCGCCAGAAGCCTAGCTCTTCCCGACCTCTGAAATGCCTGTCGGTCCCACGGCCCGCTGGCCCTGCTGGTATGGATGAAAGTTAACTTGCCATTGTGACCTCGTTGTTACTGTTGTTGTGGCCGCTGCCAGTTCCCGGGCCCCAAGCACGACGTTTTTCAAGCCACAGCTGAGGAGTTTTCATGTTTCCGTGGGGTGAAAGGGGCACCCTGACTGTATCGTTCTGATTCAGCGTCTAGCGACACTGCTGCAGCACCAACATCGTTTACTGGATTCAGAAAGGTGCAATAGAGTTTTGAGCATACAGGGAGTGAGAACTACATGGCTCTTTACGCCCGTAATGTTCCTGACCCAAGATCAACTTTCTTCGTGCTGAGGCAGCATGTTACTGTAAGATGTGCTCTTGGCTTGCTCACTCGGTGTCAGTCGACCTGGCCAAGGAACTGAGAGCGTGCAGAGCCCATCTATGAGCAGAGTGTAATGCAGGTAAGTACGTTCGAAGGAGTTAGAGGGTTTCATCAGGCCTCTTTCGCAATGCCGAAGGGACACGACTGGACACGTGTGGGATTCGTTCGCAGTGGGCGAAGCGAAATGGCATCCTTCTGGGAGTTGCGTCTTTGGGGGACCTATACTTGGCGGCAGCCACAACTCCAAGCTCAGCAGTATCCCAGTTCAGACCTTGAACCCTGTGTTACACTTTGACCCCGAAGCCTGGAACTCTGAAACCGTAACCCGAGGACTCCCTGGCCACCCAGTTCCCTGTCCATGTGGACGTGTGCTGAGCTTTCCAGACGGGAAGGGTGTTGGGTTTACAGTTTAGGTGTGCCAGGGTTCAAGAGATTGCATGAAGACCTCATGAGGTTGTCCACCTTATTGTGACCAAAGTGCTTTGGGCAGGAAGGGGGCCCAGAATTCAACATTCACGGCTTAGGGAGCCTTGCCGGGCATTCTAGGCCCACGCCGTTAGGGGGACCTGGGGAGTGGTTCGGGCCCTCATGAAAAGAGCGATTCTTGAAGAGCCCCCTGCATGTTGGGGTTCGTCCATTTCCCGCACCTTGCTGGAAGGGTTCCAAACGACCCCAAAAGGGAGAAGGGGTCGCGATGGGTCGAGGGTGTGGTCTTCTGGCGGTTGAGCGCTTTATGTCGCAGCCCGGGCTGTGCTGTTGTAGTTCTTTTAATCCAGAAGGTCAGGCTTTGTGCCATATGTTCAACAGCCAACCCTAGACCGGACGTTGTGAAGAGACATCGAACATTCAGTTGACCTCGCTTTGGGGAGTCCTGTGCAGATTCCTCCCGAAATTCTGGGTCTTTTGCGGAAGGACACAGTGTTTTGTTTTCGTGGGGCCAATCTTGAGGTCCTTTGTTTGAGGCGCGGAGGCTCCGAATGTCTTGAACGGCTATGAAAGGACCAAGTCGTGTGGCTTTGGGATGAATGCTGTCCACTAACAACTAAAAGAAAACTAATCGCAACCAATAGAAAACCAGCAAAAAACCAATAGAAAACCAGGAAAAGTCAATAGAAAACCAGTAACCGCCCCCCCCCCCCCCCCCGGATCATGAATTTGCCCCCCGAAGTTCCGCTGAGATGTGCTCGAGCCGCTGGCCCATCTTCGAGGCCGCCGCCATTCGGGGGCATTCGGGGCGCAAGTTTTTTGGACGGTAGGGCCATAGAGTTTATAAGTCTAGCGTGTGAAGGATTCAGGATGTTTGAGGTTGAAGCATCTCGTGCAATACGGGTTGCTGGCGTTTCGCCGGTCTGCTGCCGCGATTGATAGGCGGTGGAGCTTTTTGCCGTCAGCTTGGGCCAGAAGGAGAATGTGTTCAGCCCAAGTTCAGAGGTTCAGTGAGCTCGTGAGCTAGTGAGAGTTGGGGGTTCACAAGTTGAGGATGTATTGTGTATGCGACAGGCTTGGAGGCCAAAGCCCCTTGTGCCAAAACTGTCAAATCAGCATAGCGCTCGTGCACCAGCGCTTACGAGGCCAGGTACATCGACAGGGTTCATGTGCGTAAGCTCAAGCAGCGTCAAGCGGTGACCGGCCGCAGGGGCCCCTGTTCTGGAGCCAAGGCTCGAACGAAAAAACGGCTATTTGCGCAGTTCCGTTGGGCCTAGGAAACCCCCTCATGAAGATTTATGAAGTGGTTTTTGTGGGAGTGGTGTGATCCAGATATCAGCGTCTGTCAGCGTACGATATGCAAGGCATGTTACATGTTTACTCCAATTCAAGCCCATGATTTCGTGGATGCCCTGACTTATCCGATTGAATAACGTGAATGTCGGATCAAGGTCGCTTAGGGTTTAAGTTTAAGGCTTAGGGTTTTGTTCACTCGAGAGTTTTGGACAAAGTTTTCCCTTGTTTCGGGATAAAGACTCATCCCCCAATTCTGGGCGTAGCTTGCATTTGCGTGTATGCGTTGAGCATCGTTGCGCACACTTGCGTAAACGCCTGCACCACCTCTTCACACCAATAAGTGGAAATTCTGAGAGGAGTACGCACGCGCGGGCGTGCCGGGCGACGCGCAGCAGCCCCAGGACTGGTCTGTTCCTAAGGTTTAGGATTCAAGGCCTACGTCTTGGGTTGAGGGTCGTTGAGGGTCGTTGAGGGTCAGAGTAGCAGCATGCAGGGAACAGAGGCCACACTCATTGGGAAATTTCGGAAACACCCCGGGCGGAGTCAGGAAACAGCCAGGCAACAGCGGGAAGGTTTAGGGTTTAGGATTTGGGGTTTAGGTTGTAAGGTTTTAGGGTCAAGGGTTTGGGGTTTAAGGTTCCTGAATGTGGCGGGGCTGCTGTCTGACTGTGTCTGTGCTGTTTCCTGAATGCAGCTGTCCTCTTTCCGACTTTGTTTCCTGACAGCCTCACCAGGGTTTATGGTGTTAGGGAGTAGGGGTCTGAGGGTGTTTGTTGGCTTTTCAGTTTTGCAGGAATGTGGATCTCGGATGCGTCGTTCAGAAGGTCGGTTGAGGGCTGTGGAACTCTTGAGTCTTCCAGGTGCGATGGCATTTCGGGCGGAGCCGGCCGCCAAGCCATCAGCTATCACTATGTCCAGGGCAGAACGTTCCGCGTGCTTGGGGGCTGACTGGAGGTTGTGGATTGCTGCAGGACGGGTGAAGTGTTTGGAGCAAGGCTTTCTTGAGTACACAGTGACGTACTTAGCAATGTAGCCGCGCATGGTATTGGTTGTGGAGCCCGCAATGCTTTGACGTGGGAGCTTTTTGTAAGGGGCCTTGTGAGTGAGTGATCATCACGCCATCAAGAGGAACAGCTTCAAAACCCCTATGAGTTTTTTCAAAGCCCCTGTACAAGCATTGCTTTCGCAAAATCATTGTCCATGGGGAGAAGAGGCGGGGGGCAAGGTGGGGGTGAAGGGGGAGGAGGGGCTGCAATGGAAGAGGAAGGGGAAGGGCGGCAACCCCTCCCCACTCCCCCGCTTTACATGATCCGTCCGTTCTGCTGCAAATCGAGCTAGAGGCCAGAGACGAAACTCAGGTAATCCCATTGCAATATGAACGAAATATGAATGTTGTCTAAACATGTTAGGAAAGTGAGATTTTCTCAGAACATAGTGTACACATGATACAGGCTACTTTTTGCGAACGGCCTACAGCCGCAGAAGTTTACAGCTGTTGGTCAGCCCTGTGAGTGCCCTGCTTGTCTTGCTGGACACAAGGAGATCGTGTTGTTTGAACAATGTCTTGATTGCAAAGTAGCCCTGCGAGAACCGGCAAAAGCACGAAGACAGCAAAGCTACCCATGCCGAAAACATCCGAAAGGAGCAACACTTCACCGACTTCACCCGTTCGCCCGAGGTCTTGAACTGGAGATACCTCCGCCTTGTGGCCAATGAGTGGTCGCGCCCTCGATTTTCACAGCGGCGTCCTTCCCGAGATGTGCAGAAACACTGAAGGTCGCGACAGAGGTTGGCCCAGGGTACCGTCATCGATGAGGCGCCTGAGCCAGCCCTGGTAAGGAAGAAATTGGAACTGAACTGCTTTTGCAAGGCGGCATTTGACGGAGGCGCAGATGTTTGTGCGGCCTGCCCCCGTGTCATCCGTTGTGATAAAAAGCTATCGCGGCTCCAAGCACCTCAAGTCTTAAAATGTCTGCATGTGCAAATCAGCGCCAACCGGAGGAGAAACAAAGATCGGTCCTGCACACGATGATGCATGCACTGGCGCGAGTCCCTGACCCTTTTAGCAAGGTTCCTTGCGTGTTTTTTCCGTGCACTGTCTTACTCGTTCAGAATGGCCTCGCAGGGATTCATACTTTCTAAGGAGATCGTCCTGGATAACTGGGACAGGGCCATGCAAGAGCCGCTGGCCGGCAGTCAGCACACCGAAAGCCTGAACCTTAATTAAGAGCCAAAACCCTGACCCGAAATGACCACACAAATCGGCGCCTCAATTCGCTTGCTTGGCACGTGAAGTCACGCAAGGTGCCCGGTGGGAAGCGCTTTCCTTGCCGGACTCGAGGCAGTTTGAATGCTGTGGAGTTTAGGGTTTAGGGTAACAGGATTGAGGAGACAACTATGCCCGGACGCCCCGAATTTCGATGCGAGATGGATGCAAGATGATGCAACGTGATGCAAGGTGATGCAAGTGGTGCTTGCACCCACCTAGACTACTAGACGCTGAACCCGAGGCCCTCAAGCACAAACCGTGAATCAACGAACCAAAAAACTCTGCGTGCCTACAGGGCCTACACTGCGCCTAAGAAGAAGTTCAACACTGCCCCCAACCCAGCCTCGAACCTCTCAGCAGTTTATGTAGGGTTTCATGGTTCATGGTCACACGAACTTGGGCGCAATGGACAGCCGTGCAACCGTGCTTACACATGGGCTTGCCTGACAGGCTCCCATCGAGATCATCCGGTCAACGCGCCCCCGGCATACCAATCCTTGATCAACCAAGCGTTGATCGGCTGCTAAGCCTCATAGGCACCAAAGCCTCGATCGAGCCATCCTGCAAAAGCCGCGAAGCCTTTGCGGGTTTAGGGGTCTGATGTTTGAGGTTGCATTCCAGGTTTAGGCGGTTTAGGGTTTGAGTCAACTTGACTTTGGTGTGCTGCGCCAGGAAGGGATTTGCGATGTACAGCAATGCTCTTGACAAGGTTATCCATGAGGCCAGGCTGCTTGGACTTGGTTTCGCGGTCCTTACTCCAATCCTTGCTTTCTGCGTCTGATTGTCGCCAACTCTACAGTAGGCTCCGAGTGACTTAAGCTTTGAACGTTAGGGTTTAAAGCGGCTCAAATGTTCAAGTGCCGATAGAGCGAGCTCAAAGCAGAAGTATACAGTTTTGTAAGGGTTTTCGAGGTTCAAGTGTTTTTGGGTTTTGAGGTTTGAAAGGTCCAACCTAAATTGTGCATGCTCGCGTTGACCTTGTCAGGGCATGCTCTCGGCTCTGTCCTGCGGGTGGCCGCTGGGCCTCGAAGCAGCATCCAAGCAGAATGGCGCAGTCTCCTGTTGGTTTTTGAAGGCTCAGAGGTGCTTTCATAGGTAGGGGAGAAGTCCTGATCAGTGTCCCGCTTGCCCAGCTCCGGAGGAGGTTCAAGGTGGTTTAGGGGGGCTAGGCCCTGCTAGGCTTTGGGTAAGTAAGACGTAAAGAACAGCAAACCTATTCAAAAGCCTTCGCCGAAGCTTCGGAGGGCCTTAACAAGTTAGTGCAACTTGTTTTGGGGACCTTGACCATGACGTCAGTCCTCAGTAGAATGACCAGCGCGGGCAGTACTAAACATCATTCGGCTCAGCCTAAGCTATCTTGCTCCTACTTCTACTTCGTGTCCCTTGCATCCTGAAGCTCCAAACCCCTACATGGGCCCTAAGCCTGAATGGCTTCGATGTCCCAAACACCGAAGCAAAGCCCCCCTCAGAAGCCTCCCACAAGCCCCCCCCCTGAATTCTTCGCCAGCGGCTCGAGGCTGCGTCTTAGCTCAGCTCTCCGACATGAACAAGGGGAAGAGGCATCTGGCAGCCGGGTGGGAACCCATTTGCGAGTGGTGTGCTTTTCCGTGGTGCAGGGGGGTTCTGCGCAGTACTTTCAGACAGCCTTGAGGGTTTTTTTCAGACCTTCTGACGTGCGGGCCGACGAAGTTTTCAGAACTTCTTCATTCCCTGGATAAGAGGTTCGAGCTTCAAGGGTTCAGGGCTGCAGGTGTCAAGGCAGGACGTTCAAGTGCAGATCTTGATGCATTGGCCCTGCTTGGGTCTTAGGTCTTGGGTTCGTCAAGGTCTGCAAGGGTTGAAGGGTTAGAGTTCGGGCTTCAAGGTATACGCACAGGAACTACAAGTACATGCGAAACTTCGCCGACCTCGATCTGCAGTTGCAGGAGTCGCCTGCCCCGGGCTCCTACAGCTCGAGGTCCCGGCAGATCACGGCAGCGGAGTTTGCTTTTGTAGCCAGGTCTGTCAGGCTCAAGTCGGCTCAAAAAGCCCCTCCTTTCCCTGCTCTTCCCCGTTCGGTAGGAGCTTTCACCGCTGGTACCCCAGCCGGACAGTGGCCGGAAGCCGAGCTGAGAATTAACCAGAGTGCATCGGTTTGGGCCCAGGGCGGAATCTCACGGACTTTGGATCCTGTCAGCAGATCTGTCGGTGTGCGATGGCCACGTATCGTAAGTTGAGGGTAAGCCTTAGGCCCCAGATCTTTAAACCCGAGCCCTCGGCTCTAAACGACCCTTATCGCAAAGGCCAGGCCGCAGAAGAATGGCGCCGGCGTGGAGCACTTAAGGAGCCTCTTGGGGAGGGTGGCAGGCGTAAGGGAGCTTTGTGTTTCGGGGCTTAGGAATAAATTTCGCTGTAAGGCATTCGAGGGGCTTGAGGGGATTTTAGAGTTTGTGTTCCTTGTCTAGAAGCGTTTTTGCTCTTGGGAAGAAAGACCAGTCTGCCATATCACACCTCTGCAGATAGCCCAGTGCACAGCGCTTTGAACAACTCCTCCAACTACATTCGCTAAATCCCAACTTCAGCAATCGCCTGAGACTGCAGCCAGCGCGAGGTTTGAAAGGCCGTTGCAAGTGCATGTCGCTCAGAAGGAAAACTTCGAAGCCTCCCAAACAGCCGAAAACTTAACCCAGGTGCGTCGTGGCAACCTGATATGGAGGGTCAAGCGAGGCGACCACACGACTTTCAGAAGCCCCCCCTCTTTCTTTTCTCATCCGCACCAGGCCGTGGCCATGGCCAGTTTGCCGTGGCCGTTCTTCCGACAGGTGCTCTTTGCCAAGGCCCTGGCTGTGCCTCTGCTTCGGGGCGCAGGGCGTAAGAGCTCTTTTGGGAGAGGCTCCTGGTATAGGATGAGCAGGTGGTCACTCACAGCTTGTGCCGCGCCGCGCTGTGTCAAGTGTCTCCTACCACGTGAACCATGTCAGAGTCGGAAGATCGACATGCAGCAGATTCGTTCACCATGACACCTGAACAGCTGAACATCCAAGTTGACAGGCCCAAAACAGCCTGCTTTCTGTCGTAATGGGAACGAAGACTGGCATTGGCCAGCCGAAGCATGCACCATCTGGCGTGGATGTTGCGGAAAGCCTGTGCGAGGCTGATCTGGCTGAGTGTAGCTGCTTTTGCTTCTCCGAAGCTTTTGCCGCAACAGCTACTTGTGTGGCTGCGAAGGAAATATTGAACGATGCGTTTTTCCAGGACCTTCTGCCGTGCTATGGCGTGTCGATCCTCTTTTCTCCGAGTCTCTTTTGTCAAGGAGTTCTGGGAGCGCAAGCCGCTGCACCACCGAGCTGCCGAGCGGGGGCGGAGTTGGCCCCCAAGTTGAGCCTCCCAAGGGGAGCTTCAAGTTCGAGTCTTTCACGTTCCTCCGTCTGGCCACCCAAAGCCCGCACTGGTTTTCATGAACTGGTCAGTAAGACTGATGCTTCAAAAAACCACGGGTGCAGCGCCCTCTCACACATCAAAAGCGAGATCCGGCCGAGTAACTTGCACAATCCTCAAGATGCGCCACAAAAGACCTGATCCCTATAAAGCCAAAAGCACCCATGGAACCATCATATTATGACAACTCTGAAGGTGGCAACAGGCTCCCAGAGGCGCTGCTGTCGGACGAGGTGGCAGCTGCGGTCAGCAGCGCTGCAGGTGCCTGAGGGTCTCTAGTCAGAATCGAGCATATTTACTAGAGATTTGTGGGTTGAGGGCTGCGAGTCGGTGATTTGAAAGGCTTTTCTTGTTTAGAAGGGCAGGAGAGGAGACCCTCACGGTTTGGAGGGGTGTGGGCTTGGAAGGCAGGGTGACCCTCGAAGTGCTAGTGAGTAAAGCCCCGAATGCCTCGACCCGCACACCGCCCAAACCCTGCAACCCCTCAACCTAAAACCTTCTGGCAGGGAGCAACCTCAAGATGTTCAAGAACAACGAGTCAAGTAGCTTGCCAAGTCCCTGCGCGGAGCCGAGCGCAGTCTTGGTTTACGATTGAGAGAGTTTTGGTTCAGGTGTTCGGGTGATGTGCGCGCAAGTGTGAGCGCTGAATGCAAGGGCATTCCTACTTGGCTGGCTATTCCATGGTGATCAATCAGGCTCCAGATGCTAGTAGTTTTTGTCCAGGTGTTCTTGCTTCAGTTGCTGCAGATCTCACACGAGCATGTCGCGCTCGCCTTGTGAGAGATGTGGTCAGGCAGATCGTCATAGCAAGGTTCTCTACGATCTGTGCAAAGGCGCAGCCGCTGGAAAATTTCCCCTCAGCTTCAGGCTCCGGAAGCCCCCCCCCCCCCTCCCCCACCTCCCGGAGGCCTGTCTGCGCGGCACTTCCATCATGTCTTTGCTGTGGTCTATCTGACGCCGCCGGAGTCGCAGGCAGGGCATGGCAGGGCATGGCAGGCAGATGCAGGCAGGTTCATGTTCATGGATTGGCTCAGGAATTGCATGTGCCAGGCCGTGCGTGTCCACACAGATGATCAAGCTCCTTGGCGGGGGCTTTGCTAGGACTATTTTGCATGAGGCAAACTGAAGCCTTGAACTCAATCACCCCAAATGCTCTCTTTGGGCCCAAGGACGTGATCCTCCTCCAAGTTTGGGGCCGCAAGCGCTGGACGCTCTACAACGCTCCCACGAAGCTGCCGTACACCGAGGCTTCTTGGTTTCTCGGGTTAGACCATGTGGGGGCTGCGGTCTTCAAAGGGGATCCTGCAAGTCAGAGCCACTAGAGCCCAGAAAGGAGCCGCAGCATAGCTCTGGAAAGAGCAAACTTCAGCGTCCCTTGAGAGAGCGAGTGGATGGGAATGGCCCCATTTGGTGCATTGACCACAGCCATGGGTTTCTCAAAGCTAGTTCCGTCGAGTGAAAGAGGACTGGGCCCCGGATAACATCAGGATTTCTGGTCTCCATGCCCACAGACTCGCCCTCCTCCCCTATTTGCTGCCCCCTTGCCAGGAGATGCTTGGCAAAGAACAAGCAGTCCCGAGTGAGTTGATTGGACCCGCCGAGCTTGACTTCACCATTGAGCCCTACGATGCAGCTTGTGCCGCAGTACGGCACGCAGCTCCTGACTTTTTGTGGCTTTGTCATCTTGGGGGCTTACGATATTGGGAGGTACCTTACTGGGGTCCTTACTATAGGGGGGATCCTACTATTTGTTGAGTGTTGACTCGGCGAGGTCCTCTACATTCCGAGAGGAGTGCTGCATGAAGCAGCAACTGGATCAGAGCCATCCCTGCACATCACTATAACTGTGCAGGGCACTCAGGTGATTCCAAGGTTTTGCGGTCATTTCGGGGCCTCATCTCATCCATTTTGGCTTTGCCACAGCCTTGAAACGGTTCTTCTGAGCCCCGCTGTGCGAAGACCCAACACTCTCCGGTCTCACCCTGAACCTTCAGACGTTGTGAGGCCAACCAGCGATTTTTGCTGGGGTGTGCAGATGGTGAAGCATCTAGCTTCTGATCTCAGGCGAGCTCAGGGTTCTCAGGGTTTCGGGTGCAGGTTATCCAAGATAGGGTCTAGGAGTCTAGGGTTGAGAGTTTAGGAAGTTTAGTTGTGGCAGAGTCCAGGAGTTAAGTGAGCTTCGGTCCAACTTGAGTCATCCTGGTTTAGTAGCCTCGCAGTTGCAATGGCTTCTTGCTGGAGGATCTGAGACCCCGAGTACCAGACAGAAACCCCCCGACCCTGCCTTAACCACAAAGCACCAAGCCCTCAACTTCTTAGCTGACGTTCAGCGCCACGCGTACTTGGATTTCGGTATCTTTCGTAGATTGATGCGCCCTCGGGCGCGGAGGTCTCTGGGCTTCAGGGCTCCAGGGTTCTCGTGCTCTGGTGTCTCAAAGAGTTTTTTGGGGGCTTTTGACGGGTTTCAGGGGGGTCTAGGGGCTCGGGTGTGGGTTTTGCAGCTGCTCTCAGTACCAGGCAGAGCTCCTATCCACAAGAGCTCCGTTCCCTGTGCCAGGCTCGCCCCCAGGGCGTTTCACGCCCCCCCCCCCAATCCTGAAACATGTAGGCGTCCCATGCAAATCGGTGCAGACCCATGGCAGACCCAGAGCCCCAAGCCCCTAACCGCCCCAAACCCTGCACTGCAAGACTCGAAGCCGACTGTAGTTGTGGTAGCGGTTCGAGTCAGAAGCTTGTCGGTCCTGAACCTTGTTTTCAACTCAGAGTAATGCCCGGCACATATTCGGTACAGAGCTGGATTCCAGAATAGGGTTCTCCAGCTGTGTGAAGTGTACGGCTTAGAAGTTTAGGTTTAAGGTTTTCGAGTTTGGAGTTTTGATGACACATTTTTGCAAAAGAACGATGTTCAATCCTAGAAGTCATGTGAAGCAGGAGGGCCCAGTTGACAGTTTTGCCAAACCACGTGTGAACCAAATATTCTTGGATTCTCCAAGTTGGTTAAAGACAGGTTCGCACAAGATGATTTTTCTGAGGTACACCCAAAGCCAAAAGCCTTTGACACGAAAATGCTGGACCCTAGACCCTACGCCTTGAAGCCGTACAAAGGGCCCTGAAGCCTATTTCAAGCAGCACCAAATCAGAGACCTGCGTTCAGGCTCTCTTGGGTTAGAGGTTGGTCTGGGTTTTGAGAATCCCCCCCCCCCCCCCCCCGCCACCCCAAAAACCCTGAAATGTTGTCTTTCTGTGGAGGCTTCCCTTGCGGAAGGCATGGCCGGGATGGCCGGGCCCATGGAGGATGACGCTGCGCTGGACCAGAAGCTCAAGGACCTGCAAAAGACTCCTCGGCCTCCCTGCGGCTGCCCAGAGTCGTAGGATTGCGGGCCATTGCAGGGTTTACGTAGGGGTTAGGCGTTTCGGGGCGTCAAGGAGATCATGGACATCTGGACCTCGGATCTCCGCGCGCGGTCAGTGCTGGACAATTTCGAGAGCCGAATGGCTTTGGCCCTAGCATCGTGTTGTGGCTTCAAGACGCCAAGGACAAGAGGAGCTGTAGTCGACTGCAATCCCCACGTGGCCATACCGACGATTCCCCAGCTTGGCCAAGGGTGCGCCAAATGGAATCTTAAACCCTCAGCTCCCTCAACCCGGAAACCCAAACCCCAAACCCCAAACCCCAAACCCCAAACCCCAAACCCCAAACCCCAAACCCCAAACCCCAAACCCCAAACCCCAAACCCCAAACCAACGTGAGGATCGGACCAACCAGGGCCAGGCCAGCTTGCTTCGCAGAGTTTCCGTTGTCTTCAGGGTTAGGGTCCGGGGTTCTGCAAGGGTAGCCGAAGCTGCCAGGACCGCCAGTTCTCGCAGTTGAATGGACAAGATGCTTCGCCAGCGGTCTTGGCGACAGAGGAGAGGAGGAGCTTCGAGCACCTTGCGAAGAGTCCAAAAGCCCAAAGAAGCCCCGGGCATGAAAGTCTTTGCGCAACATCATCCACCCTCCTTCCGCCCTCTTTCCCCCCCCAAGCTTACACCTTCGAGGGACCATGTGATGCGGCCCTGCCAGGGTGAGGCTAATGCATGGCATCAGCTGCTGCTGTGCTGAAGGCACTCCGCTTGCTAAATTCTTCATTTTATTTCGTGAATGTTTTTTGGTGGAGAAGCTTTCTTTGGGCCATGGTGAGGCGGCACAGCAGCCATCTTCATGCGACCGGACGGGCACGCGCTGAAGATGAAGGTCCTGGAAGCAGCGATTCAGGGTCTTCAATGCTGGTGGACAACTGGGAACGTCATCAAAGACTCTTGTGCTCGAATACGCACTTTGGTTATGACATCGAAATGCTCAAAAGGCTGGAGTACTCGAAATTATCCGCTAGCGCGAGGCCTCGGCGTACTCGACAACGTTTGATAGGGGAGGGGGCCAGATTAGGGATGCGGGAAGCTGCTGCCAGACAAAATCTTGAGGGAGGCATAGGAGGCGTGGACTGGTGGGGCGGGTGGCTCAAAGCGTGCGTTGTGATTGTCGCTTGTCTTCGCTCCTTCGCATGCTGGCTTGTCTTTTCGCGTGTCCTCGCGTTTTCGCGTGTCATGCGGATTTCCGCACGACGGTGCCACCGACGTAGTCGTTTTTCCTTTGTGACCATCTTTTTGATTTCGTGGTCATGGAACGTACCTGGTTGAAAAGCATGAGCTTCGCTTCGCCTCTCTTTGTGGGGGACTCCATGAGTTCCATATCGCAGGGTTTGTAGACCTTCAGGGTTTAGAACAAACGAAGTACGCATGCGCATTGCGTGGTACGCGGAGGACGTCCGGAGCGGTGGGGCTCGAAAGTGATGTTTTTTTGTTTGGAGTGTACGAAATACATCGCGATTCACGTGGGCACTTCTCGTTTTCGTATCTTGGAACGCCTCGCAATCACGCGGAGGGCATGTTCGTGTGTTGAAATTTGCGACAACCTCGCAAATCACGGGGACCTTGGAACACGTGTTTTCGATGAGGATCATGTAGGAACCTGCTCATTTCGTGTCTTGGGATGTGCCAAACGCTGTAAACGACGCGGGAAAGTTTCATTTTGGAGTCTTGAAAAACACGACAGCATCGATAATGACGTGGGGATACGTGGGGAGGTTTCGTTTCGAGTCCTTGGAACGTCCCAAAGGTTTTCGTTCCATGGAAGGTGTGAGAAAGGCATAACATGTGGGGACGCGAATACACGTCGCTTATCACTTGGGGGTGGTTTTGGAATGCGTGCACACGAAATTGTCGTAAGCTACCTGGAGTTCTTGCTTGGGAAGGTACGGTATTATGTTGTAAACTACCTGGGGTGGGTGGAGCCGTGAGGTCTTCATGCAAGTGGACTCTCTTGCGAGCAATCCTGGGTCCGTGGCTCTTGCATTCCTTGAGGCCCGTCATGCTTGTCTCCCTCCCTGCCTGCGGCCTCCGCTTGGGTCAGTCAAGCTTGCACCCTCTGCGCCGGCCTCCGCTTGGGACAGCCACAAGCCTTTGTGCAGCCTGCATCTCCTTTGCCCCGTAGCCGAGGGTCGGTGCGCATCACGTGCTAGTCTTAGTGTGGGCACTTTTTCTTTGTTGGCATGTTCCCGCACCGCCCTCAGAAGCAGGAGCTAGGTCGTGGGGTCTGCGCCGCCCTCACAAGTAGTGGTAGGCATGACTTCTGTTTTTGTGTCATGAAGCGTACGAACACGTCGTACATCACCTGGGGCGTCGTGTCTTGGAATCTACGAAAAAGCAGCAACAATCGTCGTCATGTGGCTTCGTTTTCGTGACGTGGAACGTACCCCTCTCTGTTTGATCCTCCTGTCTCTATCTAGGCTTCAAAATGAAATCTAACTAGGCGTATACCCCACCAGAGCAAAGTGTTAGTTCGGTCCAGTTAGGTCTCACACGTTTAGGTCAGAATTTACGGTGAAACTTTCTACATACATCTTCCCTTACAGAGTAGACTCCAAACATGAAATATTGTCAGGCGCCGCACCTTGAATCATGCATTCCCCACGTGGAACGTCAATGTGGTTCCATGTGAAGGTCTCGGGTGTTGTTCCCCACCTCGATGTGGGGTTGTTAGATTTTAAACTCAACTCGTCTCCTCGCCCGGAACTCTTCTCCTCGCCCGGTCTACTCCTCGCTCATCCCTGGAGTGGCGTGCCCAACCCCAGAGTCTCCCTGGAGTGCCCAACCCCAGAGTATCCTCTACCAAGAGAGGGTGGGGATGTTCGAAGTAAAATAATTGTTCTGATCTTGTCTGCATATGTAGTGCCATGGGCACTTGTTGGACGTCCGAGTGGTGCAGTTGCAGGTTACCCCAGCTGCGGCGGTGCTCATTCGGGCCTTGTCAGCCTCTGTTCTGCAGCACAGGATGCATGAACCTTCCCGCAGCTTCACGTGTTGGGACTGCAAGGGACTGCAAGGGACTGCAAGTGTTTCTTGGTGTTGGGGTTTGGCTCTCAAGGGTTGAGGGGTTGTCACATTCCACACCGTCGGTGAGGGGTTGGTAGGTTTTAAGTCAGCCCCGTTCGTGCTGCTCGCCCGGTCTCCTCGCCCGGGCCTCCCGCCCCAACAGAGCATCCCCATGAGCATTTCTGGAGTGCCAGCCCCATCTAAGTATCCCTGGGGCCCGAGTTTTGAGTTCCTTCTCCCAAGCTTGAAAGAACCGTAGGCCGCCGTCTCCGAACCGCCCCCCACGCCAAGGACAAACCCCAGAGGATCCGAGACCTTCCTTGCGGAGACGCGTTTGAGCGCCTGTGCATCCTCGAGATCCTCCGGGATGCCGGAGTTGCGCCCTTACCGTTCAAGATGTTCAAGGGTTCCATATGGGATTCCGCTGGGTTCCTACGTGGGGGGCTTCCCGTGCTGCATTGTGCCGCACTGTGCGACAAGGGCTTATGACCTTGGGTCGGCTCAAGGGTGTTTTTGTTAGATTCTTGCTTCAAATGTTGGCCTTCTCGTGTAAAACATTTTGCTGACAGCAAGTGTGCTTTGAAAGAAAAGGAGCGCATTTTGCCCCGTTGCCCGAGGTTCTCCAACTCTTCCTGAAAGGCCCTGATGCTTCTGGCCCTGTGCCGGCTTGACTTGCAGAGAAGAAACAAGGGCGGGGGGCGACGACATGATACAACCAGCTCAGCGTGCGCACGTGCTCATGGGACATGATGGGGCTAGAGTTTCAGGTTTCGTCTTCCATCATCGGGATTTGGGGTTTTAGCGTATTGGGGTATTTCGAGGAACTTTGCAGAGCAGCAGTTGTTGATTGGGCACTCGACGCAACAAAATCCTGAGGGTCAAGGGCTCATCTCCGATCCGCACCAGCCCTTCATGGCTCCCTGGCCAGCTAGCACCTTAAGGTTTAGAGTTTCGAGCTGACTTAAAGGGCTTTGGATTTGCAGGCTCGACGCAGAAGGCGGATCTTGCATCAGGCACGAGGTGTCATGTGGTGTCACCGCTGTGCTGCGACGGTCATTGTTATCCTGCAGTTGATTTTGCTGCATTTTGGGGCGCAGGGGGCGCCTGCAGCGGACTGCGGCACAGACACGACCAGACTAGACACCACGAGGATCCCCAAGCCCGCAAGGGGACCTTGCTGATGCTGCTGATGCTCGCCGGGGGGAGCCATGATGGGCAAGCATCGTTGACACCTGGCGGAGCCAGGGGTGTGGAAGAGATGTATGATGACGCACAACATGATGCATCGCGCAATTGGTGTTTTGGAGAGATGTGATAATCGTTGATGCCCTCCTCGGGGATCACTCAAGGAAAAAGTCGGGGCACCCGAAAGTTGTCGCCAAAAGAACATATTCATGTTCGTACATATTAATATATACATATATATATATATATTTTATAAATGCATATGTACATACAGAGATAGAAAGCATCAAAAAGGGGCACCTAGCCGAAATATCCTTCCTTATCTAGTGTTTGCGGGTTACTTGGGAGGAATGGCCCGTTGCCTGTTTCCTTCGGTCATGCGGAGGGTCTTTGGAGGACGTTGAGACTTTCAGCATTATACCGAACAGCTCGTCACTTTTTCTCTTCACTAGCCGCTTAGCCGCCGTCTGTCAGTGGGGTGGGCGGACTCTTTTTGGCTACCCATCGGCCGGGTGGGGTTGTTATAAGATCTTGATCGGCCTAGCTATGCTCCGCCTCCCGATCCTCGCCCGGCCTCCTCTTCCCACATCTGCAGAGAATCCTGCAAAGTATCCCTGGAGCACCCGGTGTTGGAATTGTGGCAGTTTCTCACCACCTGGCAGCTGAACAGGCGCTTGAAGCCATCACGTGGTTGACGCATCAACGCTACCTGGATGAAGAGCCATGCTGTGATCGACACATGCGCTGACACACGTATTCAGGCTAATACATTGCTTTCACCAAGGCGCTGCCACTCCCCAACTGTCACAGAGCGGACGCGCTGTCCGTCGACACGTTGCTTTGACTCTCCTATACGGCCGGTTGCTCTGAGTTTGACATCTGACAAGTGTCTTGATAAGTGTTGCCCTCTCATGTCCAAGCACTGCCTCTCAGGGAGCTCATGGATCCACTTGCTGGAGCGCACAGATGGGAACTCAGCAGCGCTCGGGCGCTTTGGCGCTTCGATGTTGGGAGCCGGTGAACATGGTGAACTAGGATCTTGTGCCACAGCCAACACCTCAAAACCAGAACCCTGCAAGCCACCCCCCCCCTCGATCAGGTTCTTCATCTGGAGCGGCTGCAGTTTGCTTGGCCCCTTTTGGTTGCCATATCCTCATTCGTACCAGCCGCTGTTTTCACGTGGCTTGGGCGCGAGTATGTTGCAACGAAGAAGTCCAATGCTCCCTGAGGTTTCGATCGGGAAGGATGCTTTTAAGGCACGGAGCAGCATAGCAGGTGTGTCGACAGCCAGGCATTTCCGGGGGCTTCAGGCGGGTACCTCCCGCAGCTAAATCCTGAAGGCATGCCAGCAGCTCCAGCGAAAGTCTTCGTCAGTTCGAGTTGGTTGTTGGAGTGCCGGCCCTGGTGTGTGCGTGATAGCGAGTGCCATCAGCAGTTGCAGCAGTACGGCCAATCTGTAGAAAGACAGGGGACCCTGACATGGCTCCGGAGCCGCCTAAACTTCTGAATCTCCCGAAGCTAAAGCCCTAACCCTAAGATACCCCCAGGACCCTGCAAGCGCCAAGCTCCCCAGCCTACTCATTCCTACTCCCTAACACATCCCTACTCCAAGGGTCTAGGAGAAAAGTGCGCCCAAGCCGAGGACCGAATACGCCCTCTCAAGTGCACAGGTCTGCTGCTCAGAACAGGAGATTCAGGGGGGGGGGGGGCTCGGGGACGTGAAGGGGTTTTCTTTCCTTCTTTGACACACGTGGCCGCTTCACTGGACTTGGCTGGAGAGGTTTACGATCATTCACATACTTCTCCACCTTGGCGTGGACGTCTTTTACTTCGACATGGATACGTTCGGACGCAAGTTTCCTGATCTACCGCCATGCCCGGGTGTGGGTCTGTTGCGCCTTGGCTATGCCTTTGATAAGGTTTTTTCTGAAAAACCCTCTGCCCGCACTGCTTTCGCAGGCAGGAAATCGCTTGTTGCAATTCGCGGCATGCGTTCTGCCGCCACTGTTTTGGCAGCACTCTTCCTGTTCTTGTGCAGGTCCGCAGAGGAAAGTACGAAATACTCTTTTCTGGACATGGTGATGGGGATTGTGTCGCGGCCCCGTTCCACTACCCAGCACTTCTGACATACTCTGGGGACTGGTCCTTGCTTCTCTCAGATGTCACAAGAGGCCAAGGTTTGTGGGATGTGCATGTTGCGTCCTCAGATCAACATCGGCGTGTTCTACATCAAAGCGACGTCCAAAACCCAGCACAAAGCAGCGGAAGCCACCGAGGGAATGACAGATTCTGAACACGACTGGTTGTTCTCCTCCTTCAGGCTCTTATTCTCTTTGCCGCTGTCTTTGAACCTTTGAAATGAGCCCTAAACCCGAAACCCGAACCCTAAGCCATCCCAAACCCCAAGCCGAAAGCTTCGAGGTTTCGCACGACCGTTTGGTTCTCTCGGTTCTTGGACTGGTGCCCCTGGGAGTGCAGCCTCAGCATGCCTCGGCAGCCTTCTTTGTGGTTCGTCAGGTGCTGCTGTTCGTTGTTTCTGGGCTCGGCAGCTTCTTACGAAAAAATGAGTGAGAACATTCTATTTCAGTAGTTCACCGCAGCTGCTCCGAGACCTGGACCCCAGCCCAGCCCGCAGAAGACCCCCCCCACCTTGCGCAGTCGGTGTAGTCCGTGTAGTCATGCCGCACCCATGGTTGAATCGCCGCCGTAGCCCGCAACGTGCTCAGAGTGCAAAGCTGATGACTCAGGTCTTCTATTTTGTGACGGGAATTCGCGAATAGGGCTTGCTCCCCAACAGCCCTAAAGCCTTTAAGCACCACGAGCCAAAGTCTGACCTGCCGGGTGCAAAGGCGTGGAACTGCCGCAAGCGCCTTCTTGGTGGCTCTGGCGCTCGCCTGGGGCCCAAGACCGGTCTTTGGAGTCTCAGGATTTGGGGCCAAAGGAGGGAGCCTTTCGGACCGCAAGGCAACGCAAACCCCAAAATGTGCTGCGTGACCCAGGCCGGTTTCCAAAGAGGCCCGGGAGGGTGCAGAGGGGATGTCCCGACTCCCTAAACACCCAAACCCTAAACCCTAACCCCCAAACCCCAAACCCCAAACCCCAAACCCCAAACCCTCAACCCTAAACCCTAAACCCTAAACCGTAAACGCCCTAAACCCTAAGAGGGGCGATTTTGCTTCGGGGTTTGGCATCTCGATCTGCCAGTGCCTGCAGAGCCGTGACGGTCAACTGGCAGCAGCAAAGGCCGCATGTCCGACATGCCTCTTAGCATTGCGGAGGTCTCAGTCTGAGATGCATCCTAAACCCCCAGGAGTCTGAGACTGAAGCCCTACCGTAGTTGGGTGTGTATGGGGTATGTGAGGCCCCAAAATCAATGGCCCCTCATTACGGGCTCATAATTTAAGCCTTTGTTGAATGCGCAAGCTTCATCGCAGGCTTCGTGTTGTCGGGCTACGCGAAGCCGGGCTACCAAGTTCTTTTGCCATGAGCGCGCCTTCTGTTTTACCGTTTGGGATGGGGGCGTAAGGTTTTAGTTTTCGGGCTTTGGAACTAGTGTTTGCGTTCAGGATATGCTGCTGCTACTTCCAGATCGGTTTGAGACCTGTCACCCCTGAACCCTGTAAATCCTAAACCCTCTGCGTGTGTTTCGCAACTGAAGCCCCCCCCTCTCTGCCCCTCCTGAGCCCCCTCTGCTAAGGCAGGACCGAGGCCTGCCTGCTCTGCAGGCAACCTCGAAGGCCCCCGCAATTAAGGTTGTCAGGGGCCTTTTAGGGGGTTTGAGAGGATTTTCGGGAGCTTGAAGGTGGCCCTTAACCCTTAAAAATCCCCTTCAGGCAGCTCTTGCAGCCGTGAAAGCTGAACCACCAAAGGCTTCTGAAGCCCTTTCTGTTCCAGACGTCAACAGCCATAAAGTCCCACTGGCCTCAGGATTCTGAGCGTGCCTTGGCCACGAAGGATGCCAAGGCCTGTCACGCAACAGGGAGAGAGGTTGCAGTGTTGGTTGCAGTTTGCAGGCTAAGGAGTGCGGATGAGTGTAGTCTTGTGTTAGTCGTGCCTTATCGAGGTGACGAAGCCAGACGAAATCGACCTGGAGAAAGTCGTGGCGGATGCCCCCTGCTCGGAACTTTGGTGTCACAGTGACTTACAGTGACCCTCTGCGCCCTGCGGGTGAGCCAAAACCGTCCGGAGCGCGAATGAAAAGATAGGCAACATCATCTCTCCATCTCCTGGTTTTGAGGCAGAAGATGCTGACGATGAAAGGTTAGCTCGTGAGCTCTCGGAGTACGATGACGTGTCCGACAGCCCCCCGGCACATGGCCCCGCCTTCTTTGTGCTAACACCTTAACCCATTGCAAACTCTTAAAGCCCATTTCCTATACTGCAGTCAGACTGTCCTACGCGCTCAACATCCCTCAACATCGAAGGCATTGTAGCGGCGGCTGTGCGCGATGCCGAAACCAACAACCCGGAGGCACTGCACTGGGTGCTGGATGGTTCCTGATAAGAGTATCGAGGGGTCCTGTATCTCACTTCAGTCGTTTTTTCAGAAAGAACATCGGCAGTTTACTCAGATTGATTGATGATTTGAGGCTTGTCTAGTGCCCATTTCAAGAACGTTCGCGTTGCTTGGTCGCAGGTTGAGATCGAGCTGGCGCGAGTTGCCTGGCTGAGTCAGAAAGCTTTCACTACAGCGCGCTCTTGCCTCTACTTTCCCCCGTCACACATGAACCTCGATGGGAGGCGAAGCGACAGCAAGAGATCGCATCGGCCGTGGTAATACCATCAGGCGCAGCTGCAGCGTTCCGCACTTCAAACGCCCCAAAACCCTGAATCGGGGCCGGTGCAGGTCCCGTTTACGACGTCCTCTCTTTGGTTGACAAGCCCCAGACTTGGGCTGACCACGCTTCAGTTGAAAGGCATCATGGCTCTTAATCTTCTGAGGTACGGTGGCACCTCCGAAGTGTATGAAAACCACAAGGTGGCGGCGCAGGACCGAGCGGGCAGATTGTCCTTTGAGCTTTTTGATTTTGAAGTCGGCCCGCAAACTCAGAGAAACTCGTGTGCTCCCAAAGAGAGATCTTCAAAACGGGACTTTTAGGGTTGGTTCGGTACTGGGCGTGACACGGCGTCAGGCCGGCTACTTCCAGCAGCTCCCGCAAATCAGGACTCAAAGGGTTAGAAGATGTTAGAAGGCTTAGAGGGCTCAAGGTCATGCTCTTGGAATTCCTTCCAGACATGTGGGCTGGGCACGGAAACCATGCCAGGAAGTTCCTCTTCGAGCTGCCGGCCTGTTTGCTTCCGGGAGCCCTAAAGCCATCTAAGCAGTCTCAACTGAGGCCTCAGCGGTGTGAGGCTTCAGTTCCTGAAATCTAGAGCTCCTTACGGGTCCCTGTTGAAAAGTTCCCGCGTCAGGATTTCGTGGATGTCCATCGTCAGAATGCAGACCAGAGCTTCGTTGAGGCACTCCATAGGTTTAGAGTCAAAGTCCCTCAGCCCCAAACGCAAGAGCGCAACGTGCCCAAAAACCCAGCTCTTAGCAGTGCTACAGTCCTTGGTACTGGGGATCGTGGCCGCACACTCCTCCAAGTTCTATGCTGACAACAGATATTGGTGTTAGTATACCACCCTTGCCAGCATTCCGTTCGCTGATAACTTAAACCAAGCAATACAGAATTCGTGTTTATAGTTTCACATCTCATCTTGTATTCCCATCTGCAGAAACATGATAGTCGATCATAACTACGTTGCCAACTGCATCTTTTGTGTGTCCAGCATCCTTCATCCATTTAAATCAAGTTTTGTTACAACGGTTGAAAGCTCGACTTTTTTCAGCTCCGGGAATGGAATGCTGTCTTCGTCAGGGAAGGAACCTGTGTTGACAGAAGTGAGCGACTGCCGACATGCACCTGCTGCTTGCACAGCCTTCCGTGTTTGTTGTGCTTGCGTCAATCGCATTCGGGGGCCAGTCGCTGCGACAATCATGTTTCGAGGTGCAGTTGACATGCCTTTTGCGCCCTGTATCCATGTGCCCATTCTACTTGCGAGGAGCAGGGGGTTTCTGGACATTTCGATGCTGCCTCCACAAAGCCCAGAAACTCAACTCTCCAACTCACATGTAGAACTCGCCTTAGTTTCAGGTCGAAAGTGTGAGGCTTGTAGGGTTCGGATCAGGGTGAGGCATGAGAGTGTTCGGGCCCAGGGTTCGGGTACTTTGTTGGGATTTGAAGCTGCCTGTCTCCCAATATTCCCAATCAGTTTGAGCACGCGACCGGCTCCAAGTTGGTCCTCGTTGGCGCGGGGCCCCAGCTCCTTTTGGGGGTTTACGAAAATAGGGGTAGGATTCCCTTCTAATAAGGACCCCAAAAAGGGTACCCCTATTTTCGTAAACCCCTGTTTCGGGAGCTTTGGGCATCTCCGGGAACATGCAGGAAGCTTCGCAGCGTCATGTGGCGACATCAGGCACCAACCACATCTCAAGGAACTCGACGGAGTTCGCGCGGCAGACCGTTCTCAAAGAAAGGCCGGCTGGGCCTGTGATGCCAGAACGCTCTTCAGCAAGGATGACGGCTGTTGCAGTACTTGGGCAGCCTCAGGAGCCCGAAGCCCAAAACCCTTCGGAGCAAACCTCCAAGCTCCTTTTAGCTTAAACTCCCCGAGGCGGCTAAACCAACTAGGCCGACCAGCGCTTCTTGTAGGCCAGAGTGCCTGGTCATCGAGAGACGCCTTGGCGATGACAGCGCCGGCCTGAGTGTCTTGGGGCCTCTGGGAGGATTTAGAGAACTGTAGCCGCTACGTTGAGAGACTAAGCTGGCAAAAACACATGCAAGCATGTCTTTAGTTTAAGGTTGAGGGCTTCGCTTACGGCACAAAGAGGGTGTAGGGTTCTCTGGGGCAGCTCGGGGTGCGGGCTCTTGAATCTAGGACCAAAGCACTTGTTGCAGCGAAGCCGGACACCCCTAAGCCCCCACACCATCTTCCCAAAAGCCCTGAAGCCCTTGAAGTGCCTATGAGGTTTGCAGCGCCTGACACTTCCCGAGAAGCAGCTCCAGGCCAGGAGTGCCGGGGTCCGGAGTTTAGGACTCTTTGGCGAAAGCCTTTCGGCTGGTTCAACCCGTGGAAGGCCCCTGGGAAGGTGCTGGGGTGTTCTGAGAGGTCCCCGAAAGCCCGTGCGGCCAGCCTGGAGGGAGCTCGCACACCCCTTGGGCTCCCTTTCGTCTGTGCCAGGGTTCGAAAAGGTCACCTTTTTCGACATGAGCGTAGGTTCGGATCTTGGAGCTCCAGGGATTGAGGCTAATGGGCTTGTGAAATCGCCTCCAAGAAAAAAGGTGTTCTGACTGCCATGAGGTTGGGGAGAGAAAGGGCGGTACTTTTGTGAGACTTCGGGGCGATGCCAGGAGAAGCTCATGGCCAAGCCACCGGCCGAGTTCTTGTCGGCCACTGAGTTGAGCTTGTCGTTCAACTGCGGCACAGCAAAAGCAAAGAAGGCTCTGAGCCGAGAATCACCAATTGCCAGAAGTCCGGAACGATTGCAGTCGCCTTGTGAGATGCGTGTTTACATTGGAGTCTTCAAGACTTCTTTTGTGCGGTCGCTCCTGGTCATTTGCTTCAGTCAAGGTCAAGTGACACAGCAATCGACCGCGCAAGGAAGTTCCAAACGGACCGTATGTGGCTTGAGGCTCGTCGTGGGTTCACTCACGTCACACGTTCCTCAGGCGAAGAATTGACATGTAGCTTAAGACCCGAATGCGTCGGAATGCTGAAGCTGTAAACCCCAAGAACAAAGTCCTGAATCCTCAAGGCACTGCCCTATGTCCCAAAGCCCGACCCTAAACCGCAGTTCCTTGGCAGGCCAGCGCAGGCTGGCGTGACATCGGCGGTGAAGCTGCCGTCTGCCACGAGTTTGGCGCCGCGGTCGAGGAGCGCAGAATGCGCAAAATGCGCAAAGCAAATGTGCATCCCGGAAGTTTTAAAGGATTTGATAAAGGGGCCTTAAGGGGTTCTCCCGGGGTTTTTCAAGATTGTTCTCTAGACTGCTACACGTGTACCTGCTTGTCACACTGCTCACCAAGAGTTGCTCCGGGTAGCTGCCTGTGCGTCCGTCCGAGCCATTGCATCCTGTTTGCCAGCAGTCCCTCCTGCAGTCATGCGCGACCGTGTGTTGACGGATTCCGATTTCCATCATTTTGTCGGTTGCAGTTTTCTTGTCGGCCGTCGTTATCAAACTTGCCGGTGTCACCTTGCAGTGCCGACAAGTGCATTCACCGGGCTCCGTTGTTTGTAAGCATGTCACCCGCAGCTTTGCAGTGAATGCAACTATCGTCATTGCGAATACGGTGCCGGGCTGATCGCGCGCACGCGCCGTGGCCATTCTTCCGCACCTCCGGCTTTGCTGTTTGCCACTTGCGTGGTCGGACGTTCGCACGATGACAGCCCGCATTGCTGCTTCACGGGCCATAGCTCGCTTGCGAGGGGTCAGGAACTCTCGATACGCATCAGGGAGGAGGTGCCCATGGACTTAAGGTTATTGTTTTTCATGACCTGGGGCCAGAAACCCTAAACCCTACCCTTGTCTTTGTGCGCCCCAGAAGGGTTTCAACGTATTTCGTTAGAAAGGGCTCAGGTTTGTTCCAGGTGGCCAGAATTCCGCGTTAGCTTGTTGTTGTGCCGCACCGAACGCCAGAGAGAGGGAGAAGGCTTGGCAGTTATAGCCCGGTTGTGGGGGTGGCCTGAAGCCCTGTTGCAAAAGGGCTCGAGCGCAGAAGCGTGCAAAGCATCCCACGTTTCTTTCAGGCCTTCGCGCAGCTTCGCAAGGAAGGCAGGGCCTGCAGCTTTCAGTTTTCGGGATGTTGTTTCGTTTTAGCCGTTTGAAGGGCTTCTGCTTCTTCGTACATTAGGGGAGTATGTAACCCAAGGTTCCCTAATAACTCCCCACTACTCCCTAAGGCTCCCGAAGCTTCCCGAGCCCCATCCCTGAAGAACCCCATAGTTGTTGGGGCTCTCTGTGTATGGATTTTTTGGACAAGGTGAGGCATGAAGCATGATGATAGCAAGGAGGGGAAGAACTAAAGACGTACTTTCCCCCAAGCATTCAGCCGGCAGACCCCGAGCACCCTGAAATCCTATAACCTTAGAAACTCATCGTTGGCCCCGAAACTTGACGCACCTGCTTCTTTGCGATTCCTTCTCAGGTACAGACGGGCAGGGCCCGCGTGGCGGGACGCTGTGCTTTGGCGACTCGGATTTGCGGCCCCTCTACAAGAGGCCGGCCAGGGTGCAGGGTGTAGGATTTAGAGTGCAGGGGCAGTGTAGGGGTTCAATAACCAACCCGCACTGCAAACCTGGCCCTGACTTGTAAGGGTGACGATCATGTGCATCGTCGCTCAAGCATGAATTGGGCTCAGACAATGTCTAATGACTGGATTCGGGGGCGAAGCTGTCCGGCTCATTGTGGAAAGTCCTTCGGATTCTTCTTTGTTGTTTGGAGTTTCTCCCGGAGCTTTGCTCGCCACCTTGGCCTCAGGAACTTCCTGCTTGCACCTTGGCGTCCAGCCTGTCTCCTCCCCGTCTCCTCCTCTCGAACAACCTTTCCCGGCGCGTGTTCAGCTGAAGCTCACGAGGTTCGCTACTTGGGAGAATGACCACACCGAAGCTTAACCCCTTAGAAGCCTTAGACGCCTCAAGCAAGCTAATTGAAAGCTTTACCTCCCTTTAATTCCTACGGCCCTTTGGGAGCCCCTGAAGCTCCAGAAGACCTGTCGTCAGGACTCAGGATGCCGGGATGCCGCCCAGCCTCAACGACCTTGGGCCGGGGGAGCTCAGGATGTTGGGGTCGTTTTTTGAGTCAAAGCTCATAAATCGGGCGTTGGTGCACCAAGCATTGTGAAGATGAGGCTTTGGAGCCTTCGAGGGTTGACGGTTTAGGGCTTCAGGGTTGCGGGCTCGAGTTTTACAGAAGTTTGATATCTGGGGTGCAGGGCTCGGAGTTTGGGGGGTTTCACCTCATTTCACCTCTGCAACGCCTCTGGATCAGGCTGGGTGCAAATGTGGCTTTGCGAGACTTGCAGTTTTCAAAAGTTGCGTGCTCAGCTTGGGTTTCGGCCACTTTGTAGAGGCTCGGCGTATGTCGGTTGTCCGGTAGAGGCGGTAGAGGGGCGGGCAGAGCACTTTGAAGATCTAGCCGCCTGCGTGCTAGATCGTGCTAGCAAAATCAGCAATCGGCTTCAGGCTTTGCGAGTTGCGATGAGGACGCACAAGAGCTCTGCTGACATGTTTGCGAAATCATGCTTTGCCCCGTGAAGTCTAAGCTCGTCTAGTCGCTTGAGATCCCAAAGATTATGGGCCCAAGCCCCAAACCCTGAACCTGAGCACTTTACTGACTTGAGCATTCAGTCCCGTCGTGTCCAGGTGTTGTGGGTGTCATCGGAGACGGCCACCTGGCCACTTGCCGCTTTTAAGGGTTTTGGGTTCTTCGCCGAAGGGAGGGTGCAGTTTGCAGGGACACCCATTCGAGCCCAGGCCGGTATCACGAAGCTGATGCAGCAAGTCGGGAGCACGGGAGAGTCGACCCAGCGTCGACGTGGCAGTCGTACATAGCGCACTCATAGAGCATTCTTTCAGCATTTTTCGGTTCTTCACCGCTACGCCTGAGGATCCCCAGGTCCGAGTTGTGAAGCAGGCGTGAACTTCTTTTCTTGGTTCAGAGGCTCAGGGTCTTAGATCCTCAGAGCTTTGCAGGGCGTGCCGCTCGACCCACCATCCTGGGAGGACGACATGAAGGCTTGGCCGGCTGTTCATTTGTACCCTTGCACACGGCGCTTGCCTTTCCGACACTTTTCTGGCACTCTGACAGGACAGAGGCAGGAAGTGGGAAAGAGAAGCGCTCGGAGGGGGACTTCTCTTCATGCGCCTCGTGGAGGCCAAGCCCGCCACGCTGTGTGGGTTTAGGCGGCTTCGGCTTAGAGATCTTTAGAGTAGGTTTGGGTGAGGGGATTTTTGGGGGTTCGGGGTCAACACGTCTACTACAAGATCCTGCCAGTGGAGATCCGTGGAAGGCGATCGATGCATCGCCCATCGGCAACTGGATGGATGCCGAGGCTGTCCTGGAGCTGGAGGCAATGAAGGAGGCCGCAGCCACGGTCCTCTACCTGCTAGCTTGGGTTGTGGCTTCAGGCTTCGAGAGAAGCCCCCCCCATCTCCTTGTGCCCCCGAAAAGCCCTACTTCAAAAACTTCGGCGTGAATCCAAAATCTCTGCACTGGAGCCATGGCCACACGGAGCCCATGTTCCTGCGCCCCACCCATGTGGCAACACTGGATTCTGAGGAGGGGACCCAAACTGCTGGCCACAAAGGCAGCCATGAAGGGAGCAGCTACTGCGTCCAACGGGCGGGTCGCAGCGCCAGAAGCCTTCATGCCTCCCATGTTGCAGAAATCGCCAAACCAAACATGGGCCCCTCCCTTCGTGACTTCTGCGTTGCGTGCATGGGTTTTTCTGTGTGCCTCCATCTTCATGGCTCTGGGGCATGGCTTCAATGGCTTCGAACCTGTCTTGGATCGTGGGCTGTGGGGCTCATTGAACCTGGGCTTCCTGTGGCTCCCTGAGGCTCCCTTCCAAGGCTCCGCTCCCCCAGCAGAAATGGTTCTCAGAACATGCATGGTTTCTGCAAGCTTCCTGAAGTTCTTCGTGGCAGGGAGTATGGCAAAGATGCTTTCATATGTGCTGGCGCGTGTTGTCGTTGGGTGATGGTTTTCACATTTTTTGTCTCTTGTCGGCCAAATTGGGGGTCCTGGTTGTTATTGAATCCGGCTTGTAGTTGACTCAGGAAGGAACCGTCCAAAGCTGTTGTATGTATCTTGAACATCTGTCATTTCAGCCGCATGTTCCGGACTTTTGACAACACATGCCAAATAAGGAAACACCAACTGTCCAATCCAGAACGCCGTTTGATGTGGGCTGGCACCACAACCTCAGTCGTACCAAATCGACATGGACAAGAACAAACATAACATGGCTGGTGGTGAATCATTCCGTTTGTGCTCTTTACCCGCAACTGTATGGATGGAGATTGACTTCTCTAAGCCTCTAAGCTTGGCTCCGATGTCCAAGTCGCACTAAAGCGGTGCGTAGAGCCGAAGGAAGTCATGCTTGTGAGCTGTGAGGTTGTCGGGTTGTCGGGGGTAGAAAAGAGCATGGCTGCGAATTGATGCTGGTGAGATCTGAGCCTTGGAGCTTCCAGGAGACCTCAGCGCGGCTGGAAGAGGACGGGCTGGAGGTGCGTTGTTGGCCAGGGTTGGAGTTGGGGTTGTGGTTGCCGGCCATGCCCACACGGACGTGGCATCCAGCATTCTATTGCAATCTACTTCACATCGAAACATAATGCATTATCCACAGTTGCCAACACAGCTGTATGATTTCGAAACGTGCCTGACCTGCTGACAGTGGACTTCGCACATCTTTACGCTCCAGGCGGAACCAGTGGCGCCGAGCTCATCGCAGCTTGGTCCGGATCTGAGTTTCAACAGCAGGTGCAGGGCACAGGTGGCCGGATCCCGTTTTCGTCATGGGATGAACCTACCGAAGCTGCCATGCCCGTGCAAGAAGGGCTTGAACCACAATCATCAGAAATTAGTTTCCCAACCTCAAACAAGTGCTGAATAGTCCTAGTGCAGCTGTTGGCAAAACATGGTTAAAGCAAGCTTGAACCCTGTAGCCTTTTCGAAGCCCCAAAGCTGTCCAAACCCCGGTACCTTCAAACGCTGCTGCATTCCCCTGAGAAGCAGGTGAAGACTTCACTGCGCGCGGCCTGCTGGTCACGCCGAAAAATGAGCAGGAGCTGAGGCCTCCCCGGGACCTCGAGAGGGTTTTAGGGGCAGGTTAGGGGCACAGATTCCAGGGAGCTCTTCAATCAGAGACCCGTGACAGCTTGAATAAGTTCACATATCAGAAGGGTGTTGCATCAGGCGGTGGCTCTCCGGCCAGCGACTGGGTGGGCAAGAAGCTGGCGAGTTTCCTTTCGAGAACAGGAGCGGTGAACTCTTGTTTCATGCTTCTGGGACAGCGGCAGCTGCCAAGCAGCTTTGGCGGGTTAGGGGCCTTCACAGAACAAAGAGTGCATGAGCCTGAAGCCCGAAAGCCTTCAATTCTTAAAGGCCTTAAACCCAAGTTGTAAAACACAAGACTGATGCCTATACCCTACTCCACAGCCTTGATTCTGTCACTAGGAGACTGCGAAAAGCGGCACCCAAGTTGCCTGTGGCCCAGGTATGACACACTAAACTGCAGATGTTTGAGGTTGGGCTCTGGGGTTAGGGTGGGGTCTTGAGTTGTATTGCTGAATGCTCAATTCTACCCTTCCCGATCCTTGCATGACCAAGTTGTCTGACTCATGCTTGCAAGCTGCTCTCACTGGCTACAATTTGCTTTTTCCGTTGGTGCTGTGGCTTTTCTGTGGCAGTTGCTAGGAACGCACCAAGAAGACATTTGATGACATGAGGGTGGTGATGATGATGATGATGATGATGACGATGATGACGATGATGACGATGACGGTGCTGACGATGCCGCTGCTGCCGCTGCTGCCGCTGCTGCCGCTGCTGCCGCTGCTGCGGTCGCTGCAGCCGCTGCTGTGGTCGCAGCTGCTGCTGCTGCTGCTGCTGCTGCTGCTGCTGCTGCTGTTGCTGCTGCTCGTCAGGAGGGGGAAGAGGCGGAGGAGGAGGCGGAGGCGCCAGCGGGGGCGGGGTTGGAGGCTGGGGGTCGGGGGGGGGGGGGGGGGGGTGTGGAGAGAGAGAGAGGATGAGAGGATGAGGAGGATGATGAGGAGGATGAGGAGGATGAGGAGGATGAGGAGGATGAGGAGCCTGAGCACAAGGAGGATGAGTGGGGTGAGGGGGATAGGAGCAAAGCGACGATGATGAGGGTGACGAGGGCGATGAGGACGATGATGGCCACTGATGCTGACAGTGATGATGGTCACGATCACATGATGCCGTTTTGTGTCGACCGTCCGTGACGCTGCGCCGCAGCCAAGGCCGAACACTGGCTTTCCCTATACGAAGGAGGAAGCAGAGCGAGCTCAAGAAGAGAACGTGGTCGCATAACTTTTAAACGCTGAAGTTTGTAGACATTGTAGATGCTTTGGACCTTTGTGGGATCCCCTGGTGACGCTCCATTGCACCAGACCTGAGACCTGCGGCAGAAGACGTGAAAAGCGTGGTTGCTTACAAGCGCACCGACTGTTGCCGGGGGCACATCGGATTATGGACATGAGCCTGTGGTGAAATCATTAGAAATCAGCGGGTGATCATTTTCCCCTTAACCCTAAACCCTGAACCTTAAACCCGAAAAACCTTAAACGCTAAACCCTAAGCCCTAAACCCTCTTCAGAGAGGTACCATGAGCATCAGTATGAGATCGATCAGCGCGGCTTGGATGCCGCGACCTCGGGGCCTCTGAAAGTAACGCCCGGAAGGCTGGGGATGGCTCCGGTCACGGGGCTTAGGGTTTAGGGTTTAGGGTTTAGGATTCAGGGCTTAGGATTTTTGGCTTGAGGGTTCAGGCATTAGGGTTTAGGTTTTAGGGTTTAGGGTGATTGATTGTGATTGGTTCAGGTGATGCTGGGATCGCCCTTGCAGACTCCAGCCGGTGAGCTTGGGGTGGCCTTCCCACCGGAAGATCTGCCAAAGGCCGCCACGAGCACTGCTGTGCATCCTGGGTCCAGGGGCTCCTTTGTGGCGTTTTGTGGCGTTTTGTGACGTTTCTGTGTTGTAGGTGCGGGTCGGTGTGATGGAAGATGAGAACGAGGCCGGTGCCTTACCAAGGCGAAACCAAGTCTTCGCGACTTCGCAGCAGACATGGAACGGAAGGTCGTCATCGGCTTCGTTGGTTGGTATGGGCACGTGTCGCGCATGCTGGTGTCGCTGGCCTCGATACGTGCGGCAGTGGAGCAGAAGCTGTCAGTTGACAGACCAAAATAGATCAAAACTTTACGGACTGAGGTTTCACTGGTGCAATTCTCCTTTGAAAGACAAGTGGGAGGAGTGCCTCCTCCTCTGGTCATGCCTCCGTTGCAGGTCGAGTAGTAAACACCATGTTGCCTCCCAGCCTCTCTTGATCTACAGGAGATAAATGCCGCCTACGATGCTGCAGAAGCGATCGAGGCCAGCCCTACCTTGTCCAACGTGCGTTGACACGTCGATCGAACCCTGAACCACAGCTATGAAGCGGATTGAAAGGGGCCACAGGGAGGCGCGGGAAAACATGAACGGCATATCAAAAGATCCCAGCACGTTTTGCACGTTTTGAGACAGTGCCCCACGTGGCTGAGGGCTGGATGCCGCAGGATCCTCAGCTTCGTGCTGGGGTAAGTGCGGTTCTGGAGTTGTTGGTGCAGCTTAGCTTTGAGGCATTGTTATGGGAGACATCCCCTTGCCGTGACTAGTTGCCGTGCATGCATCCGCTGTTTCACAGAGTTCTGGTGACTGTCGCAGTAGTACATGTGGTACGAAGCTTGGCGAACCGAGAGGGTTGGGGAGTCTCATCCACTTGGCAGGCCTCTTGCGGGTAACCGGCAGTAGAGTCCGGCAGTATTTGCCTAAGTATGAGCTTCAGATCACGCCGCGTACGGCGCGTGATACCGTTTCAGACTGCATGGCGCAGCGTCTTCTACATCACTAGCACCCTACACCCCCAGGACCCGAGCCTAGCATAGAGGCCCACCAGCGCAAGGCTCTCCCTGGCCATGGCCGTCGTGTCCACGGCCCATTTTCGGGTGGAGCCGCGGGAGCCTTCGGAGTCGTCGGGGGGCCCGGAAGTGCGAGGAAGTGCGAGGAAGTGCGAGGAAGCGCAAGGAGGTGCAATGAAGTGCAATGAAGCGCACAAACCCGACCGATCCCGACCAGGTCCGTGGGCCCGTGGTTGGGGTCCGTGAACCTCTACACGGAATATAAAGACATAAAGTCAGCTTCGTAGCTCCAACAGACAGGCCCCAGCAACTCCTAAGACGGGAAAGCTGACTCGGCTCACGGGCTTGAAAAGCCAAAAGAGAACAGAACCAACCTATTCACTGCATAGTTGACGCACGTCCTTGATAATTACATCAAAGGCCATTCAGATTTTGTTGGACAGTGCTGGTCTCTTCAGTCTGAACTTTCTCGTTGAGTTTTCTGGAGGGACTTACAAGAGCACACAATAGCATATAGGTAAACACGTATACGAACATATAAGCACACACAAGAACATACAACGAACAAATTATTTACTCATGTGTAGTCGTTCATTTCATGCCTATAGCCATACTTATGTAAGCGTCTACAAGCCGTATATATATATATAAAACAATTTCTGGAAAGAAGGTTTTCGCCGGTTTCGCATGAACACATGTTGAGGCATAAGTCAAAACAAACATGGGGAAACAGTGGCTCTTTCTTCCCACTATCGAACGTCGAGGAAATGGAGGGTTTCCTCTGCGAAGATAGCGGAAATACAAGCTTTTGGGAAAAATAGAGGGAAATGACCCAGGAAAACAACGAAAGCATCTCCCCTCCCCCAAGACAAGATCCGCCCAACACCACCCGAATAGCTGAGAAGACCCACGCCCGAACGGAGCAATGCCCTCAACAACACGACCGACACGCACTCAAACCCGCCAGTCTCATGTCTTTGAGGTGGTTTGTGGCTGACACGGGCAAGCCCCCGCCCCTGGGTGGTCCCACGCCTGGGTCTTAGTTGGTTACCTGGCCTGCGGCGAGGGTGGGGGGTGGTTTCGTTTCAGGGCTCAGAGGGCTTAGGCACGTCATCAGAAGAATGGGTCAGATGCAAGTTTGACGCTCTTCTTGATGCCCGAGCCTTCAAGCCCCAAATTTCCCAACCGTTACACCTAGCCCCTAATCCCCTGAAACAATCCCAACCCCTAAGCCCTATAGCCCATAGCCCTAAGCCCTAAGCCCTAAGCCCTAAGCCCTAAGCCCTAAGCCCTAAGCCCTAAGCCCTAAGCCCTAAGCCCTAAGCCCTAAGCCCTAAGCCCTAAGCCTTAAGCCCTAAGCCCTAAGCCCTAAGCCCTAAGCCCTATGCCCTATGCCCTACGCCCTAAGCCCTAAGCCCTAAGCCCTAAACCCAACCCTAAACCACATAAACCCTAAACCCCAAACCCTAAACTCAGCCCTACTGACCCTCAGCCTCTCTTGAAGATTTAGACGCATCCACCCAAGAGCCTTCGCGCTGCGGGGGCCAGGAACATCCCTAAACCCTAAACCCTAAACCCTAAACCCTAAACCCTAAACCCTAAACCCTAAACCCTAAACCCTAAACCCTAAACCCTAAACCCTGAACCCTAACCCCAAACCCTAAACCCTAAACCCACCCTAAACCCTAAACCCTACACCCTAAACCCTAAACCCTACACCCTAAACCCTAAACCCTCAACCCTAAATCCTAAGCCCATCCAGGTGGCGAGCGGTTGCCACGGCGCGGCGGGTGATCGAAGTCCCCGGGTCGCCCGAGACCCCCCTTTTGACTTTTTTCAAGGAACTTTGGGGCCGTTTTGGTGGGGTTTAGGGTTTAGGGTCTAGGGTTGAGGGTTTAGGGTTTAGGGTGTAGGGTTAGGGTTTAGGGTCGTAGGGTGCGGGGGTCCTTGGGGTCTCGGCTTTGGGAGGTTTTAAGCGCTCAGGGCCCTGGTTGACAAGTCGGCTTCTGCTTGAAGGGTTCATGCTGAAGATTCTTCCCATCAGGAAAAGCGTAGTTGGGCTGTGCCGTCCTTATATAGCGGCATCCGAGCGGATGCCTCCGAACCCAACAGTTTGTTTACAGGCTTTAGGGATGCTGGCGTTGAGGGATTCTAAATCCCAAGCCTCAAGAGAACTTCCTAACCCACGTGAAGCCAAGCCAAGGCGTACCGCCTGCCGAAGCCCCTGGTTCGACTCCCCTGCAATTGAGAGTTGCGCCGACTTGGGGTTTCAGGATTAAGTGTTCAGGGGTTGGGAGTCATGGCAGGATGCTGATGCAGCAGGTGTCAGACTGTCTATTCCAAGACGCGGACTACAGGAGTTTTTTTTCTTTCGCCTTTGCATTCTGCAGCAGGCCATGCTGCCTGAAATCAGTGCGCATCTGCTGAGCTGCTATCGGTGCAAACGCCAGGAAAATCCAGACCGGCATCAAGTTAGTAAATCGAGTGGTTTACAAGGACGCTCAAGAGTTACAAGCTAATGTTTCGTCATTTCCCCAAGGGTGTCGTGGCATCGTGGCATCGTGGATGTGTAGCTTGTGACCCTTTTTGGCGACGCACTCGCAGTGAACATGCATCATGTATGTATGTCAAAACTGGAGGTCATACGCTCCCCATGCAGACAATTCAAGAAATCTCTTGCTGACTCCGCAGATCCTGCTTCGGGACGTCCAGTGCCAGTGCTGTTTGGAAGACGGTCCTAGCAAGTAAAGTAAGCATTATGTGATCGGCATGTGAGCAACATGGGGCCATGCTTCGAGCTGGACGCCACAAGGAAGGCCATGGAGCCGTTGGATCTGCCTTCTGCAGGGAGGGTTGAGAAGTAGATTGTCTGACGCAGGAGTACAAGGGACCTGCGTATTGAAGCGCATGATTAGGCAGCAGCTTTATGAAAGGCTTCTTTGAAAGGGCTGTCGGGATGCTTGGGTTCGGTTTGCTACCCCTTCCTGGGCTTACAATTATCGGAGTCGCTTGCATGTTTGCGCGCCACAAGATTGCGTGAAACTCCGTAGGGGGCGGGGGTGATCCTTGGGCTGCTTTCGACCAGCAAGCATGGCAAGTGACAGCGGGGGCAAGCAAAAGCTGCCGCTTGGCATGTTTGAGGGTTCAGGAGCTCAGAACCTGTGTGACTGGTTTGTGCCATACCCGAAGCACCTAAAATCCAAACTTCTCACAGCTTTCCTGAATCTACTGGAAGCAGAAGCAGACCCTAAACCCCGAACTCGAGAACCCTCAACTCCCAAAACTCCCCTAAGCTCCCTAAGGTTGGTGTACACGGGCATGCTCGTGGTCGGACTCACCATCTCACAGATCTCTGCAGGGCATCTGGCCACCGGAGCGTCCCTGGGCTTTTTTAGGGTTCAGGGTTTAGGGTTTAGGGTTTAGGGTGTCTACGCCGCTCCCCCAGATCTATCCTTCAGGGTTCCGGGGAGTCATAGCTGAGGACCATCCTGAGATCGTCTTTTAGACATAGTTGAGCCGGTCACCCGGGCTTGAAAAAGACCGCACCCTCGTGTTCCTAAAAAGCAACCGCTCGCCCATGTCTTCTTTGGGAATAGCAAACGCTTTTCATTCAGCATTTGGCGCAACCAGTACTTCCTTCAATGTTAGGAAAGTAACTTTACATCTTGTTCCAATCGTGTGCATGTCATGTCGTTTGTTTGCAAGAGGGACTCTGCTTTTTGTGTTCTTTCTTGCAAAGAATGAAAAAACTGTCCTTATGTCTTATGGAGACAAGTAGGGGGATACTTGTTGTTTCTGAGATATTTAGCAATTTTGAATTTAGGGGTGTCGCAGGGTCTTGGCGGGTTTTAGTTTTAGCGTTCGGTGCAATTGTTTGGCTGAGGGGCTACGAGTTTGTGGGGTAGAGCAGGTACAATCTGTACGGCCGCGTGGTCGGCGTGCTCACGATGTTTGCGCTCTCCTTTCTCATGGTCAATGTCGGCCATGAGTTCGTGATCGAGCGAAGCAAGCTGGGAAACTATGCCCAGGACTACTTGGCGACTCGGCCCCTTAAAGAGAGAGCGTCGCGTTGAGCCTCGAACTGCCTGAAGAGATGCCTTTGAAGATTCGATATGAGATATTACCAAATTTTAAGAGCTCCCTCTTTTCTTTTCCTTGCAGGCCTCATCTCATCGTTTTTTGGCGTGTGTGTGTTTGGGTGCCAAGGTGGCCATGTCTGCGGCTGGGCTTCCCTGGATCTTCGTGGCGCTGTGGCTGCATTTTGCGCTGCCCAACTCGGGCTTGGCCTGGGGCTCGGCCCTGCTCATGGCACGATTTGCAGCGCCGACGAGTGCCGGCATACTCTTCAACATGCTGGAGGCTGCAGGCTTCAAGGAGACTTGGCTCTTTCGGAAGGCACAAATCCTGGCCATCTTCGATGACTTGGATACGATTTTGCTCATGATCCCCCTGAAGATGTACCTAGTCGGCTTCAAGTGGGAGCTCTCCTTTGACGCGGTCTTCGTCACTTTGTGCCTGGGGCTTGCCTGGCAGAAGCTGCACAAGATCCGATTGCAGAGCTCCTGGAGATGGACGATGTTCTATGCAGGGCTGATCACCGCCTGCTGTGAGGGCTTGTGCTTCTTCACCCAAGGCCGCATCCACATCGAGGTCTTGCTCCCGGCCTTCGTGATGGGCTGTATGACGCGAATCTGTGCACCCGAAGATGACTGGTGTGAGCTGCTGGACGAGAAGAGGGAGGAAGATGCGAAAAGCCTGGTGTCCACCCTCTTCATGCTTTTGGTCGGCATGTCAATGCCATCCCTCTTCACAGCTTCTTTTGAGCCGTTGAGAATAGTATGTTTTTGCAAGGCTGCTAAGAATCCAGGAGGATGCAAGGAAGATTGTTCTAGCGTGGGTCCTGGGAACAACTCTCCAAGGCTGCGGGCCACCTCACGGCGGGACAGATGGTGTACCATGTGACAGTGGTCTCGTTGCTTATGATTTTGGGCAAGATGATGCTTCTCTTCTGCTACCGGAAGGAAGCAAACTTGCGAACCCGGCTTGCTCTTTCACTGGGCATGTGCCCGCGTGGCGAGGTGGGAGTTTTAGTGTTGGATTCGAAGAGCCACTGGCACGAACTGCATTTGTTCTTCATACACGCATACACGTTGCCAACCAACTAGAAAATCAATCATCCCGTCATGCGCTCACAACCCCCAAGAATCCTGACGATCTCCAAAAGCCTTTCCCGGTACGCCGCCGCGTAGGTTGCCATCCTTCAATGCGAAACGACCCAAGCCTGACAAGCGATCACCTTTCCATCTCGATGGCTTCTCTCGTGTGCAGGCCCTCAAACCCCAAACCCTCAATTGGAGGTGGGCGCTGGTGTCATTGCGATCTCCCTCGGGCTGGGCATGCAGGACCCAAACCTTTTCGGTCTTGTGGCCTTCCTAAGGGGATTTGGGTTTTTCGGGACGTTCAGGGGAACCCCCCAAAGCCGGCAAAGAGCCCAAGAGCCCAAGAGCCCTCACCCCCCTGTTGAAAAAAGGGGCCGGCGGTGGCTGTGGCAGTGCTGAGCCTCGCTGCCAACCTCGTCCTATCTACGGGCTTCATCATGATGATCGACCGGCTCATGAGGAGCTGTCTTGGAAGTTCTTCGAAGTTCTTGGGAGTTCATTTTGCTTCATTTTGCTTTCAGAGGTGAAATCCCCGCCCACAAAGCCCGCAGGAGTGAATTGCCTGCCGAGCCCTCGGCCCCTGCAGAGTTGCCGGCTGCCTCTGCCACGGCGAGGAATCCGCGCCTGCGCCAACGTGAAAGCAAGGCCTGGATTTGAGGAGCTTCGAAGCCATTCAAAGCTTCAAAGCCTGAGCATCCGGACAAGTTGTCTTGGGTGCAAAATGAAGTTATGCGGTATACACTTCTAGACATCTCTAGTCGCTTAAGTCGTTCAAACAGTCCCCCTCCCAAAGTTTGCGCAAATTTTGCCTGTAAAGAGGCCTTTGCAGGGCTCCGTGGAGACAGACGGGGCCTCCCGGGATCGCTGCGAAGCTTGCGAAGCTGGGCTGTGACGATGAGCAGACGAATGGCGATTTTGTGTGGTTTGGGATTGGGCTGAGGTGCGCTTTGATGTGGGGTCCTTTTTATACGGGAATCCTACTATTTAGAGGTGAATGTTAGGGGTCCCCTATTTTCGTAAACCCCCATGCGATGCCATGTAGAATTGGTAGAATGGGTTCCTTGCCCTAGAAATGTTGAGGACAGGGGCCTGTGCGATTGGCACACCGTCCCCCATCGCTTGGCCCCGCGTTCTCATTCTTCGATGCACCACGGCTTCGGCCTGGGTTGCATGACCCACCCAGCAAGCGGGCAATCGAGCCTGTGAGTGACACGATCCGTATGTCGGGCCAACGCAGCCTCCTAGATCCCATGTCCGTCGCGCTGCTTGGGGTTTTGGTCGCTCGCGCCACGCGGCCCCTGCGGCTTGTCCCGAGACGGCAGTGATGTCAAGCGCTTGGCTTGAGAGAACACTTAGGGGTCTCACAGGTACAGAAGCTTGCAAGAGCTTATACATCGCCTTGCGAGATCCGATTGCGAAGTTGCTGTTTCAGGAGAAGGCATCCGTTCAGTTCCCGCATGTTTCCTGAGAACTTTGCCCGCTCCTTATAAAAGGTCATAGGGTCAATATTACGCAGGTGAGCTTGTCCGAATGTGACGTGACAATGCGAGGCAAGAAAAGGAAAGTGGTGTGAGCTGTGATCCTGCCATGCTGCCTCACTAAACCATGCCCAGCCTACACCCAGTCCGAATGTTCTGCAATGTTCTGCAGCCATTTGAAAGTTTCAGATAATGACGGGTCGCGACAGCCGACCCGTATGCTGCACGTTGAACGTAGCTCGACATGGTTGGCGACGCTCTGGCATGCGTGCGCGAGCTCACGCTGTCTCGAGCAGAAGTGCGCTTTGGCTGGTGCTCCTCATGGCCTTGCTTAGGCCATGCATAGATCGCAGCAACCTGCTCTTCACGCCCCTGACGCCGAACTCCTTGACTGGCCGTGCCTCCAGTTCACTGATCCGCGCATTTGCAGGAGACCCTCGGCAGGATCTGCTCCCAAGCTCACTGCGCAGCTCAGTGAATGCCGAAGTCGCTGAAGAGGCCCACAATGCCCACAAACATGGTAGCAATAATCGGGATCCCCATCATGGCGAGGAGCCCTGGAGCGCCACGCGGGTTGTGCTGTCCAGTGCACTGGTGGCCTTGCTTCTGTCTTTCTTTGCATCAATGTACATGTCCTTTAGCTCTTCTGTGCAAGCCAATGAGCAAGTCACCTACACAGACTGGTATTCCAAAGTTGCCGACCGGATCCGCAACTTGATGGCAAAAAAACCGACGGCTGGCCCGCCATCGGTGGCTGCGAGAATCCGGAACATGAGTAACCTCCTGGACGTCACTCAAGACGACATCTACACCGAATTCTGGGAAAGCTTGTCCTCAGATGTCTTGATATTTCGGGCCTACACCCCGCTCTTAGATTTCTACATCAAGGCCACGTATCCACATCCCACTGCACCGCAGGAGCTACTCTGCAAATCATTGCGGTTTGAACTCGAGCGGTTCAACCAGGCCCTAAGTGATTTTGATGCGTGCGTGCATGCTAGGAACATCCGAGGGACGGAGAAAGCTTTCGCTGAGCTTTCTGTTGCTTATGACCACTACTTGAAGGCGGCAGCCCTGTACGAAGGCTATGATCCCATGACCAGCACCGAGGTACTCTACAAAGATGTAACAGACTCGCAACTCGTGTACACACCTGTGGCAGTGCAGAAGCCAGCTATTCGGGACGAAGTGCTGGTCATTCGAGGTCCAGACAAAGGTAAGATGGGCCGTGTGATTTGGATGTACGACGGGCTAACTGCCACGGTGAAACTCGAACCCAACCCGCTCCTGGGAGGCTCGCAAATGAAGGGCATACGGGAAGTTAAGTCGTTTCCGCAGTCCTGGATCGCGCTGACCAGGACGAACGAGCAAAATCGTGTTCTGGACCTGGTCCTCGCAGGCATAGCCACATTCTTCACCTGCTGCCTGACATACCCTCTGGAGACGATCAAGGCGAGGCTCCAGGCCGGCCAGCAGCCACTAGCGGGGAAGGATATTGCAACCATCGTCCCAGACCTGTACAACGGCTTGCTGAGTACACTTGTGCGGGAGATCCCAGCAAAGAGCTTGTACATTTCTGGCTTTAATAGCATCACCCGCTTCTTCTGCCTGCTACCCTTTGTGGATGCCAACAACCCCGACCTGAAGCTGCTGGTGATGATTCCTGCCGGGGCGCTGGCCTACTTCCCAGGAACATTCCTGCGGGCTCCCTTTGAACTCTTGAGCCGGCAGATGCAGACTGGCGTCTACAAGACAGAGGAGGCGGCTGTCGGCAAGTTGCTGGCAGAAACCGACACTCTGCACCAGAAGCTCTTCAGAAGCTGGAGCCTCGTAGTCTTGCGCGGTCTGCCCTTTGGGGCTCTGCAGTACTCACTGTATGATTTCCTGCACGAGAATGTTGAGCTAGTCCCGTTTGGCATACCGCTGAGCCTCCAGCCAGTGATCTGGGGCGCCGCTTCGGGAGCCATGACCGGGCTGCTAACTAATCCACCCGACCTCATCCTGTCTGTTCTCCTTGCCAAGGAACAGCCTGAGTCACAGGAGGCAGAGGATGAGAATATTCTCGAGGCCTTTGCCCAAGCCGCCCAGTCCATTTACGACTCGGAAGGTTTTGCTGGTTTCTTCCAAGGTGGAACGGCACGGGCGCTCCAAATCGGAGCCGAGTCTTGTGTTTTCTTCACAATCTTAGAGGCGCTCAAGGATGGTGCAAAGCTCATCCTCGACTTTTGAGAAGAAAGTTGTAGATGAAAGGGCCTGAGTAATGGACAGAATAAGCATCCTTTTTGTGGGCTCAGCCAGATGCTGCTACGTACTAAGTACTCGACTTCTGCAGCTTGAATCCTGCTTGCGCTTTTTCAAGCCCTTCCAGTTGTTTCATTTAAACATCTTGACATGACCATGCGCGATGGTCAGAGGTATGCTGCAGAGGGGGGGGGCAGCGAAAACACGGCGAGCATGTGAGAGGCCAAAAAGAGCTTTGAAACGTTCAGGAGTCTTACAGTTGCAAGGCGAGTCCCTCATCTCTTCCCCCGAACAAGTTCGCCCAGCCCCTCGTAGAACTGAGACTTTGCCACCCCAGTGAGCTTGCGCCAGGCTGATGAGGTCGTCAGGCAATTCAGGGACGGATGAAGAGAGGGCCAGGAATGCTGGGCACCCGGACCTGTTTTTGCTCAGCTGTGAGGCGTGCCTGAGTTCAGCGAGCCATCCTGCTAGCAACGGGCTGCCAGCGTAGTGAAGACCTGCCGACCAGAGGTCAAGCGATCGCTGTTTCACCACAAGCTGAATCCTAAAGAAGCCTGAATCCCAGACTCAAGTTGAAGCTCAGCCCTCTGCACCCGACAAGACCTGCCTAAAACAAGCCTTTCGATTCCGTCCCGGAGCTGCCATGGGCAGTGTGCTGTCCTTCAAGGAGAATGCCAGGGGCTCAGCATTCGGAGGGCCAGACCATGAAGAATTCAAGGGTTTGCAAATCAGACGCCCTCAAGTGAATGCATTTCAATTTCTTCCAAACACCAAAGAAGCTGGACAAGCTTAGCTGCGAAGTACCTCAACGTTGCATAAGACATGTGATGGTGCAGTCGAAGGTGCTGGGCGAGCTTGCCGCGGAGACCTGGCAACAGCTCAGTTGACATGTGTGCTCTTGTAATCTACCATTTGCTTAAGAACCCCAAAAGAATAGACAATAGTAATCCCTTTTTTACCCTTAACAAGGAATAATGTTTTTTATTAGTAGTAATGTGACTCTGCCCAAGCCCCAGACCCTGAAGCGTATGAAGCATGTGAAGCAGGGCTGCTTCACGCAAGCATTTGCTCAGCCGCTCACTATTGCCCAATCATTGTGGGGCCTATTCGCGCGAATACCTGGATCAGGAACATCTTGAGCATCAAGCGCTGTGCGCAAGCCGAATGTGTCAGCTTGACGCTGTCGCAGCCCGCATCTCAGCGTCCTCACACGTTCAGGGTAGTGAGCGCACAGTGGCATCGAGTTTTTTTAGGGGTCGGCACCACGGAGGGCGCCGAGCCCTGAACAGGTTTGTAGGGCTTCAGGGTTGAGGGGTGTTGCGTTTGTTGACTCGCATGTGAGGACACGGCCTCGAGAAGAGAAGAGACCACCAAGCTAGGCCCTAGGCCTGAAGTTCTGACCATAGCTAGACTCCAATTGTGGAAGGTGGCCCGTGGCCCCAAAACTCTTCAAGATTTGTATGTAGTGCAGCTAGCGAATGCTGGTTCCTGAGCCCTAAACGCCTGAACCGCACCCGAATGCAGAGAACCACCCTCGCAGAGGTTGATGAAGAGTACGAAGCCTGACCCGGAATCGTGCATTCGAACCGCGTGGCGCGGATGCAAGCAGTTCTAGGAAGGTTTTGTTTAGGGCTGAGGACTGGGAGGCTTTCAGGTCCTAGATTCAAGGCAGGGGTTCTGCTTCGGGAAGCTCTTGTTGACCTTAGGCAGTGGCTACACGAGCAGCTGCCGATCCGGTTTGCAAGGCGTATCGAGGACCCTTGCCTAGCTGAATGGTTCCAAGCATTGCAAGGGATGCAAGGATTGCAAATTGCAGTATTTGCAGTCGTCTGGCAGGCCAACTCAAGCTTAGAATCGCCCCAGAGCTTCCTTGAGCCCAGCACGAGGACATCCTCCAGCTTCCCCATGTGGTGGTCATCAACCCTCAGATTAACAACATCCTCTCAACCTACTTGGAGACCTTCGCGGTGATCCACTCTTTCCCACCCATCCGGACGCAGGAGCTCCAGTGTCAGTAGTGTCGGAGTAAGGCTTAGGGGCATTGGAGTCGAGTCAGACGGGAGCAAGTTCTGTTTTCGAGACCAGGAGAACGAGACAGACTTTCTGCAAGTCATTCGTGACCAGCTGGCTCTCTGCATGATTTGCATGAGTTCATGTTCGATTCATCAATGTTTGCACTTCGCGCCTTTCGCGCCTCAGAGTGCCCTTCTTGATCCAAGGCAAAGCACAATCCAGGAACCCGCTTGATCGCTGAGGGCTACCGTGAAGTGCGAACGCCTCATCAGGCCCCAAACAGGACTCCCGAACCCAAGTTTTAAACCGCAAGCTCAGGAGGCGCTTGTATCCTTCAATCCGGCTTGACGCCTTCTTGCACGACCATTTTACGACTCGCATCGCAACCCGCATCCTCATGGACAACTACGCGGAGATGTGGCCTGACCGTTCGATCTTCAGGGTTTGCGCTTTTTTCTTCAGTTCAATGATGTGCTCTTTCCATATCTTGGCTTGGCGGCGGCGTATTGCGCTTCGCGCTGAGGCGCAACCCAAGAGAAGGGCACGTTGGCGTGGTTCGGCAAAATATGCAGCCACTGAAGATTGTGCAGCAAATCGCAGGCATCCGCAGCAAATGGACCATACTTCCCATGTTGGAGCAAATGCAAGATTCAAACGTTGCTTTCTGCCCCGGTCAGAAGTGAATATGCCCGGCCAAGAACTTGTGTGGCAACCCTGGCAGGCGAACTGAAAGGGCTGACCACCTCGTTGTACGGCTGTGCACCGGAAGTGGAGTACCGCCGAGGGCTCGGATTCTCGAATTCGTGGCAGTCCCCTTCTCGCCCATCTGTAGAGCAAGCTACTTTGGAGCAGACTCAAGCTTCGGGAGCTATAAGCACTAACGCAGCGTTGAGGTGGTGGGGCACGTGTAGAGACGGCCGCGTTGTGAGGTGGCAACCCGGACTGCATTCTTGACTACATCCCACGGCATGTGAAGTACATGGTGAGGCCCGGGAAAGGGTGGTGGTTGGGTTGTTTGGTCTGTGTCTCCATGAGTCTGCCACATGTGAAGGGAGCTGCTGAAGAATGCCTTCAGATCTACGGTGGAGCGGCATTTGGCCAGGATGCCTGCACGTCGTAACTTGAGAACCCGAAGCATGTCTTGATGCTGAAGTTAATGAGAGAGAGAGAGAGAGAGAGAGTCACACTGACTGGACTCGAAGTTCATCGTTGCAATCTCACCGGACCTGACTCATCTCCGGGCGCGTCTGGTGCGCGGGGGACCCCCCATGCCCTGCGTTTCAAGAAGAAGAAGACGAAGAAGAAGAAGAAGAAGAAGAAGAAGAAGAAGAAGAAGAAGAGGAGGAGAGAGGTAAAAGACGAAGGCAGAGTGGTTTGGCTCAAGCCGTGCGTCCTTCGGGACAACCAAGTCTCAACTAGAAACGTAACGAAGCAAGAGGGAGGTCCAATCTTCCCTGCAACGATGCCGGAAATGGGGACCAACCTCAAAACAAGAAACGACGAGCTGAAGCTCAAGAAGGACAAGCAGCCGTGGAGATTATCTTCAGTGACAGGAAGCCAGACAGGGAGCTACTTGGCCGTCGCAGCCGGGGTCCCCCGCCTAGGGGGGCTCTTAAGTGCGCAGAAGAAGAAGCAGCAGAAGGAAGAATAATAAGAATACGAAGAAAGAGAGAGAGAGAGAGAGAGAGAGAGAGAGAGAGAGAGAGAGAGAGAGAGAGAGAGAGAGAGAGAGAGGAAGGAAGGAGGCCAAGGGAGCTGAAGGAAGGCAGGACGAGAGAGAAAGAGAGAGAGAGAGAGAGAGTGTGCCTTCGGGCGGCCCCCTTGAATAAAGGGGGTTAGGTGCGCAGAAAGAAAGAAAGAAAGAGAGTGTGTGTAAACAACATTCGAATGGCGAGGGGGCGCGATGATGGCACCCGAAGCAGTCCATCACAAGTTGATGTGGAGACTGATCATCTGCATGTAGTGGCCTAAAGCAAGATGACTTCAGTTCGACGTGCCCAGGCTTGCACATATGTTTCTATCCAGCTTCGGATGGATTTGCGTGTGCTCCAGACGGCAATTCTTCCAAAGCGCTGTTGGACTCACGGTCTGTGTGAGATAGCTCCAGCTGAATGCGCCATGACGTTTATGTTGATATTCACGCCTCAAGAACCTTCAGGTGCCTGAACATCAGACCCAGGCCTCCAGATGCAGAACGCCACACAAATCAGACAGCGAGAATTTTGAAGATAGCCAACGGTTCATATTCAGCAGAACCATGTTCTGAAAACACCCAGAACACCAAGATTTGTTCGCCTGAACTCGAAGTCCTAGCTGAGCTATGAGTGTTTAGCCAGCCACATGTCTTCAGGCTTCCAAGAGCTGGTTCTATACTCAGGTGCCTAGAAAAGTGTTAACGCGCAACGATCTTTGACATACGCCAGTGTCAATGATTGAGGACATGTCATGGTGCAAGTTGCATGCAGATGTGTGTGTGTGTGTGTGTCTCTGGTTCCAATCGCATGCCAGGAGTACCACATCAGACAAGCTACCTCATGTTGCGGTGGAGCTTCAGCAGGGGGTCGTTCGACCGCAACATGTTTGATCTCAAATCGACGGTTGCGATTTTTGAGTTGAAGGTGACGGTTTTCGATTATTGAGTTTGCTTTGCGCTACAACAGCTTGACCACTTGTCCGCAAGCTCGACAGCTCTGGTGTGAAGTGCACGATTGGACACGGTTGTGCCAATTTGGAAGAGGCTGCATCGCTCTCAAGACATCTCAAGACCCAAGGTTCCGCAAACCCTTGTAAGAGCTCGTATCATCTCAACAGCAGGTCGACCAGATCCCAAAGGCGACAAAGGCAAAATGTCTCGACTACAATGCAGCAAGCGTTCGTACAACGTCCGAGGACATTCACGTGATCTTCAAGATATCGGACCACGGGGGTGGCATGCCAAAGAGCGTGCAGCGAGAGGCATGTGAGTGAGATTAGAAGCGTCAATCAAAACCGGGCCCGAAGCCCAAGTCACCTTGAACCCCCAACCCTCGATTTTTAAACATCCATGGCAGGTTTAAGATGCGGGCGGGGTTGTCGGGGGAGGCTTGGCAATATGGCTGGACGACCGTGGATGTCAACAGAAAGAGCACGGAAGCCTTCCAATATGCGGAAGAATCTTGCAGTTGCTTCGCTGAGAAGATAGAAGCCTTCGGATTGGTTGCAGGTTTAGGGTTTAGGGTTTAATCCCTAAACCCCCTAAACCCCCTAAACCCCCTAAACCCCCTAAACCCCCAAAATCCCCCTAAAATCCCCCTAAACTCCCAAAAGCCCTTAAGCACCCTGCTGAGGTTGGGATCGCGGAATGGATTCCAAGCCTCACGAGTCGGGGGCTTGTTTCGCTACTGCTTGCCTGAGACCTCATGAGTCCCTAGAATGTTTCTACGTACCTTGATGAAGTTTGTTGGTAAGTCGCCTTACCTACCACCCTGGTGCAGAACTAGCCATGCACATCGAAGAGCACTGAAGTCAGGGAAGGGGTTCGGATCTTCTTGGGAGGGTTTCCATGGCCTGAAAAGCCGACAGATGCTCCTGTCCGCCAAGCAGATCTCGAAATTTCAAGACATCCCAAATCCTGTGTACATTGCTGGTTCACCAGTGTCCGAGGCGCAGCGAGCTGGCAGGATATGGCTTTGGGCTTCCGCTGACTCGCCCCGAGCTTACGTAGGGTTCAGGGGCCATAGTTGGATTCATTCAAACTTAAGACTGGGATGCCCATGCCTGATCACATCGGGGGCATCGTGCCGGAAACCCTAACTCCGGCCCCTCGCAAAGAAGTGGGGGCAAGGCCTTCATGCGCAATACTTCGGAGGGGACGTCTTCATGCAAGCGCTCCCTGGCACCAGCCTCGGCTTCGGGTTGCCGTCCAAGGTTGTGATTTTTTTAGGGGTCTGCCAGAAGGCAACTCGCAAAAGCGAGCGTTACAAGCAAGTAAATACCTTCGCCAGGCAGGGTGTCCCAATGCATGGTTGGCTGCTGAAGCGGCAACCTGTAGCAAATCATGCCGTGCTTCTCTTCGAAGAAGGCTGCGCAAATCATGTCGGACTGCAAGCAAACTGTGGCAGAAGAAGCACCAACTTGTTCAGTGCCTGGTTCGAACATATGCAATGGAACTGAAGACAACAAATCGCCGGTAACGAGGGGAACGAGCAACCCTTAATTTGCTTTAAGTGATGGGGGGACTCTCAAGAGTGGTTGCAGCAAGCTGCGACCACTCTTACACAACTGCTCTTCTCGCCTCGTGGGGGAGAAGCTGCAGAAACCTTCGCATGATGGCACCCTCTCGTGCGCCCGGCAAGACAGTGGTGTTTGCTGCAGGTTCCAGGTTCAAGGCCAGGGTTTGCATTTTGCATGTTTTGAGACGAAGCAGAGATTCCCAAAACCTCCCAGGTCATGGAACCGACCTCATCCTTATCTTGACCCACCTCAAGGAAGGGACTCCTTCGACGGAGTTCGATGATCTCTCAACCCTCCTCTACAAGAGGGAAAAGAAGCATGATGTTGTGCACTAGAAGGTGGGCTCGCAGTCTCGCTTGGCTGCGCTGATGTGAGTTCAGGGTTCAGAGCACAAGGCATCGCAGAGCAGGTCATCAGCCACATCAATGTGCACAGCATTGTTGGGGACACGCTTTGTGGACATCTACATCGTCTTCCTCGACAGGGCAACACGGACGAGACCTCTGAATCGGGGTCCCTGAGACGCTTCCGAGGGACAATGAGAGGCCGCAAGACACACCAGAGGAAGGATGTCGAGCCTGCAAGTCGTGAAAGAACGTCGCCGGCAGGGGGCTGCAATCTTCTCATGCTCATGTGACTTGCCTGGGGTGACCCCTTTTCGTCCATGGGTGGCTGTCTGATGTAGTAACTTAGTAGGCCTTGACATCGAGGTTCTGTCGCGGCTTCAGAAATGTCAGACGGACGTCGGGATTCTCAGCTGCCTTGCGGTCCATCTGTTTGCCTCAGGCTCTTTGAATCAAATCCTAAATGCCTCTAGGATTCAGGGTCTAGGTTTTGAAGGGTCCGGGGCTTTTAGTTGCAGAGGCCGTAGCGCAGAGACAGCGGGTTGAGGCTGGCCTTACCGATGGGCAGAGCTCAGCGCTTAGTGTTTCAGCGCTCAACATCACCCAGTGCATCCATTGCGGGATTAAAGTTTAAAGCCCGCAGCCTAATCAAGCAGTTTTCCCGAAGTGCTAGATTAGTCTTCAGGATTTAGGGTGTGGGGTTTGCTGTTTGCAGGTTATGAGGGTTTTGTGGGTTCGAGATCCAAGGTTGCGATGTTGGAGTGGCCCCATCCATCCATGCGCTAGGATATTTCTCTCTCTCTCTCTCTCACACACACACACTCGCACACCCGCACAGCCACACACGCGCACAAGTGCACACTCAGCTGCCCTGCCAAGAATGACGGAACGACCCGGACTCCACACACTGAGATGTTAGAAAGCCTGAAAGCCTCAAGGTGCGCAGCTACTTCTGCAACTGCAAGCTGATTTCCTCAAGCTTCGTCTCGAGCTAAGCAGCTGAGCGCTCCATTGGCTACACAGAAGTGTGTTCCAGCATGTGGGGTTGTTGAAGCGTAGACAGTTTAGGCCGTTTTAGGCTTTCAAACAAATGCCCAGCCTTGGCCTCAGGCAAGGCGTCCCCAACCGCAGCCTCAGTGCCGACTTCAGCAGTTCTCAGGGAGGCTCTGCACCTCAAAACGCAGCCACGGGCCGAATTGTGTTTTTCGACGTTTTAGGCGCAAGGGTTTTAGGGTAGGGGCGTGCAATGAGAATTGAATAGAATGCAGGAGTTATGAGGAAGTTCCCCAAATAGTGCATGCGTTGTGGGTTTCTGATGTCGGGAGCACATGGATTTGGCAGGGTCGCGCATGGTCCGTGTCTGGAGAGTTTTTGCATGTAATCTTCCGTCTGCAGCAGTAAAGAGGGGGGTATGCGGAGGGAGAGAGGAAAGGGGGGGAGGACTGGAGAGGGGGTTGAACCCAAAAGCCAGCAAACAGCGTGAAAAGCAGAACGCCAAAGGCATAGACAAAGCACAAGACACAAAGGCAGAACACAAAATGGCGTAAGCCAAAACAAAGCACGAGAAGAAGCAAAAGCAATAAACATAAGAAGCAGAAGGCCGGAGGCATGGAACAACATGTTTTACTTCGAACATTTCCACCCTCTCTGGGTAGAGATACTCTGGGGTTGGGCACTCCAGGGATACTCTGCGGTTGGGCACTCCAGGGACGCACTGGGGTTGGGCACTCCACGAACCCTCCCCTTCTGTGGTTGATGGTCTGTGGTTCATGGTGGGTTTAGGGTTTTCAAGTTTAGGGTTAGGCTGTATCGCTTTGGCCCCCGTGGTTCATGGTGGGCTTGGACTTTAAGGTCTGCGGGTTTAGGGTTGGGGTGAAGGCTGTTCCGGTTTTTTTTCTCTTCCTTCCTGTGGTTCATGGTGGGTGTAGGTTTTGGGGCTTAAGTTTCCGGGTGTAGGGTTTAGGTTTAGGGTGTCCCCCTCCCCCCCCCCCCCCCCCGCCCCCCGTGGTTCGTGGTGGGTCTAGCGTTGTCAGTCAGGGTTTGGGGGCGTACTAGGAGGGGGGGGGGGGGCACACATGTGCTATTCAACATAACCCTAGACCCTGAACCCTAAACTCACCATGAACATGGGCAGGCCCTGTAAACACTAACGCTTAAACCCCCCATGAACCACAGGGAGGGGGGAAACCCCATAAACCCAGGCGTGAGGGGGGTCCGGGTCAGGCAGGGGGTTGACACCGGCATGGGTGTATCGGTGTATCTCTTACAGCTCGTGCCCAGCAGAGCGAGGCTTAATATCACATGTTCACGTGCAACATCTGGCTTTGAGTGAGGTGCTGCGTGTGGAGCAGGAACTACAGACAACTGCGAGAGCCAGGAGGGAAGCTGTCTCAGACAGATCACTGGCGTTTGCAGCTCTTTCAAGGACGGCAGTCGTGACTTTCCCCAAAATCCAGCATCTGGACCGAGGTGAGGCTAAGACCATCGAAATGGAACTTCCCCAGAGGCAGCCCAACGCAGCAGTTCGTGTGAGTTTGTATATACATGTCCCAGCACCTTTCCTGCCCCAGCGACCGTGTAGCCAAGCTTGTGATCAATGGCAGCTTGTGTGCCCAGTTTTGGAAAATCGTAGTAGGTTTCCGCGAAAGTCCACGAAACAGATGTGGAAGTGGCCGTCAAAGATGGGCCGCCCGCGACTTGGAGTCGTACTTCAAGTTGAACCAGACCCCATGGGTCACGAGACCCCTCGAACCCTCAAATCTCATTCCCAAACTCCACGGAACCTCACACATCCAGCTTTAACTCCCACTGCTGTTTCTACTGCTTCTGCCGCCACTGTTACTCCTGCGACGACGACGACGACGCCGACGACGAACATGGCGAGCGAAAGACGCGCGCGGAAGGAAAACCAAACTGAGCGAAGCAACCACATCCAGATGAAATACTGTTGATCAACCCTCATGTGGGTGCAGATTTCCCTAAGGGCCCACAACATTTTGCATTTTTCAGAGGGGTTGTAGTTCTTCTTCAATATGTAAAGGCTCCCGAGTCCCTCTAGGCAAGGTGGGAGTTAGCGACAATTGTGGGGACTCGGGCGGAAGTTTCGAAGCTTCGATTTCAAGGACGATAGGAAAGTCTGAGCGCTCGGTGGTACCCACGGTGTCATCTGAAGCCACGAACTTAGCCAAAAAGTTTGGGGCTTCGGTTGGGTGGGAAGGTTCACTGGGATGGAACGCTGAGCGAGGGCGTGTGCAGAATGCACCCTGCATCCAGCAGTGATGGTCATGGGGTGTGCATGGCCACATGGCCCATGGCAGGAATGCAAGACTTCCAGTACATCCATGGCACATCTGCCATGTCCTTGGCTTCCCACCCAAGGCCTGCTTTCGAGTGTCTGCCATCTCTGTCTCTGGTTGTTTCTGTGACCTTTGCACGGTGAGGCCAAGAGCGGGAAAGAAGGCCTGAGCCTGGGTCTGGGATGAGTTGAGGGATGTTTATAGGTCTACGGAGGATTCATGCGGGGTGTGGCTGAGCCATCTGATGTCCCAGGTTCGGGCGACTGCGCTGGCTTGGATTCTTGGCTAGGCCGACAGCCGACATCCCCGAAGCCCGAAGCCCCTGAGAGTTTGGCATGTTCTGCTCATGTTCTGCTGCCCCGCCCTCCCCCCCCCCTCCCCCTTTCCCGGGGCTGTCATGATGTCGGTGCACGTTTCGATGGCCAAGTTTCTTTGGTTTTTGCCCCATGCCCCAATCCTGAAAAACTTGAGCCACTTGGAGTGGCAAGCTCAGATGATTCTGAGACCAAACCCTAACCCTCAACCCTAGGAACGGAACCTGCTTCTCCTTCTGCATGGCTTTGGCGGCCGGAAGGTGCTTGAGACCGAAGCCCCAAGTCCCAGAACTCTTGCGTCTATGTTTCATAGGGTTTAGGGTTTAGGGTTTAGCGTTTAGTTGTTTGTGTTTTTAAAACATGTTTTAAAGATTTACTTTAAAAGGGCCTAAAAAGTTCTTGAGTGATGGAGGAGCCTTTCGTCGACTTCGCCCAGACAATGCGCCTGCCGCTGACTGCTTGCCTGGTGTTCAATGCCCCAGAGGCCCGCCTGCATGGTCTCAAGGGTTTAGGGTTTAGGGTTTAGGGTTTAAGGTTCAGGAGTTTGCGATTTGGGACTTTAGCCCGAAAAGCCTGTAAGCCTATAAAGCCTCGTTAGTCCGGGTTGTTGGGGAAACCGGTGTGAGCCACTCTGCCGAAGCTCATACTCCTTCGACGCGCTCTTGGACGTGATCCCTGGCCGTCCTACCCCCTAAAACCCGTTAATCTTGCAACAAGCCGGGCCCGAAACGTTAAGACCCCAGAAAACACCGAAGCCCCAAACGCAACCCTAAACCAAGACCAACAAACTTGAACCAAGGGCCCGAGACCCTGCCAATGCCCTGAAACTTCCGACTGCTTGAAACCCAAAAGAAACCCCAAACTCTAAACCCTAAACCCTAAACCCTCTGCCCCTAAACCCCTAAACCGCTAAACCCTAAACCCTAAGCCCTAGACATCAAGGTTTCCTCCGCCAGGCTCTCCCAGAAGAGCTCCTGGACGACCCACCCGGCTTCAGGCAATTGGGCTCGGAACGGGGGCGGGCGAAACTTTGGGTGGGGGGGGGGGGGGTTTAGGGTTTAGGGTTTAGAGTTTCGAGCTTAAGGTTTAGAGTTTAGTTTCAAAGATTGGGAGTTGATTTCAGGGTTCGAGTGTATGAAGCCATCTGTACCTTGCCGCCGCAGTTGGTTCTCCATGTGGGATGAGACCACCGGGGCCCCCTGGCAGCACAGATTGCAGTACCCTGGGAGCAACTCTGGAGCATGTTCCCGCAGGACTTTATCCAGCCATCTCCAAAGGACATCGGGTAGCTCTAGCAGGCTGTGTGAGCCCTAACCCCAAAGGCTGTCTCCTTGGGAGGAGCGCCGACGGCTGAAGTCCATGGAGTCATGCGACATCCTCAGTGACACAAAAAGATGCTCGTGTGGAGGGCACAAAGGCAGCGACATCGTCTGACCGCCGCAGGGGTTTTCGGTATCGTGGCGACCGAAACTAACTCCAGACGCACACTTGCTGCAAGAATCGCTGACTCAATCTGGTTCTGGCAATATCTTGCAATGTGGCTCGCTCGTGAGCAGGTCAATCCAGAACCCTGACCGTAAATCCTGAAAATTTAAGTTTAAGACCTAAAACTCTGCGTTTCTCCTTCTCTCGCTCCTGGACTCCCAGATGGCGAATCTCCACATTCCAGATGGGCTGTCCAGGCTTGGGCAATCTGGAAGGCCCAACAACAAATCCTGTTTGCGCCCTTTGCGGAGGAACCTTTCGGGTGGCTTCCCGCCTTTACAGTCAGTTGCCGGCCACCAGACTCGGGAAATGTGGCCGCCCACAATTCAGTTTTGGCGCCGAAGAAAGAGGAGTAGCACACCGCTCGACGACCATTCCCCGTTCGCTCACGCACCGTACCCTGACAGGAGTGAGTGGCTGGTAAGCACACTTGCGGTTTTGGGGATTTAGCTTGTAGCTTGAAGGATTTGGAGGTTTAGGTCCGGTGTAGGGTTTCGTGTCGGTTCTCGAATTCAGTTTGCGATGCCCCAGCATGGCACGGTTGCATCAGTTGCCACTCACCTGGACAAGGCAAAGACCTACTCTGGAAAGCCATAAGCGTTCTGACTGCCGAAGTCGGCCGGATGCCAAGCATTGCTTGGCCAGTTTCAATTTCAACCCCAATCATTAAATTGTTTCATACTGCGGAAGAGATACGTGATTGGAAGGCTTCAAATCTCGACGCAACCGATCGGTTTTGGTTGAAGCAACTTCGCTGACAGCGGGCACAAGGTTGGTGCCTGAACGAGATCTTCTTGTTCGGCTATGGCCAGGGAGGCAGATCCTGAACCCTGAGCCAAGCTGTCATCCAATCATCTTGCGCTGGTTTTGGCGTTGCAGGCTCCGTGGTGCTGGACATGCTGCTACAGCTTGCGGCCCAGTCAGCTGCCACAGCAAGAGATGTCGCATCATGTTGCATACTGTTGCAGCTGCAACTAGCAAACGTTGTAAACATTGTTTCAGACCCTGTTTGGGATGTTTGCCTGACCACTTAGAGTGGTCGCAGTAAGACTCGGCGTGAACATTCTTGGTTCTGCTCTTTTCTTGAACTCACGGGGATCTAACCCCAGGGTTCGGCTTGATGTCGCGAGGGCTCCGCCGGCTTCATTTGGCAGAGCTTCGCTCGGTGGTACGGTTGCGGCCGCTCGGTAGCTTTCAGGCTAAGCGGCGAAGGGTTCCTCAGCATTCCTTTGGCAGTACCTTGAATTCTGCATGGTTGAGGCAAGAGCAGGTTTCATGTTTGGGATCTACCCAAAGTTCCGGTCCAACCCCGAAACCGCAGGCCTGCACCTAGAACTTTACATCGGATCTAAACCCGAACCTGCAGAAGCAGACCTTTGTGCTTAGGTGGCCGGGGAGGTGCTTCCGGAGCGGCGGCATGGCACGCCACGGCTTGAAGGTCGTCAAGTGTTCCTGCAGGTCGTTTCGAAGTCTAGAGTCTGGGGTTAAGTCTTTTCACTGAATCCTTACCTAAACTCAGTCTCTAGGCTTCAACTGCAGTGGAGCCGTGCCTTCAGGACAGGAGGCTGCTGTGCTTCTCATCAACGGCGGCAAAGACAGGCCCCCTCACGTTCAATTTGTGGGTCCCCCCCCCCCCCCCCCCCCCCCCCCACGCCCACCCTGCAAGCCTAAGCCATAGACCATCAACACCAAACTCCGAAAGCCAAGCGCGAAACACCCGCACAGGCTCACCAGCCCTGAGGCAGCGGAAGCTTCAGCGCAGTATCTCCGACAGGTGCACCTGCGGGCCCTGGGCCCTGGGGCTTGCATATCTGCTTATAGGCTAAATAAAGTCCAGACCGTGAAAAATGCACCAAATGTATTTCGCCTCATTGTGGGCAAGTACAGTCGCTTTTGCACAGCCGCAAATCCAGCAGCGGCCTAGCTGTCCTGCTGTCTGTGCCAGTAACAGCACAGTTTCTAGTTTGGCGACCTCTGCTGGCGCTGCGAATGATGTGTCTGTGCCAGGCATTGCGTGGTCCGGTTCGGCAGGAACCTAAATTGAAAGTACAGTTGCTGACAGTCGGAAAAGTGGTGATCCCTAAGCCCTATACGCGAGTCCCTGAGCCCGGAAAGTGTTGTAAGGTTGGAGATCTTCCCCGATCGCGGTGCCGAGATGTTGCACGGCGAGCGCGAGAGCGATCCTCAGATGTTGCTACGAAAAAATCCAACAAATCGTATGGGCTCAGAGATCAGGGATTGAGTCTGCTTAGGGTAACCGAAAGAAACGTAGCCTGAAGCTTTAGACCCTCAGCAAGTCTATGAGGTCTTTGCTGCTACAGTCGAATAGGCCCCGGACGTCTCAACACGGCCCTCGTGCCTCAACGCAATCGTCAAGAAACCTTACCAAAAGAAGTTCGTTGAAGGTTTATCGAACGGTCGGAGTTGAGTGCACGTGGCGTCCAGCTTCGATTTGTGGAATGGATTCAGGCTTTCGGTTCTACTGAGCACATCTCAATGGTAAGGGCGTTCTTATCAATGTGCTTGATATCATGCAATCGGTATGGGCTGTATTATAGAGGGTTTGAGGTCGTTCGCAGATGACACGCTTTCACTGGCACTGACCACACCTCAGCTTCAAGCCATTGGGAGCTTCAGTTTGGGCAAATGTCGGCCACGCGTTTTCTTCACAATTTTCTTCAGAGTTTTAGTCAGGCAGCTCGGATGACACATTGCTGCGGTTGAACAAACACTGGCCCTCGCCAACAGAGGAAGCATACCACTTGTACAAACTTAGGCTAGTCTGGAACAGCCCTCTCCGTCCCAGGACCAAAGTTCGCATCTTCCTTTCGGCTGTGCCATAGATATTTCTGGTACCCCCCATTATGTCAAGTCCAACGGCTCCCTGAAAACCTGACACCCATCGCAGAACGGCCCAACGTCCCTTGCGCGACCTACGTGACACAAGCCTTCGGCTCGGCCTGGAATGCAGGCTCAGCAATTGATCTCAGGTAGGAGGTCCCGACCTAGCCGGCCGAGCGAACCAACACTTTGCATCGGATCAAAACTGACCCGGTGCCAGCACCCAAGCGATGGATACAAGCAACTACATCTACACTGCACTCCAGCAGATGCTGAAGCTGTGCATCACTCCGAGTGGCAAAGACACCAATCCCGGAATTCTGATGAACCTGTTCACTGCGCTGACAGGAATGCTCGCTAGTGCCCCTGGCGGCTCAGAGCCACAATGAAATATTATGCCAACGGCCAGCCTGTAGCCATAGATTTTTAAGCGTCTGCGACTCGGACAAAGACAGAGACGCAGACGGAGACGGAGACAGAGACATTGACACATAAAAGGTCTTGAATATATGTTCGAGTCAAATTGGGGGAGCCTGGCATTCCAAACAAGGAAATGAAAGAATCGCTTCAAATCCTTTGACCCTAAATCTGCCGAGGGCTCGGGCCGCCGGGTTTTCTGGTGTCTCAGGTGTACCCATCACCACACAGGCCGATCCCCAGCCCCGCCACTAGCCCTGCCCCAGAGTGAAGAGTCACACACCTGAGAGCTTGTGAGCCCGGCAAGCTGCACAGGTTACAAGCTCACAACTTTTCCCACTGCGCGCCTTTGACATTCCCCACCCAACAACTAATCCACTGCACGCCCTTGACCTGTTTACGGGCCCACTCCCTACCTTGTTGATCCATTTTCCCCCCCCCCCCCACCTATGACTTGTGGACTGGTCCGGGGGGGCGGGTGCCTTTGGACCTCTCGAAACCTGCAACAACAGCCACACTTCCTCGTCGCTCTCTTCGACATGGTCAGGACGGAAGTGCCAGATTCTTCCCGAGCAGCCACACACGGCCTTTGCCTGTCCTTTAAAATAGGCTATTTCAAGCGAAGGCCGCATTTCGATCGCAAGGTGCTCTTAAGGAATTTCAGGTGCTTGGACTCGTGATTCCGGATCTCAGGGCACGCTTTTGTTCTCTTGGACCCGCGAAAGTCGAACGTCAACCCTGAGAAGTGAGTGTCAATCCGGTCCCGGAGTCCCGGATCGAAGATGCAAAGCTCAAGAAGTCCAGGAAAGCTTGCCATGTCATCTTGAATCCCGAATCTTGGACCTGGCATCGGATTGAAGTTCCTTTCCTCAAGAATGAACATCACACCTGGTTCCCGATCCCAGATCTCCCAAGAAGCTTCACCGACACGTCAGAACTTGAATGAAATAAAACTGAACCCTGAACCCTAAACCCTAAACCCCAAACCCTACGCCACTGTCACTGAAGATCTCCAAGTTCATGGCGCCTGTAAGCCCTGAACCTCTAAAGCCCCAAATCCTACCCTCGAGGTCCCGGTGCTTCATGGAGTTCCTCTCTGAGCACCTGCGCCCTGCTTGGACGTGATATGCCTTCTTGCCACTGCGAGCCCCTAGGCCCTCAAGACCCTCAAGACCCCAAGCAAGAAACGGTGTTTCATTTGGTTCTTGCACTTTTGGTTCATGAAATGTTCAAGCTTCTTAGTTTTCGTTGGCTTGGCTTGGCAATGTACCATTGCGATAGGTTGTTTGTCTCAACACACCTGCGCTGCATAAAGTTGCATGCCGGAGTGGAGAGAGATGTGAGAAAACATCTGGCAGGCCTCAGAAGGCCCGAAGAATGTCCACAGGGCCCCCCTTAAAAACATCATCCTTTTCGCACACAAACCAACCTGCTCAGAACTACAAGGCCCAACTGGGCGGCATAGGACCGCAGAGACAAAACTCCCCGACGAGGTCTGGAGAAGACTCATCGACGCCTTGTCCACAAAGTGAAAAGTGAACTGGCCAAAACTGACTCGAACAATAGGCACGGCGTGGGCCGGAAGGGCAGCGAAGAGGCCATGCACAAGTTAGGCGCAACCAGGGTTGCGGAATGGAAAAGCTTGCTATGCCAGGTGCTTCCCAGTCTTGTCAGTCTTGTATGCGCCTATTCCGCTTCTGCAGGGTTTGGGAGGTTTAGGGTCCAGGGCTTGTGGTTTAGGATGGCATGGAAAGGAGCTTGTTGGGGTCTGCAGGGGCCGATCCGGTCTCATTCACAGACGATGGGCAGCAGCCTGAGCTTCGCCGCTAAAGTCTGAAGCCAAAGTCGCAGCGTACTGGAGTCGGCTTCGCCGGGCTTAGCTGAGGCTGTGCGTGGTGAAGCAAGCCGGGTCCTCAACAGTTTGCTTGCCCTTCACCACTACATTGTCATGCATCACTTTTGGTTTAGAAAAGTAAAGTTGTTGTCAGTTCTCTGGGAAGCAGCTGCAGGTCAGCGATTGCTTCTTGGATGAGATGGACTGATCCTGACTTCTGAGCGACGCGGCCGCCCTCGCAAAACATCGGCCCGGTCTGTCGTGTTTTGTTCGTACATGCGGATGCAAGGGAGGTGCCGTCGTGGACCCAGACTTGAGTCCCCGAGCCGTCGGCCACGTACCCAAACCCTTCGACCCAAACCCCTCAACCCAAACCCTGAACATCCTGCAACTGTGACGGTTTGGATTCCCTTTTGTGTGGAGAGGGCTGAAGAGCACAAGCGGTGCGAAGATGAGGATTGAAGAGGTGAGATGAGTGGAGCTGCAGGATATTGCCTGAGCTATCGCGTGCTTGCAGCAATGCATAGGGTGACGGGCGAAACCTGCCGTGATCGTCAAACGCAGTCGTCCCTCTGCTTCCAGCGTTTCGGCTTACCGCGGCCGACTAGACTGGTGGCGGTGGTGGCAGCTGCAGCTGCATCTGGGCAACCATGCCCGGTCCTTCTACAGCCTCATGTGTTGGCTCACGAGGGACACTTCTGCTTCGATGCCGGAATGAGGCCTGTTGCCTTCATCACCGTGAAGCTACCCGATGGCAGCCTCGTCCGAGAGCTCAGATAGCGGGGAATCGACGGCTGTGGGGGGCATAGCTTTAGCACCCGACACTCGAGGTCCATCTCGACGTTGACCTGAAAACTCGGATAGAGGCCCGCTTTTCAAGACCGCTTCCGCATGCTTGAAGTTTTTCCGGGACCAAGTCCTACCCCTGAACCTCCAATTCCCTCACAACAAGACTCTACAAAGAATTGGCATTGCGTGACAGGAGTTCAGGTCCATTCTGGCACCAAAGCAAGGGGCTCGGTGTCCGGCAAATGTCAAGTCTGTCTGTGTGTGTGAGCGATCGAAGGAGTCGTGAAACAGCTCAGGTGTGGCATCAAGCGTCATAGACAACGATTAGTTTTCGCAGGTCGACTGCTTCAGGAGCGCTGGGACTGCTTTCCCTGATGCCCTAAAACTCCAAGCGACGGACCTCCGAGCGCTGCAGGATGGTAGAACACTTGAAGCCTATGGTGTAGACCGCAACAGCACCATCCATCTGCGGAGGCCTCAGGACTCCATGATATGAGATGGTGACAACGTGGGTGCAGCAAAGTGCACCCTTATGCTGAAAGTGCTAAGGCTGCATGGACAGCAGGGTGGCGCCGATGTGCGCCCCAAGTTACCTGAGTGCCTGCAGTCGGGGTGGTTAGTGCTGTCCGTGCCCAATCGCTGTCTGCACAGGGCCGGGGACCCTCCGGTGTAGACATCAGCCAGATGCCGCAGCAACTGGGAGCCCTCCAGCCCCAGCCTAAACTTCTCGAGTTTACTAGTTCTCGAAATGGCGAATGGGTCCGAGCTGCCTACTACTGTAGCCTGTTCTTCCACAGCTTTAATGAGGATTTCTTGAAGCTCCTTGTTGTTGTCTCCCTTTTTTCTCTGTTTGGGTCTCCCAAAGCAGCTCCAAGCCTTAAGGTGGCCCCTGATGGCCCCTGATCTAGTGCCGAGGCGCCACGTCCTGCAGAATCCCGACATCCTGCAGCAGATGCTGGAGGAGCTGAGATGATGGGGGTCTGACCCCCCTAAAGTCTTGAAAATACATGGCCTTTCCCAAGCGGTCAAAATCAAGGCCCAAGAGGCCCCTCAAAAGGTCCAAAGGCCCAAGGAACACGGAACAACATGATGGTCATGTACAGTAGATGTAAGATGTAGGCAAGCAGCTCTTGCAACAGTGATTTGTCTTGGTTATTGCCGCCGTTGTAAATGAGTGCCCAGAGTCGAGTGTGCGCTGCCATAGATTCCATACAAAGAAAGACTCTGTCAACGTACTGCACCTGACGGGCCGAGCGGTCCGACCTTTCAAGCCCGAAAGACCTTGAACCCCAGAGTCGACTTCAGTGCCTTACAAAAGGGCCCCCCAGCTCGATCCTCAAAACTCGCACGGCCAGTCACCGGCGATGCAGAGCTTGCTGAACGACCATGACTTCATGCGCAGCCTGCTCAAGATGGACCCGAGGCTGTCCAAGGCTCCCAGAAGCCGCTGTTGAAACTCGTGTCTTGCTGTCGAAAGTGCATTTTAGGGGTTCAAGGGTTTAGGGTTTAGATGTTGTCAGCAATCCGAGTCCCAACAAGCCCTCCACAGCAGCTGATTGCCAGCTCCTCGAGAATTGCCCAGAGCTGAACCTCATGCTCCACGACCCCGAAGTCATGAAGCAGGCCAGATGCAATCTCAGCCTGTCATGGGCTTGCCAGAAGCCCCAGGCCCCAGACCCCAACCCGGAACCTAATTCAACATGACCCCTTTAACTCCAAACCCCTTTGCCCAGGCGACTGAAGCTTTGCGAAATCCCGTGCACGTCCGCAAGACGCTGAGACTCGCAAATGAAGACACATCTCTACACGAAGTTGAGGAGATCAGCCCCAGACCCTGAACCCGCATAAGAAGCCCCTGTCGCAGGTTTGGGGAGTTGGTTTCCTGCATTTAGAAGCCCTACCCCTGTCTCCCAAGCCCGGTTAACCCCCAGCCTACACCCTAACACTCAGTTCCTACGAAACCTGATCCCCACGCATGCTTAGGCGACGTGATCCGCAGCACTGATCGCTCCATGTCGCAGCTTGAGGCGCATGTCTAGGTTTGAGCGAAGTCCCCGAGACTAAGACCTCTCCACACATCGTTTGGCTGCAGGGCCTGGGAACTGGATCCTTCGACGTTCTGAGGCTGTGGCTTGCTCCTGACAGTACAAACGCCGCAGTTTTTTGGAATTTAGGTTTCGTGGCGGCATTCTTTATGTCGCAGGCAGATGTGCGAGGACATCCGGAGGCCCATGCAGGAGCTGGTGATCCACATTGTGAGCAGTGGAGCAGGGCTGTGGTTATCTTGATGTCAAGAGAGGTGCGTCAAGGGGTGGGGGTTGCCCGAGCCTCCCAGAGCTGCGCCCTGAACCGAGTTTGAACAGCGAGACATGGGCAGTCGAGGCCTGATTCTGTCATGCACCGCCCCTGTCCTCGTCGCTTCATTTCTTTCGGGGAAATCGGAAGCGGGACCTCCAAAAAGGAGTTCTCTCTTTCCCTCTCTCCCTCTCTCTCTCTCGCCAGGCATCTTGTTGGCTTGTCGGTGAGTTTTGGATGGAGTTCTTGCTACAGGCAATCCGCTGCGACAGTAGTTTTCTCAAAAAAACACCTTGAAACTGTTCTAAACGCCTTTTCGATGCTCGTTTTTCTGAAAGAAGCCTTGAGCATTGGAGACGAGGGAGCGAGAAGGACGACTTCGTGTCGCAACAACCTTCAGGGGTCAGGGATGTTCCGGCTTGGGAAACCAGATCTTGAACCCGGAACTGTTAAAGTGAAATCCCTGAGCCCACAGCCCTATATGCACGAACAATGCTGCTCGCTCCCACAGCAGCATCAGGACGAAGAGTACGTCCGGCTTCTAGCGGCCGCGGAAGCCCAGAAGAAGGAGGCGGAGAAGGCGCGTCGACCGAGAGGGGCCTTAAAGCCCCTTCAAGCCCGAGATGTTGAAGCTAAATCGCCTCACCGCGTTCCTAAAAAACTCCTTAAGACTAAACCCCAAAACCCCAAAACCCCAAAACCCCAAAACCCCAAAACCCCAAAACCCCAAACCCCCAAAACCCCAAAACCCCAAAACCCCTAAACCCCTAAACCCCTCTTTGCGTGCCTCTCGCATGGATCGTCCGCAGGACCACTTGCATAAACCCCTAAACCCCTAAACCCCTAAACCCCTAAACCCCTAAACCCCTAAACCCCTAAACCCCTAAACCCCTAAACCCCTAAACCCCTACCCCTAAACCCCTAAAAACCCCTAAACCCCTAAACCCCTAAACCCCTAAACCCCTAAACCCCTAAACCCCTAAACCCCTAAACCCCTAAACCCCTAAACCCCTAAACCCCTAAACCCTTAAACCCCAAAACCCCAAAACCCCTAAACCCCTAAACCCCTAAACCCCTAAACCCCCAAACCCTAAACCCGAAACCCCAGAGTTTGAGGTCTGCCCCTTGATTCCCCTTGTAGCTGCTTCAGAGGCCGAGAAGCTGAAGAGCCAGCGGAAGATGCAAGGGCAGGCCGACCTCGAGGAGGACGATGACGTCCCAGGCGCAAAGCTGTTGGCTTATTAGGGGGGCTTGGGGTTTAGGGTTTAGGGTTTAGGGTTAATTTAGGGTTTAGGGTTTAGGTATTCGGAGCTTGTGGCTTATATATGGGGGTTTGCGACATTAGGGGTACTTCTTCTAAGGGGATGCTGCTATTTGGGGATCCATATTGGGGGTCCCCTATTGTCGTAAAGCCCCATATGCTTAGAGGCTTAGGCAGGCGGTTTAGGATTTAGGAAGTTTCGCTTACTGGCGCCTGATTGGCAGCATCAACACTTAATGGGGCGTGCTTGGAGGGAGAACGCCCGAGACTTCATATGACTTGGTCACCAGACCCAAGCCGGGGACCCTTAACGTCGACTAAGTAACCACTCAGAGATACTTTTGAGATGGCCTAGAGCAACTCCAAACCCTAAACCCAATTTGCGGGTTGAGGTTTTCGATTGAAGTTGGGGCTTCGGTTTCAAATCTCCTCTTCCCTGGATTACTGGTCTTGAGCTGGGAAGATCCTTGCGCTTCAAGTCACGGAGGGGGGGGGGGTCCTGGAAAGTGAAGTCACCCCTCTGTTTTGCTAGCTCAAAACTTATAGGGTCCCTGTGTTGTCCCTTGGAAGGCGAGGAGAAGGCCGAAGAGGAGCCATCGAGCGGGGAGCGCATGCAGGGCTGGGGCTCCCCAAGCCCCAACTTCCCTTCAAGGTTTGCTAAGTTGCTAAATTCGTTTTACTTGCCTGTCAGGGTTTCAAGAGGCTTCCGGAGAAGGCCGCACAGAAATCCAGCCATCCAGTGTATCTTAAACGGAAATCACATGATTAAACGACCCTATCAAAAAATGAGTCGCTAGCAACCGGCTTTTGAATTCAAATGTTCCCGCCAGAGGAGTCAGCATTTCGTAGAAAATCTCCTGCATCCTGACAGGCCCATGGAATCTGCTCAGAAACAAGTCATTGTGGCGAACTTCTCCAGAGTTTCAAAAGAAGTGTAGTGTGAGAACTTTGTACGTGCGCGATGTTGTGCTGTGCTCTGTTGCTTGTAACAAAACAAGGAGACGTTTCATGTTATGGCATTGAGCATACAACACATGACCTTTATGTAAATCTGAGCAGTATTAACTTTTGTCTATTTTGCATCTTAACTCATGTTTTCATTGTTGTATCTTGGTGTTTTTCACACTGCTGCGTCGTTCACCTGCATTTCGGATTCTGCAAATGGTTTCAGGTGCATTGAACCAGTGCATTGGACCATGAATTTCGTCAGAAAGCAGCAGTTTCAGTCTCTTGTGTACTTACTTGTGTACACATTCGCGTGGAGGAATGAACGACGTGCAACATGTGATATCAATCTGTTAGAAAGTGCACGCATCACTTTTCAAGGAATACACGTTTCTACGGGTGCTGGAACTACAACGGACTTCCGAGGGCAAGATGAAACAGGGCTCAAGCAGCTAAGACATCTTTACGGCTTGGCGTCCAAGCGGAGGACGGAGCGCAGGAGGCCCCGGAAGAGGCATGGGGGGTTCTGCTTTCGGGCCTAGGATTTCAGGAGTTTCGGGCGAATTGCTGCGCTGGCACTGGTGGGTTACGTGGCAGCTTTAAGGCTCCTGGCCTTGGGGGGGCTCCCTGGCTCCTTCAAATGATTCTTTAAGCTTGGGGCAAGGGACATGTTAGGGTTTAGGGTTTTCTTCAGTGGGGCGAAGAAGGCCTTGGAGGTACCTTGCTTGCCTTTGCTTGACTGCCGCTGTGAGCTTTCCCGTGGATGGGTGCAGGCCCTCGCCCCAGAGGAGGACCCACTGCCGCTTTGAAGTTAAGCGAAGGTTGCAGGTGCTAGGGTTTCGAGGTGTGGGCTTTGAAGATTGAGGTTGAGGGCTTCAAGTTAAAAGCTCCACAGTTTTGACGCCTTTTTTTTCTCCGGCTGTGGTGCTTTGGGCAGGAGGAGGAGGAGGGCGTGGAAGCTCCCACGTGGGTCGGTCAGAGACCCGGCCCTCCAATGCTTCCGACTGCGGTGATGGAGAGCTGTAAAAATTGGTTGCTTCGCTGTTTCCAAAGGTACTTTCGATACCAACGCCATGGCAGCCATGATGCAGGATGACCAGCAGTTGAGGTTTATGAGTTTAGGGTTTACAGGGTTAAAGGAGTGATGGTAACAATTTGCTGCTGTATCAGATGCGCTGCCACAGATCCGACTCCGCAACAACAAGCATCAGTTTTGAACCTGCGACAAACTTCGATAGTTTGCCACTTCGGCACTTTGACGGGAGATCTGCTGTTTTCAAGAGACCTGACGACGTCTTTAGGTTGTTTCCCAGGCCACGTGCCTGTACTACGTGTTTTATGCGGGGCTTATGGAATGACCAACGCGAGGCTACAATGGCTCGGTACAGTTTTGGGCTCACCTTGGAACTTGCAACCTGAACCCTCAATCCCGAATCTAAGCTTCAGCATGGTTTGACAAGCAGCTGGCTTCAGGACCAGAACATGCAGTCACTCCTGGCACAGCTAGTGCAAGCAATGCCAGGGCTGAGACCTGAGTGTTCAGCAGCTCACATGCTCTGAGAAAATGGCCCATGTGTCAGGAAGGCTCTGAACCCCTTAAGCCGAAGCCCTAGACCGAGAACCAATTTTTATGCCTCGATGCAAACCAAGGCCAGGCATCAAAGTCCATCCAGACGATCCCTTCTTGGATCCCTCCTTCATTGGGCGCCTGATCCGCGGTTCAAGGTTTAAGGGTTGGTTAAGGTCTTTGGGTTTTGCTGTTCCGGGTTCGTCTCGAACTTCTGGGATTGGTAGCTTTTAACGCTGCTTGTGCTTTTAAGGTTCAAGGGGTTTGAGGTTGAAGGCTTTACGGCTCTAGGTCGATGAGCGCAAGCCCCCCCTGAGGCAGATGTTTCACGCACAGACCATCGACTCCATGGTCAAGCTGCAAGATGCGGTTGAGAAGCTGCGAGGGCCTTGAGGGGCTTCCCCATGCCGCTGCGATGCGAGGCTTTCTTAGTATCTGTGTGCGCGAGCGAGGTCGATGACCGATGGCGCAAAAGCAAGCGCGCCAAACGCAAGAAAGAAGAAGGCTCTTGACGGCACGGGAAGCCCCTTTGCGCCTGTGTTTCGCTCCAGCATGCTGAGTTGTCATAGCAGGGGCATGTTCTGACGAGTCGCGACCTTGCAGGGGCAGGACATCAAGGATGACGGTCCGGCATACGCCGCTCCGACATGTTATCAGTGTACCGAAGAGCAAGCAAGCATGCAAAACGGTGCTTAAAAGCTAGAACTGGGCTTCTCTCAGGACTCACCAGCCGCGCTTAGCGGCCTGCACTACCGAAGTCCAGCCCACAACTTCAAAGAGCGCGGGAGCCCGGAGATGCAAAAGATGAGGCATGGTGAAGCCTTTGTAAGCCTCTTGGGGTGAGATCCGTTGCGCAAGTCGTGCAGTTCCCCAGGTGCTTCAACATGTTCATCGCTGCTGAGCAGGAGAGTCCGGAGATCCGATATAAGGGTCAGCTGCAGGCGCGTTGTCGGCTGTTGCATCGGCGTTCTTGGGACCTCGCACTCTCTTACACGGCTAAGCGGCTAAACCTGAATCCCACGCCCCCTTACTTGTTGTTCAGGCGATGCGCAACATGGGCTTCACGGACCAGGAAGCTTGCATCCAGGCAGCGACCACTGGAGGGCTCTCGGGGGCTTATTTGGGACCGTCACGGAACACCTCCCTGGTTCGCAGCGGTGCGGGAGTCACCTTGCCCCGACAAGAAACCAAGCCCTTCAGCCAACTGAACCCCTAAGGAATCATCTCAGAAGGTCAACAGAAGATAGAAGAGCGGGGCCTGGTTACACCATCCACAGGCCCTGCACAACTGCGATGGCAACATGAACAAAGCCGTGGAGCTGCTCATGGAGAAGGCCGAGCGCTAGGCCGGGTGCTGCCGGTCAGCTTCGACGATGTCGGGGTTTCCGAAATCAGGGGTACCCTTTTGGGGTTCCTATCATAAGGGATTATAATTACTGTTGTGGGCGTGTAGTAAGGGTACCAGATATTTTTGGAAATGCCCATGTGTGAGAACTGGTGAGGACCCTCCGAGGGGCGCAAGGATTTAAGCACTGAAGCCTCAACTTTTGGCTCGGTTGGCGCCAGGCCTACGCCCGCATGGCTCGCAAATGTACCTGGCTTCCCTGAAAGGGAGCCTGTTTCACTGCTGTGTGCAGTTTGTTTTTTTGTTTAAAGGCCCAAGACCCCCGAACCCCCATATCGCAAAGCCAGAAACACCAGAAGAGCAACCTAAAGCCGACAGCCCTGAGGTTTGATCAAGTTGAAATTACCAAAGGATCCCAAACCCAAGGTTTGCCACACTCCCTCAAGTTGAAGCTGAGTGTGGTGGCATGGAGCCCCGTTAGCAAGTAGGATGCCGTGAATTGAGTTGAACTGTGCAGTCGAAAGCGTTTCTCCTCGTGTGCGTTGCACTGTCGCAAGCTGCTTGGGCTGGTTGTGCGCAAGCGGCTCTTCCTTTCCAGAGCGTTGCCACCGTTGCCGCCGTGAGCCCAAGCAATGCTGGTTCATGCCGCCGTGCCCCGCATGTCATGCGACCTTTGCAGCCGGGTGCCCAAGTCTCCTTGCGACGTTCCCACGAGAGCATACGAGAGCTGTGCATTTCTCAGGCCGAACCACCGATGCAAAGGGCAGAAGTGTCACGGCCCCAGCAGTTGCTTCGGCCAGGATCCCAAGTGAGCCCATTCTGGCATTTAGGCACTGGAGATATCCCTGGATTCTGCTGCGTGGCAGGTGAACGCTGCGGCAGACGGGTATCGCTGCTGGGTGTCGACGGCTTCGGCATTGTCCGGAGACGACACGAGCGGAGGTGCTCGATTGAATCGGCCCTGAGCTGAGCAAGCCAGAACCCTCCGCCCACACTGTAGGCCAAAACCGAGCCAGCTCGTACCCATAGTGCCCATGGTAATGAATGGGCCCAGATAATCTCCAATATTTGCCCACATCTGCCCACCACAAAGGCAGCGCAGCAGCAGGCTATTCAGCCGCCGGTCCAAAGCCCAGCTGGCCCAGCTGAAACGAGATGGTTTTATGGTTAACCGCTCTCGGCCGATCTCTTAAAGGCTCAAGGGGGCTCAAGAAGGCGATTTGGTATGTTTGTCCCAGGATCGCTGATTCCAGGCCCGGTTCCAGCCCACTCTCAACCCGAAACCCATGTCTTCAAGCATCTTACTGGCCCTAGTCATCCAAACGGCAAAGGCGTTTCAACCCTTGAAAGATGCCGAGGTCGACGAGCCGAGCGGCGCTGGTGCCTCATCATCCAGCACAGCGACAGGACCCACAAAGTGTCGTCTTGAGGTGAGGTTTTCGTGGATTAGAGTTTGTAGGTATCTTAGGTTGCTTCCAGATGAATTCCGGGGTTCATGGAGATTCTGACGGCCAGACACAAGCCGCGGTGCGGCGCACCCCGTCCCTAGAAGTCCAGCTCCCAGATGTCCTTATCTCTTCAATCGTCTTGGCATGGACATGCGGTTGGTTCAGCCTTGCATCAGTTCAGCCCACCTGGTTTCAGAGCGAACCAAAGCCCATCAAATTTGGTTCCAATAAGAACAAAAGGTAAGTTGTTCATTTTCGGCTGGTTCTTAGTAGGGAATGAGGGAATTCGGTACCCTATATAATCCATTTTCATTAGAGGGTATGTATAGGGCCCTAATTCTCTCATTCCCTGCTGAGAACCAAGGGGTAAAAATGGTTTTTGCATAGTTTGCTTTTCCTCCTCCCTTTCGTTGTTCCCCCCGGTGAGGAGAGGCGGAGGCGCTCGTTCCCTCAGCGCCGGCCCTTGGGGAAAGCGCTCCAACAAGAGAGGCTTCTTGCGGAGCTTTACCAAAGCCTTGGGGGTTTGGGTGTTTGGGTGTTTGGGTGTTTATTTGGGGTTTGAGAGTTATGATGGGGCTTCTGTGGTTTAGGGCGGGGATTTGCGTGGGTCGAGTATGGCTTCAGCGTTGCAGGGGTTCAGAGCTTTGGAGGAGCTGCGTATGACCTTCGTTCGCTACGTTCACTCGTTACTTGCGTGCTTATTTCGCTTCTTGTTCCATCCAAAATCTCTGGAGTCATGCTCTTGAGTTGCGACTGACAAAGAATGTTGCGAGAATGAACCACGTAATGGTTGCGCGGCGACTGACCCGGAAGGATGGAAACGTAGGGCTTGCTGCCATGGGCACGTGTTGATCGTAGCTACGTTCATTGAGAGTTCTCCAATTCCTGCAGAAATCGCGGAGGAGACGCGTTGGCGATTCTACCCATTCAGCAGACTGCGAAGTGTGCTGAGATGTGGAAGGCGCAGCAGGCCGCAACCAAAAGGAGCCTCATCGGCCCTAGCGGATGGTGCGATGTCCGTCTCCCAGCCCAGCCACTTACTTCGAAAAGCCCCTTCACATCCCTGAAGCTTCTTCATTTTTAAAGTTCGAATTCAACTCTTTTGCGCGGCAGATTGCTCAAGATCCTGGGATTAGCCACTAAGGTGAGTCTGCCCATCCAAGCAGCATGGTGAGGCCAAAGGACAGGTTCCGCAGAAAGCCATGTCAGTAGCATCTCTCTAAGCCAGCCGAAGCCCGAAGTCCCAAACCGGCAGTTCCTCAAACTCCCAAGCTCCTCTTACAAGTGCAGACAGGCATCGAGCCTTCTCTCCACGTTTCAAGTCTCTGCAGCGCTCGAGCGGGCGGCAGCTGGTGAGCACCGGGCTTAGGCTTTTTTTTCGCCCTAAACCCCAAAATGTTTGTTTTTTTTGTCACGTTACTGTATCTACAGTTGGCTTAAGAACCCCCCCAAAATATCAAACAACACTCCCTGTATTACCCTGATAAGGAATATTCTACATTTTTTGGGCGGGGGAGGTTCTTAAGCAAACAGTAGTCCTGTCAGAGGTATAGGGGAGGGTATGCAGAGAGCGCTCGGAGTATCTGCCACAGGCTCCAGGGGTTCACACCTCTGGAGACAGTTTGGCTACAGAGCGTGGCCGACAAGGCACCAGTGGCGCAGCCTGGTCGCATGGAAGTATTAAGGACTTAAGGGACCACAATAGGCATCCCCTAAGCCCAAGGCTCCTAATCAAGAATGGCTTGTAAGCATACTGTGGAGGCTTTTGGGGGGTGCGGGAATTTTGCAGCTGTTGGGCTAAGGCGCCAAAGTGTGCAAGTACCTCCAGAAGGCGAAGGCTCTCAGTGAAGGGAGCCACGATGAATGTCTTGGAGTTCTTTGAGCACCTTTGAAGAGGATGCAGCAAGATAACTGAAGAAACTCAGAACGTCCGCGAAAGCCTTACCAACCCGAATGTGTTCTCGTCGTCTTTATTCCGCCTCCGTGTTTCGCATCGCGCAAGAGGTCGTTTCTGTGGCCCTGGCATTCTGGCAGGTTGGCACGGGCCACTCGATAGCAACGACGGCCGCTGGAGTTTGCAGCTCTGGTACAAGTGGTGCCGTGGCTCAGCATTGGCGAGTCGCCGTAGCACAAGCAGCAGCACCCGTTCCTGAGATGTCTGTCCTTAGTTGACCATCCGACTTCTCGAAAGCTCGCGGGCCCTGAGCCTTGAGCTCCCAGACACTGCTTAAACTTAGTTCCTCAAACCCTATAAGGCCCTAAGCCTTTAAGCCCTGATTCCTAAGTTAGCCTGGACTTCAAGTTGCGCTGAAGTGCTGAGAAAGGTGTGAGCCCTGAACTTTCCGTCCGGAACCTGCTGCTCCAAAGCTTCAGAAACTCCAAGCCTTGGGGCAAATTCGGGAGGGTTGAAGGCGTACGAATGAGCCTGTCCGCTCAAGGCCCTAAACTTAAAATCCCTCAACGCCCTCAAGCGCCCAAAGTCCCAAAACTCTAGACTCTAAAAAAACCCACGCACCCCTACGCCCTAGAACCTAAAGCCCTAACTCCTCAACCCGAAACCCTAAACCCATCTAAACCCTAAACCCTGGACCCGAAACCTCAGTGTCAAGTGGCGGAGAGGTCCTCTGCAACCGTGATATCGACGGTCTGTCGGGTGGCCCTTCCAGGCAGCTTCTGCGAGGCCGGGTTTCAGGGTTTAGGGGTTTAGTGGTTTAGGGTTTAGGGTTTCGGGTTTTAGTGGTTTAGGGTTTGGGGTTTTAGTGGTTTAGGGTATGCGTTGTGGTCTGCACTGCTAGGATGCTGGCCTTCCCAGTCTCCGACAATCCTGCCCTTGTTGCAACGTGCGGGTGGGGATGGCACACTTCTTTGCTAGGTGCTCTCCCTCTTCCGTGAGGCGGGCTCTTCTCGGTGCTTGTCCGCTGCTGCTGTTCATGAGATGGAATCGGAATTTACTTGCAGGGTGTAGGTCTCGGGGCACACCACGCAGTATTCTCAGACGGATATGCTGCAGTGTCGTGCAGGCAGATCTTGCAGCCAATTGGTGCATGACTCAACCCTTCGGCACTGTGCCAGATGCTGGTGTCTTGTATGACGGAGAGTGAAGTTGAAGGTCCATTTTTGTGAGAAGCAAGTTGTGGCATGCTTGCTGATGTGAGGTTGCCTTTCGTGAGCGGTGGCAACTGCTCGTTTTCCCAGGATCTTCCTGCCACACCGTCTTCGTTGAAGGGCCATTGAAGCCAAATCGAGTCTTTACAGCCATGAGCCCCAAATCCTGAACCCTCCATGCAACCCTGCACCAAAGCCATGAAACTCTGTGAACCTCCCAAAGCCCTTGATCCCAAGTAGGTCCTAACCCAGGAGTCCTTGAAGAGTTCATGGAAGTGCTGGCAACTGCCAGGCCCTACTCACCAGCGTGCGGATCAAGCTGCCTTTGGTCCCTTACTCCCTGCGGACGCTGGTGCGCAGGGCGTTGATCGTCCAAGATGGTAGCTGTTGGGTCTGTTTAGTTCTTACCAGTAGTGTGTTGAAAGGCTTTGTGCGGACCACTGGTGACAAGAGCTTAAGCGCTAGATTGGCACCCATGCCGTGAGATACATCGGGCGTTCATCGATGAATTTCGCTCGACTTCATCGCCTGGGGTGTGCATTGTGGAGTGGACGAAGCTTGACAGCACAATCAGAGGTAGGACTGCAGTTTTCTTCAAGGGGAAGCGACCCGCCACCAGTGGTTAAGTTTGCAGACGATAAAGAATCAGAAGCACAGCACGACAAGGTTCTCAAAGTTTTGGCGGTACATGGCGGTACTGTATTGTAAGGTCCGGTAGCTTGACTTTGCACTGCAGCAGTGTGGCCCAACTTGACAACTCGTCCTCTGCCCACTGGTGCAGTTTTCAAGTGACGATACTTTCTTGCACCTTTTGGAAACCACCGGTATTTGCGATATTTTCTCGTCTTTCTACCTATCAGAATCAACACTGCCAACTTGTTGCATGTCGTACAACACAAACTCATAAACGCAAACGGTTTGTGGACTTGGCTTGAGATGCATGTTTTGGGTTGTGCATGTCACGTTATGTCTTCAGCGGTTCGCAGTCGATTTTGCAAGTTTGCATCGTATCGTAGGTCGTAGGTGTCTGTATACAGTTGAACCATTTAACTTCGACTTGTTGGGCGAAAAGAAGTAAGGCTAGTGATTTTCTTAAATTCATTAAGTTGTCAGTTCATATGGGAACCCGAAAGGGGATTAATTTGGCAGGCGCTTCTTCTACTCAGATTTAGGCAAAATAAGGGTTCATAAGTGGGCCCGAACAGAAATGTGATGAAGTAGTCATGTACTATTTCCGAGACGCATGACACTCGTTTAATTTTGCGAGTTGCTTCATGCCCATCTAATTTGCTTAGCCAAAATTCGCCACAAACTTCTGTTCAGTTGATGAACTGAATAAGTTCATTTTTTTGGTCGCGTTATCAAACTGGGGGGGGGGGGTGCGGAGGAATGTAATAGGTTTTCGGAATGAACGTAGCTCACCCGAGCAGTACTTAAGTTAATGAAGGGACTAAATTTCGGCTAGCTTCTAGGCTATTGGTCAAAGTATCAAAGTGAGCCCGAGTATGAACTGAATGAGCCACTTTCATTGAATTCAGGCACGAATTGTATCAACTTCGTTAGTTGATATCTCAATTTATCATAAGAGATCCCGAAAGTGTAGACCGTTTGTAAAGACTAATTTTATGACTTCAAATTCATGGTAAATTAAAGTCCTTGTTCTGGACCGGATGCAGTTTGGATTCGTTTTTCTTTCAGAAGTACAATATTCCAAATATCCGTTCGTAAGAAAGCCCCATAGTAGATACCGAAAAGCTGCAAGAATGAAGCAAATGTTAGCTACCAAATCGACTTGTATGAATGGCTCGGCTAGTGTTCATGCTTGCAGAGCGTCGGTTTTCGCTTGGACAGCATGCGCTCATCCTTGCAAAGTGTCGCTATTGACGTGGAAACCATGCTCCTTCCAGTCCCGTGCACGCACGCTCTTCTGAAAGTCCAGTCTGTCGCCGCTGTTGTGTCCAAATCTTGCTTCCACTGTGCGCAGATCTCCGTGGCGTGCGTAACCGTGCTATACCGTGCTAGCTTTTTGTCTTTTTTCTTTTGGGTTGAATCACAGCAAGTGATGCCTGTGATATGGTATAGTGACCCTTCACATCCTTACACGGTTCGTCGTCCATGCCAGCTTCTTGCATGTTGTTTTTTTCGCTAGCTTGCGGACTGAAATCATGAGTCAGTCCTAGACGTTCTAACACCCAAGCCACAAACGCCAATTCCTAAATCCGAACCTTCCGGAGGGCAGCTCTGACATCGAACAGTCCTGAGGCCTAAGCCCCACACCAAACACAACAAGATCCTAAAAGCTTGCTGTCGTGGCTCACCTGGCTTTCAAGTCCCGGCATCGGGTTTAGGGCGCAGCATGAAGTGCAGCGGGACCTGCCAGGCACACCCCGAAACCACAAGGGCAGCAAAACCTCAAAGCCTAAACCGTCTAAACCCTAAGCCCTAACTCCCCAGTGAAGCGCGTGAACACTCCCCAGGCCCCCAGACATCGAGCCAACAGGCCTCTTGGCTCCCAGAGTCGGCTTTGTGAAGGTACGGCTAGGGTTCAGGGTTTAGGGCTTAGGGTTAGGGTTGAGGGTTTAGGGTTTATAGAAATTGTAAAGGGTTTTTTGTCCGGAGTTTTGTCGGGTTTTGCCGGGCTTTGTCGGGTTTTGGGGGGGTTTTGTTTTTTGCTTTTGCTCAGATGGGTAAGTAGGGCAGGGCAGGAGGCAGGGGGTTGGGTAGGGGGTTGCACGGGGCAGGGGGGCAGGCGTTAAGGGGCTGGGGCTGGGGGGTAGGTTTACACTGTGAAGGCTACAGGATTATTGAACGAGCTGCTCGTAACGAAGCGCGGATGCAGGATTATTGTACGAGTTGCTCGTAATGAAGCGCATGCAATTTCTATTTATCCGGGTCTCGAGGGTTCAGGGTTTAGGGTTCAGGGTTCAGCGTTGAGGGTTTAGGGTTTAGAATTGGGGTTTAGGGTTTAGGATTTGGGATTTAGGATTTCCCCTGTCCCCCCCAAGAGCCCCGACGGCCACCCCATGTGCCCCAAAAACAAAGCCTTCACCCCGCCGGGCAAAGGATACTGTGGAATGGCGGTCCCTGCGATTCCGCCCCGGTCCTCGGCTATGCAGGCGATGGTTGAGCCCATTGCCATAGCCGTTTCCCTTAGAAGCCCATACCAACCTAAGCCCCAAATCTCAATCTCCCCAGCACCCCTCAAACGCGGCTCTTGAACCTCCATACCTCTGCAGAGCTTCCTGGAAACAGAGACCCTTGCTTCGCCGGTCCTGTTGTTGCAGATGTTGCTCCACAGCCTTGTTACAGGGTGCTGGTGGTGCTGGTATCACTGGGGCATGTTCCAACGCAGGGGCGCGCTCCAGAACGCCTTCCCCGCAAGCCTGACAAATTTCAGTCCAAACCTTAAACCTTAAATCCTAAGCTCTAAGCCCTAAACCCCAAAACCCCAGACCCTAATCTTCAAACCCTAAAGCCCTCTACCAAGAAAATGCAACCTAGACCCTAATCTTCAAACCCTAAAGCTCTCCAGCAAAAAACGCACACCAGCAGCGATGAAGGTGCAGCTGGGGGCAACCAAGATCAGCTCCGAGCCTGACGAACAGGCAGCAGTTGCAAAGAACGTACACCAAAGAACTGCTTCAAGAAAGAGCTGCTTCATGCGCGTTCGGAGACTATCTTTGCTGGCCTCGGTATGTGGTCGCTAGGTTTTAGCTCAGCAGTTCTCGCATCACTGGGCCCGGGTCTTCCTGCCGTCACTCCACAGAGAATCCCGCTCAAGTACATCTGGAGTGCCCACCCTGAGAATCTGGCCCCTATAACCCCCAAATAACCCCTAAGGTCCCTTGTAAGGGTCCCTCCTGTTACCCCTTAACTGGGGCTGACGGCAGTGATTGCTCCACCATTCTTCGCAGAATCGGTGCGTCGTGGTCACTGCTACCCAGAATGACTTCAAAGTCAACAATCGGCCGCTTCCTTGGAGATGCTCCAGCAAGGAGGCCAGCACCTGGCCCTGCAGCAGCGGCCCTCGTAGGGACTGACCGTGCTTCCTTTCAAGTCCGGAACCCCAAAACCATCTGGTCACTTCTCTAACATATTCTCTAACATATTCTCCAAAATATGGTCCTTTTTGGGGGGTCCTTCTGATAAGGCGGCCCTATTGTTTGAGGGCACCCCAAAAAGGGACCAATAATTCAGAGAAGTGGCCATCTAGGCCATTTTCCCTTCTGAGGCTGGTTCCCAACATGGCCCTTCGAAAGTTTCTTGCCATCAACTCGAGAGTGCCTCGCCTGCCATTGCCGCGAGTTTAGGGTTTAGGGTTTAGGGGTTTAGGGGTTTAGGGGTTTAGGGGTTCAGAGGTTTAGGGGTTTAGGGGTTTAGGGGTTTAGGGGTTTAGGGGTTTTGGGGTTTTGGGGTTTTGGGGTTTTGGGGTTTTGGGGTTTAGGGGTTTAGGGGTTTTGGGGTTTTGGGGTTTTGGGGTTTTGGGGTTTTGGGGTTTTGGGGTTTGGGGTTTAGGGTTTCGGTTGTTCATTAAACTCGCCACTTTGGTCTTGAGCATCAGTCGAAGTTTGGGCCTTGGGTCGATCGAGCCGATATCGGTTTCACTGTGGGTATCTTTGGGAGGGCGGTTTAGGGTTGAGGAGGTTTGAAGAGCTCTCCCGAATCTTCAATCCCCGGTAATGTGCAGCCCATGTTGCGAAGAAGCTTCAAGTTTCAATAGGAGCCATCAAGCATCCCACCGTGGGAACCGGACGTGGTCTTGGTTGACATGCGCGTTTTGCTTAGGCGAAATGCGTATTTAACGGAAGCGGGATTTGGGAAAGCCATTCTTCGCGAAGTAATGGCAAGTTGTGAACTGGTGTTTTAAGTTGGCGACGATTTCAGGGATACGCGGCACTGGGTGCAAGCGGGTTAGCGTGTCCGGGTTTAAGTTAAGTTTCGTTTAAGCTGCCCTTGAAACCTCTCCAGACCTCTCCGAGCAGCTTTAACCATCAGTGACCCTTGAACGATGTTCGGCCTTGACATGCAGAGAGCGCAAAACGTGAACGCAGAATTGGGGCATGAGTGCCCTGGGCAACGGATGAATGGTCGCAAGGGCCTTCTCATGGAAGTTAGCATCGCGTATGCACGAGTGCTCTAGCCTCTAGCCTATGGATGCACTGGTCGCATGGACGCTACCAGCGTGATGAATGTTCTCGCCAATGAATGCGCTGGTCGCGTGGACGTCCTATGGACATGAACGCTCTGACCAATAGATGCATTGGTGGCATGGACCTGATCATCGGGCAGGCACGAACTCTCTGGCCCATGACGAAGCAAAGGTCTCCCAGATAATTAAGCATTCTACGGTCGATGCGTCGCCAGCTGAAGCATGCTCAGACCCTAAACCATCAAAAATCTCACAAGACTCAATAAACCGGCACGCAATGAGCATGACAGTGCCTCATAGTCGCTGTGCCTGATGGCCTCGTGAGGTCGTTGCTGGCAACATGGCTGCGTGCCTGGAGGAGAGTGTTTGTTCTGCTGGCTGCTCCCTAATTACTAAGGTCCCTGACTAAACTAAACTTGTCCTCGACCAGTCCCTCCGTCACAAATTGGATTGGCTCCTGACTGTAGATAACGCCGCCAACACCTCGTTCCCCAAGGCAGACAGTGTTTCTAGCAGGACATGGAGAGATTTGGGTACAGTCAGCGCATTGAAAAAGATGCCCAGGCGGGGATAGGGGGATGAACATGATGCACTCCCCAGAGCGGCAACAAGCTATCAGAAGCGGACGAGAGTGACCAGACGCTTTAGAAGGCATTGGCCTCTCCAGTCAAGAGCAGACGCTTTAAAAACATGTGCCCCAATGACGCCAGTTTTGGAGGCCCATGATGAAATGCTGCTCTCCTGATCTCCACTGCAGATTTAGAGCGTTTGCCACGTTTGCCGGTAGGGGGAAGCCAACTTTCATGGAACTCTGCGCCCAAAGTGCCCCTCGAAGTCTGCTTCAGGGCTTCTACGCGGCCGTGAGGCGCTCCAGGCCAGGGCCAGAGTCACACTGCAAGAGCGACAACGACCGACCCTTCTACCCCCCAAAATTTGCACAAACCCACCCTGCAAACTGGATTCGGGGCTTTGGCTTGGGAGAGGGTTTGGGATTGTGGAGGCAGGGCGGCGTGAAGCATTTCAGGGTGTTCGCTGCGTGCGTTTCAGCTGACAGGGGTGGCATTCGGGATGTGTTTAGGGATTCCTTCTAAGAAATCTGGTTCACCCTAATCTGACTCCAGTTTGCCAAGCTTAGGGCACTTAGGGCTTCCCAGCTTGGAGGTGATACAGTCGAATGCCCCCACAGCCGGCTGGAGCCTTTGTGTCTGGCATTCTTGCTGCTGCTCTTTGAAAACCCTCGAAGTCCTGAACTCCCGCTGTGTCAGATGTGTCAGGTTCAAGCTGGAGCCAGCTGTTGTACAGACTCCAGTGTTGGACTTGTGATGAGTCCGCACCGCTTAGCACAGGCTCAGAACGTCAGGTTTTGGACCTACAGCTTTCACCGCTGCACTGGCAGCAGGAAACGCTACACAAGGCTGCGTTGAGTGTTGATGGACCTCGGCAGCTCAACCGCTCACAAAACAACGGATCCTTATCTCGAATCTGAGGGGAGCGCATGCCTTCCAGAGACAGCATGTAATGTAATGGCTACGGCATGCTTCCTTCTTCGTAGCTTTGGCCCAACATAGCTTGACAAGCAGCTGCAGCCTGGAGGCACAGGCCCCGACACAAAGCCCTAAAATTTTCCTGAATTCTTCCGACCCTGAAGTCTTCAAGCACGGATGCGTATCTTCAACATCGCAGGGCAAGTCTGCTGACGACCATCACAGATGAACCCTAAGAACCTTCTTGAATCCCCACTCCTAAGCTTCCCGCTTTGGTCGCCGGGGGCGGCTTTGCCCTGTTTTTGATTGCAAGGTTAGCCACATTTTCGCAGCGCCGGTGGTACCTGTAAAGCTGAGAACCTGGAGTCCTACACCTCGGCATGCAATATGCTAAAATACAGACTTTTAATAACACATGTTGGCATTTGATATATCTGAGATGGTAAGGCTGTGAAGAGAGCAACAACACGCCCGTTTATCCCTAATCTTTTTATCAGATTCACATAGTGTGTCTCATGCCTTACAAATCGCCATAAACAAGGTGCAATAGAGATAGTTGTTAAGGGATTCTAAGGGCCGTACAAAAAAAGTCTTATCAGATTCATATAGTGTGTCTCATGCCTTACAAATCGCCATGAACAAGGTGCAATAGAGATAGTTGTTAAGGGGCTCTAAGGGCCGTACAAAAAAGTCTTATGTTAAACGGCCCCTTAGAGCCCGTACAAAATCCAGGGGATGGCGGCGACAAGCACAAGCACTAGGACACCAACACAGTCGCAACGCCACCAGGATCATGAAGGACATCGTCCGACAGCCCGCAGCCAGACAAACGCCCGACAAACTCCGCAAGGTGGAGGCAGTCCTGGCTACCAACGGCTACCGAAGTGTGCCAAGCGATTGCAAGGGAAACTCGCGCAACGGGTGCGGGGGCCGTCCCGATGGAGCCAAGGGCCATGCAAACCCCTCAGCGCTCTGGACCATGAGCTCATGGATACTCCAGGCGATGCAAGACCTTCACACCGCCCACATGATGGAGGAAAAAGCAGGATGGAAGCTCATGGGGAAAGCATATCTCCACTGTGATTGCCTGTAGCGACCGAGCGTTCTCCCATCGTCGCCAAGAAGAGTCGAGGAAGCAGTTCAGACTCGACCCCCGATTGGAGGGGAGACGAGGAGGTGGTGCCGACGGACCCCTGAGCCAAGCGAGACAAAGGCCTGGAGAGCAACAAACAAGCGAGAGACTCGGTGGAAGGAGGGGCAAGCCGGCGGCCACAGCAGCATGGCATGACATGGCAAGAATGGAGGTTACGAGTGAAGTGTAGCCCGCATAGTATGAGACAGGCAAACATCTCCGTGAACTGAAGTTTCTCGGAAGCGGCGGACCAGCCCTATCGCTCTACAACATTGCAATTGGGGAAGCGAGTTTTCTCGGTGTTCGTAGTGTGTACATCCTTTCTGGAATTTTCTGCAAATGCTAGTATCGGGAGAAGCCACATCTTTTCAGTACTATCACCACCAAGGTCAGTATCACGCCTATCTACGGGGAGAATTTGGCAACACGAAGAAGAGAGAGCGAAAGGAAAAGAGAAATATGGGAGGGAGAGAGGTACACTGGACACAGTTCAGCTTGCGATCACTAAAGACGATGTTCTTATTGAGCTGAACAGGATAGCGAAGCCAGCAGATACACCGGCGAATCGCAGTGCTCCTTGAAGGAAGCAGCATGTTATCCACTTTCGCGCACAGATACAGATCTTCGCCGCCAGCACAGGAAACAAAGCAAACGAGCAGCCTGAACTACGAAGGCAGGGATGGCCGGAGACGATGCTTTGACCGCTTCGGGGTTCTCTGCCGACGAGCGGGAAGCTGCGACAGACGCTCCAGGCCTCTACCCGTTTTGTTCTTTGGCTTTCTCTTTGGAGGCAGATGTCGGTTTGGCTTAGCTAGAAGTGTTGGGTGTTCAGGCTGCGGCAGACCTGCAGTAAGCAGTTTTCTAAAGCATTAGAGCTTGTAACCGTGTAAACCGGTCGTCGCCGAAACTACCTCAGGCAAGACACACCGCTCTGCGAAAGTGGTGGAGGACCTGCAATGGTGGCGCTTCTGCACTGTTCCTGCCCTGAAACTGTAGGTCCTTGCAGGCTCGAAGGGTGCCCCAGTGACAGCCTTGAACTTCTTGCCTTCAGCTCGGCTATGAATCTGGGCGCCCAGCAAGCCACAAGCCCCGAAACCCCAAATGCACTGCTTAGACACCTGGACCTTGAAAGAGACCGCTGATTTCGGAGAAGCTTTCCTGGGTGGAGGATGAGCTGTATGATGCCGTCATGGCGCGTCTGGAGGCGCCTAGCTCCAGCATCATCTCAGGTGGTTTTTTTGGGTCAACTTACAAGAACAATTCAAGAGTTCCTGCATGTGTAGGCGAGTAGTTGAGTAGGTTTTGTATTCTGCATCTGGCATCTTCGCCTCTGCTAGAGAGTCAGCTCGAAACCGCAATCTGCCGCAGTGTCGGCCCACACCACAGTCACCAAAAGGGCAGGACCGAACAAGACTTGCTGCATTGTCACTCTAGGGCCATTCGACCGGCAGATTTGCCTGGGGTATGATTCGGAAGGTGTGGCTCCTACAGAATGTTTTTTGAGAAGTTGCGTGGTTGGTCTGGGGTCCTCTTGTTGCTTAAGAGCAGCGCTGCCAGGTCGTGCTGTCCGAGCAAGAATCTGCTCTGTGGCAGCATGGCCAGGACAGGGCATCGCACTGGCTTCATCCACCGCGCACAATGCTTGCACACCGTTGCGAACAGAGCTTGGACATATCTAGTTTGCAAACATGCTTCACGGAACATTGATAGGTGAGACGCCCCTGTGCTCGGCAGCTAGCCATTTTGGTTTGAGAGGTTGAGTTTCGTGAAGAGTTGTGCCCTTATGTCCTTTTCTTGGGACAAGCCAACAATCGACATGGAGGCTCATGTTCCCAAAGAGGTGGCAGAGATGGGTTTGGCTCAGCCACCTCAGGAGCCTATGTCGACGAATCTCTCCCAGCCGGGAGACACGCAGATGGTCAATGATCTATGCAGGGAAGCCATGCAAAGCTCCGCAACACCTATGGCCGTGATGTCCATGTATCAGCAGACTATGCAGACCAAAACGATTGACAAGCAATCGGGTGTCATTAGGCAACAGCTGATCACAATCGAGAACTTGCGAGCCGATGTCGTCCACTTGCAAAAGAAGAAGGAAGACCTCATTGGCGAATGCAAGCTGCTGGCTAAGGCGAAGGAGGACGAAGAGAACACAATCGAGAACTTGCGAGCCGATGTCGTCCACTTGCAAAAGAAGAAGGAAGACCTCATTAGCGAATGCAAGCTGCTGGCTAAGGAGAACGAGAAGAAGCAGGGCATCGACCTGGCAACGAGCAAGCCAGAGACTCCGAGCAAGAAAAGGAAGGCCGATGCAAAGCTCAAAGCTCCGAAGAAGTCGACAAAAGCCGCGGCACCAGCAGCCAGTCAGATGCAGTTCCTCCACAGCACCAATTGGGTGATCTACCTGGCAACTTATGCACACGACTCTCTAGCTTTCCACACTGCCAAGCACTTTGGAAGCGCACTAACTTTGTACACTCCGTCAAAGCCAGGCTCATGGTTCCAGCAACCATGAGCCTGGCTTTGACGGAGTGTACAAAGTTAGTGCGCTTCCAAAGTGCTTGGCAGTGTGGAAAGCTAGAGAGTCGTGTGCATATCTTAATGAGACGTTACCGACCACACTTGGTCGTGAAGAAGCAAAAGGAAATAGAGGTCTATACCGCAGATGCACTCGAAACCCTAAGTGCCTTGCTAGACGAGGGCGAGAACATGACTGGCGACCAGTTGGCCGAGCAGGTGAAAAAGAGCTTCTTCCCCGTACACGTCTTCAAGGGCGACTCTCCGGCCATCAGTCGTGAGGAAGAGGAAGAGGTTGAAGAAGACGAAGAGAAGGACGAGGAAGACGAGGATGGAGAACACGAAGTCAAGCCAGCTGCCGACCCAGAGGAAGACTAGAGCAGCCACCTCCCGCCCTCCCTTGTACAGTCAGCGGCATTGGGGCTGCCGTCACCACTGGTAGCATCGGGCAGAAAGAGAAAAAGTCTACAGCACATTTGCCAACTCGATGTACAAGACATGTCGCATACCTTAGCACATTTGCCAGTTCTGAGCGCTTCTTTCCCAGGGCAGGGTTAGACAAGGAGCCGACAACCCATATCCTAAACCCCTAAACCTCAATCCCAAACCAGAAGCCCTTAAGACCCCCTGCGAGGAGGAGATAGCCCAGATGCAGCGGGATCATGAGAGTCATGAGAATGCCAGCGAGCTCAGTTCCTGTGCCGAGTGCGGGGCTGGCGTTGATGAAGTTTTTAGAAGGTTTCGACGCGTTTAAACTCGTTTAGACGGCTGGGTGCCGGGTCTTTGTCCAAGGGTGGGAAGGCACCCCTTTGTTGCGGGGCAAAGCTCGCACAACCTCCCATGGACGTCTTGAAGTCTTGGAGACAAGGAAGTTCGGACCCTGAGCCCCCCAAAAGCTTTGCCAAGGTTTGGGCGAGCTTGCAGGAGCTTGCAAGCCATCAAGCGGAGCTCAGGGACCAGCAGGCTGAAATGAATCGCGCGGAGCTCGGTTTGATGGTCTGGGCTTCAGGTTTGGTAGCTTGGGCTCCTAGGCCGCTAAGACGAAGAAGCGAAAGAAAGACAGAGAGAGACAGAGAGATAGAGGGAGCGAGAGGGAGCGAGAGAGAGCGAGAGAGAGAGAGAGAGAGAGAGAGGGCGAGAAAGACGTGACTGGGAAAGAAACGAAAGGCGCGGGCAGGACGTACCGTGACAGGGAGACCACAGAGACAGAGAAAGTGCAATGGCCGCCCTTTAAACAAGAGCTGGGCATGGAAGTGCACGTCAAAGAGAGCCGCTGTGCCTTGAAGACGCCCTCCGCAAAAGGCCTGGACCTGAGACACTTCCCCCCAGTCGGGCTTGAAATTGACGATCACATCCCCTGCTGAGACGGAAGCAAGGAAGCAAAGACGTGTAATTCTTGAGCATGTGGAGAGCCGGCAAGATAGTCGCAGAGTAGCCTCGCTTGTATGCAGACTTGTCGAGAAAGGGAAGCGGATTTTGGAACTTTTCAGGTGAAATCTTGCAGATCTCCAAGAAGCTAGACTTTGTGAAGGAGCTGAATGAGGCCGATGTGCCCCCGCTGAGCTGTGAGAGGAGCGAGCACAGGCAAAGGCCACGTTCTCTGCTTTGCACCAGGCCGCGGGAATCGATGGGGAACAACATCTGCCCAAGCCCACTCCTTGCCCATACGCTGTGGAGCATCGCACGTGGAATTCAGAGAAAGCTCGTAGATTTGCAGCTGCTCCCTCTGCGCCCTGAAGATTGTCCCAATCGCACGAGCTGAGGTGTGAGGTACATGCTCCAAGTGCCTCAGTCGCCTGCCCTGCAACGTCCTCTGCCGAGGTAGGTACATGTAGGTTGATGGGTTGGGTTTCCGCATCCGGAGAGCCCTAGTCCTCGTGACGCTTACCCTGTGACAGGTTCTCCAAAGTCACTACGACGACATTCTTGTGGATAGCGGGGTGGCCAAGTGGAACAGCACCTGCAGTGCAGTTCGCTGTGCATGTCGCGCTGTCCTGTTGGGCATTCGGCCTTTTCTGACCTCCCACGAACACTTCAGTCTAAGGTATGTGTTCAACAAATAACAGACAAACGAAGAAAACCAACCCTGGCGGTTTGATCCCTTTCTCACCTTCATCGTTTCAGGAAGTCTCGCAGCCATGCCTTCTGGTACTCCCAGCGTTTTGGAGTTTTGGGTTTTTGAAGGGGTTGGGTTTGCCTGCAGTGCTCCGTGTTCTCGACCGACCCCACAAACCCTATAGCCCATGCCCCACGAAACCCTACGCCCCTCCAACTCAAACCCTAAACCCACCATGAGCCACAGGGCGGGCGCGGGAAAACCCTCAACCCTCAACCCTCAACCCTAAACCGCCTAAACCCTCAAGCCAACGCTGACCCCTAAACACGCAAGCCAGCTTGTGAGTTGAAATTGACAGGAACGTCTTTTGTACTAAAGTTGCAAAAGGAAATTTATGCGGAACCTTAATTTCTTCAATAAAGCCCCGTGGGGACCTGGGCAGGGCAAGGGCGGGGGGTACCCTGGCTAGGGGAAGGGGGGGGGGTGGGGAACACGGGGGCGGAGGGTGCGCAAGCATAAGTTCAGGGCTTGGCTGCACGCGTCTTGAAGAGCAGTCCTCTGATGTCCTCCGTGCCTTTGGGCTCAAGCCCGCAGAGGGGGGGACCGAACCCTACATACGTGTACCATGGAGAGGCAGTTGTGGGCGCGGCCCTTGGTCTTGCGTCGTGGTAGGGATACATTGCTGACAAAGACTGAGTCCCACGACTCTCGGAGCTCCAAGGTCGCATGGGCAGCGTTGGCTTTGCTCTGGAAGCTGGCCGTAGGCCTCGAGGTGTCATGCTCGAGCGCCGACTGCAGAGATGACGACCTAGTTCCAGAAGCGTCCTTTCTCCAGGCGTGGGTGAGGGTGTGGGCAAGATCGGCCTAGACCGTAGGTCCCTGTGATTGGGGAGCAGTCCTTGCCCTGCAGCCATCATTGCTGCTGTGAAGACGAAGCGCCACACCCCTAAACAACATCGTCAGATCTAGGGCTCCGGCCTGTGCCTGGTTGTACAGTTGTTCATGTCCGACCTCCTTGCACGGCAGCCCATGGTAGTCTTAGAGTCTTGGCCTGGTCAAGAAGCAAGGATGCAAACCCATAATCCCCAAATCCCAGGCCCGAGCCCAAGCCCCATGCGTCCACAGACCCACAAGCATGCTCAGGGAGGGTCAATTTAGGGCTTCAGAAATTCTAGGGAGGTTTTGCGCTTAACGGCGTCACGATGTAAACCTTTGAATGCGGGGTTGGTGACTTGCGATCCGGGACAGAAGCAGAAGTCTGCCACGTCACCTCTGTTTTGAAGAGTGTCGGAGGGTCGTGTTCGGGTCGGAATGGTTGCCGTGGACACTTGCGCGCCGTGCCGTCAAAGTGCTGCGCAGGTGAATCAGAACATCACTCAGACGAGCTACATTGACGTGAACCGCAGTCTGGCGAGTCCACTAGCGCATGCGCAACACGACTGAACCTGGATAGGATTCACTCCACATTGTTGAGTAGCAAGGATACTTGGAGTCCGGCAAGCCAGGCAGCACTCACGACAGGTGAACTTCGGCTTTCGTGAAAGTTAGGTCCCGAGGCTTCCGCTAGTGCGTGGGGCCTGCTTACTTCAACGGCCTCGATACACTCACCTTGGCACGTTAGAACAACATCGCTTTAAATTTGTTGCCCGTAGATAGAGTCCGGTCCTTCAAGGAGATGTGCATCTGGACAGCCTGAAAAAGCCAGAAAAAGTCCTCAGACAGGTGGGTAGAGTGAAATACATCTGAGTCTAGCGCTGCATGGCATTGGTTGCCACAGAAGCAGGTATATACATTCGCTACTTTACCACTGCCGCCTAAGAAAAGATTGGACTGAGGCAGCAAGTTCCACCTGATGACTGCGCCAAAGCGCAGCGCGTAGCCGTCCTAAAGCTGTTCTAGAGCCCCGAGAGCCCCAGAGGCCCTCCACTTCCACCCTTGAAGCAGAAAGGCTCGTCACCCGAAGATGCACAGCAACGGACATGCTAAGACATGTTTCGACGGCTTGGGCTCCTTTAGGCCTTAGCGGTTTCGCGTCCAGTACGCCGAGGTCGCCAGCAGCGCTGCATGCGCTGCGTCCGGCCGGCCCCGGCGAGGTGGGGATTCTCCGCCCAACAAAAAAATCTAGACCCCGACCCTAAAAGGCCCAAAACCCTTCAAACAAACCAAGGCTTTCATTGGGCTTAATTTTAACCGCTGCGCGTCGTCCGCCTCGGCCTGGCCCGGGTGCGCAGACGCTTTGCGGGTGCAGGGTTTTAGTGAGCGCGTCCATCGCTACAGCAGAGGAGCCGCCATGGCTGTTCAATGGCAATGTCGCACCACGACTATGATGCCGCACGCTATCGTTCTCTTCAAGAGCTTCCCCCGCCTGCCTAAGTAGCATGAGCGGCGCCTGTCGGGGCAGGGAGAGGAGGGGGGGTACAGGGGCAGGGGCAAAAGCTCCTGCCCACACCCTGCTAGGTCAAGCCGAGGAACCTAACTCCCAGTGCTCCGTAGAACAAACCCCGAACACTTCCCAAAAGCGTGGGGGTAACCGTGAGAGGGGATTTAGAGGGAGGGGAATCCCTCTGATGCCACAACGCCGGGGCCAGGCGAATTAGGGTCTGGTTGGGGGTCGTGCCAAGCCAGGTGAGGTATGGTGAGGTTAGGTGGATTATGGGTCGGCCAGTATTTTCTTGCTGGGTCTGGGGCTCAGGGCGTGGGGATTCGTGTTTGGAAGCCGCCAAAATTTCGAGGCAAGGAGGGAACGCCAGCAAGAAGGAAAGACGAAGGAATGCAAGGGGAGAAAAAGAACAGGGTCTAGGATGGGCGTTGTCAAATGCCAAGCACAAGAAATCCCGGGTGCGTCTCCAGCATTTCAATGAACGCCAAGGTCATGTCCCTTGCATTCATGGAAAGCTACGTGCGTTCAGAGAGCGCCATGAACGTGGGCAGCATGCTGCTGGACGTGGTCATCCTTGTCTTGGTGGTCATCCTCATAGTGCTCTGCTGCAGCCACTTCTTCAAGCCGCCGTCAACGCCCGCCCAGAGCGACCCATTCATGGTCAAGGATTCCGGTGCAGCCGCCGCGCTCCTCTCCGCGCAGGCAGTTCCAATTCCCGTGCTTTGAATCTCAGCCGCAGAGACACTTTTGGGACCCTTTTCTGGAACAACAAGCCCCTACATGTACGAGCCCCTACGAACCCCGATAAACCCTGATGAGCCCAGGTGCAGAGTTTGTGATGAAAGACAGCGAGTCACGCTTCATTATCGACATGGCGCACATCACTAGCCCTGTACCTAGGGTCTCCCATGAGAATCCAGACTTTCGTTTGAAGGTTCAGGAGTGCCATTGCTTTGAATGGCATAGAGACGGAGAGGTTCAGGGCGATTAGACATGGCGCCAAGGTACAGTCCTTTCCGATCAATCTTCCAAGCGGGAAGAAAGTGCTGGAGGCTTGGGGGGGGGGACGAGAAAGAGAGAGGATCCTGCTCCTTCCTGCCCTCTAAGCCACTAAACCCCAAACCCTAAACCCAAAACCCTAGACCCCAACGAGGCCTTGGAGTTTGGAGGCATTCGGGGTGTCGGTCTTCGTGGGGCGGCTTTGGGGAGTTTAGGTAATCCCTAAACCTTAAAACCCTAAACCCCAAACCCTCAACCCTAAACCCTAATTTGAGGGGTGCGCGGCTCGGCCCGGGAGGCCACCTTGCAAGAGGGGGGCATGATCACCATCACAGATGTGCAGCAGCAAGCGAGACGCGTACCTTGGAGCCCCTTTAAGGGTTTAGGGGGTAGGGTTTAGGGTTTAGGGTTTAGGGTTTAGGGTTTCGGGTTTCGGGTTTCGGGTTTCGGGTTTAGGGTTTAGGGTTTAGGGCAAGAAGGATGCTGCTCGGTAGCAAGGTGAATCTCAAGGTTTCCCTCAAGTGTTTGCCGTGTGTAAAAGTTGTAGATTCAAGTGCGCCAAGATGATGATTCGGGCAAGTTCGGCGGGAGCAAAATCGCTGTTGACGATTTTTGACGGCAATGGTGCCGTATTTGGCAAAGTTTCTGTCGATGGGAATGGTGTGGTCCTGTACCACATGCAGAGTCCATGCGCTTCGATCAGGACCACCGACGCTTGATTGCACGGTACTGCTGCAGATATGTCGCCCCAGGCCACCCCAGGCAGTTCAGAAGCAGAACACCTTGCGCTGTCACGTGCCAAGGATCTCCCGGGCTTCAGCATGGAGTTCCAGACGCTTAGAGACGCTACTTTTGAAATAGTGTGCACGACGAGCAGCAGTCGCTGCTGAGCAAGACTTTGCATCTTAAGTCTTCAAAGGGGTTTGGCCAAGGATGATCTGTCCACCCAAAACCCTTCACCTCCACTTAGGACCGACGAGCGGTGATTGCAAGAAGCGTCAAGAAAGCAGAGGAACTTCGAGTACAGGCTCCTTGTTGAGGGCTGTACTTGAGTGTTTACAGGTAACTAGGTCTGGTTGTAAGCACGCAGTTCAGGTCAGAATCTGGGCTATCTGACTTAGCACTTTGCTCACAAATACCCATGAGCCGTCAGGTAGGGGTTGCCGAATCCGTGGTGGCTGTGGGTTTACGGTTTCAGGGTACCTGGTCGTGTTCTTCTGGGACACTTCGAGCACAACTCTGCAAGCCTCTTTGAGAACGCAGGTTTCCCCAGACTACGACGGGATCCTGTTGCTGGGGTGCGTCTTGGGCATCATTCTACTCGAGCCTGAGATGATGAAGAAGGGTCTGTGAGGCCCCGTACCTGGGGGTTGCAGAGCTGTATATAATGAAAGTGCCCCTCTTCAGTGCTACGAGTAGCATCGTGGTCAACTAGGGGTGTATGGTTGGGTGGCCAAAAACAGTGAGTGAGTTGGTCACAGGCGCAGAAGCATTGGAGCTGCTGTGCTTCGTTAGAAAAAGTCCGCTCCGGCCTGACGAGCTCTGATGCCTTGCACCCCAGCAGCTCGTGGAAAGGGGTCACCTGAACCCTAAACCCTAAACCCTTAAAGCCTAAACCCTATAAATCCTAAACCCTAAACCCTATACCCAAGTATCTCACTCTCTTGCCTTAAGGTGCTGGTCACCAACTTTTGCCACCGCTGCAGGGTCCTCAGGTGATTGCGCCTGTTCAACCGGGTCGATGGCATTAGATCATGTTGTTAAAACCTGAAACCTTAAAGCGCTTACGGCCCTAAACCCACCCTAAACCCTAAACCCTAAACCCTAAACCCTAAACCCTAAACCCTAAACCCTAAACCCTAAACCCCAAACTGCACGAGGTTGCTGTCCTCGGTGGGGTCTCCTGCTGCTGGTGGGCACCTTAGGACGAATCTTCGTGAGCCCTGATCCACTAAATCCGAAACCCGAAGCTCAAGAACCGAAGCACCAACCCTCTCAAAAGATGCTTGTTTCCGCCTTGTGGCTCCCAACTCTAAATCCTTCAAACCTCAACCATTCCCAGCCCCTACTAGGGTCGAAGTCAGGCCACAGCCCTGAGCCCCGAAGGTCCAGACACTGCGACCATCATGTCCGCTGTGTGCGCGGCCGCCCAGGCCATGCTGACTGTGTACTGCAGAAGGTCCGAAGTTTGAAGATGCTTGTTGAAGGGCCTCTAAGGTGTTAGTTAAGTTTTGCGGAGGTGCGAGAATTGGTTCCAGGAGTAGGTAAAGTCATAGGTGCTCTACACACACAGGTTTAAAGGCAATGCCGATCTTACCTAGGACTGAGCAGGTGGTACAACCATTAGCAGCAGACCTGTCGGTGTAGATCAAGGCCAAGTTAAGAGGCAGATGTCTCAGATGACATGGAGGAGTCATTGTGCTTTCGAGAGCCTTATGTGGAGAGGGAGTGTGCCTGGCGGATGTTGGCACCGGGCTCTCTTCCTTGGCAAAATTGCCAAAAGCAATGCAAGGAGACGGGGCAGGCAAGATGAAGCCGCCTCACCCCTCCTAGGTAGCATGCCACATGCTCAAGGTTGCCCGACCCTGGGCGATGTTAGGACAAGACCCGGTCCCTACCTTGAACGGCAACACTTTCGCTTCTGCCACCTGCTGCTGATGTGTGCAGCTGCAGTCAGTATGACCCTTGCAGTGTCGTCCGTCTGTACTTGGTCGCCTCTGGGCACCGTTGTGTGCAGCTGAAGGTGGGTCTGGTGGGGAAGAAAGGACCTAATCAATCTACTCTGTGAATTGGTCAACATCGATTTTCACATCCACCTTCACCTTCACCATTAATGACCCTACACCTCCATGTGCTGTTGCAGGTCATGTCGTAGGTCATGTTGCAGTTTCCTTTGCAGTTCATGTGGCAGTACATGTGTTGTCAACTATGCTGCATATCTCTGTAGCATCTCTCTATGTGCGAGCGGGGGCTCGCGCGCGCGTGGGTGTGTGTGTGTGTGTGTGAGAGAGAGAGCACGTGTGTGTGTGTGTGTGTGTGTGTGTGTGTGTGTGTGTGTGGTGTGTGTGTGTGTGTGTGTGTGTGTGGTGTGTGTGTGTGTGTGTGTGTGTGTGTGCGTGTGTGTGCGTGTGTGCGTGCGCGTGTGCGTGTGCGCGTGTGCGTGCGCGTGCGTGCGCGTGTGCGTGTGCGTGTGCGTGTGCGTGTGCGTGTGCGTGTGCGTGTGCGTGTGCGTGGTGTGTGTGTGTGTCTGTGTGTCTGTGTGTCTGTGTGTCTGTGTGTCTGTGTGTGTGTCTTTGTGTCCGTGTGTCTGTGTGTCTGTGTGTCTATGTGTCTGTGTGTTTGTGTGAGTGTGTGAGTGTGTCAGTGTGTCAGTGTGCCGGTTCTTTTCTGTTGTGAGTGAGTGTGTGTGTGTGTGTGTGTGTCTGCAGGGGGCTGTGTGTGCGTGTGTCCTGATGTTATACTCATACGTTTGTTGACACTTAGTAAGCTTGATTGCGTGTATGCATGCACGTGAAAGCAAGGCGCATGAATACGTACATTGCCAGTTGACAGGACTGTAGCCAACGCCTGCACGTAAGCCAGAATACAGACCCTGGCCGGGAGCCGCTAGAATTGTTGCCCAGGAATAGTGCGCACTTGAAAACATCATACTTGCTGAGCAGTATCGTGTGTAAGAACGAGGAAGAGTTCAAAAGACACGACATCTGCACGCGAGATATCAGATCACTTAAGTAGCCGGGAGAGGCTCATGTGGCCGTGCGGCCCACCGAAGCAGCAAGTTCTTCGTTGATGTAGGGAAGCTTTGCACAGGTTGTTGCGCCTTGTTGGCAGGCCGCGGCATCCGCAGCAGCTGCTGCTGTTGCCGGCTTGCCCATGGCAGGTCGAGCATTGTTTTCGTCCTTACGGTTTAGGTCTTTTGGGTTTAGGGTGGTCCTGTTTGGCTTTCTTGCTTGCAGGTGGGTTTCCCGTCGGCTCGAATGACAACGCCGAAGGTTGGTCACAGGGCATTGAAGGGCATTGAAGAATGACATGCCATGTGGGCTTAAGCTGCATCGTGTCGGCGCGCTTTTTACGTTTGCGGGCATGCTGCAGCCCAACACTTGGTTTTAATCGTGTGGTTGCGATGCGATGTGTGAAAGGTCCTCGAACACCCCGCAAGCATCGACCAGGCAGGTAGTTCGGTCCAGTTGGGGTTTCAGGGTTTAGGAGCTTGGGAGTCAAAGGTTTTGGAGCGGATACGTCTGCTTCGAAGGGTTGTGATGACAAGGAGTCGTTTGCTTGTGTGTCGGTGTTTGGGGCCCTTTGGTCAGAATTCGGTGAGATACCAAAACACCTGAGCCCCAAACCTCAAAGCTTAAAACCCAAAGCATTGAGCCCTGCAACACACAAGACCGTCAAGTAAGGTTACAACACCGGTGGCTGTTGCCACCAGCGAACTCTGACGTAAACCCCCACATGAGAGAGCTGAAGAGGCCCCACAGTGCTGTCCTTGGCCAGTGCCCTCCTCGGCTGGCTTCGCTTTTGATCAGTCGAGGGAACCTAAGCCCAAAGCTGAACCCCGAACCCTGGCTTTGGGGCCTCGGAAATGTGTAGGAGGATTTCAAGGCTTCAAGTCAGGGATGCAGGGGGGGGGGGGGGTGGGGCAGTGCTCAGAGAACCCAAAGCCCTAGAGCAGCCGGAGGGAGGGGGCGAGGGGGTTGCCAAGGTGCGTTGACCTCGGAGCAGACGCCGCCCCCGGCACCCCGGAAGAGGGCTCCGTCCAGGCTTCGTTTGACACACAAAAAGTGGGATTCCCAACATGTTCCAACATTGAGAGTAAGGAGGGCTAGGTAAAGAAAAGGTTGAAGTGCTCGCGGGGCGCGCTTGCTTGCTTGCTTGTTTGCTTGCTTGTTTGCTTGCTTGTTTGCTTGCTTGTTTGCTTGCTTGTTGGCTTGCGTTTTTTTTGGCCCAGGAGCTCCCTGTGGCTATTCGGGGGTTTCTCCTCTTCCGGAGCCGAGTTTTTCGGTTTTGTCTTTCGGCCTTTGTGAAGCTGAGAATGTGCTGTAGGCCGCTAGGCTCCGGGGTTGCGAGCCGTGGCAGAACGGGCTTTTGGGCAGGCTTCACTTCGTGCGCCTGTACGAAAGGGATCCGCATTCCAAAGTGTTCGAAATCGAGCTCAGTGACACATGGCACGTGCCTAGAAAGCAGGGAGTGGGCTGAACAAAGTCAGCCTCGACTTGCTTGGTCAGGAATCCCTACTTCCCACGCCTTGAGCCCTAAAATTCCTAAACCATACGACCCCAACAGCGAAGGACGGTATCTCATGGCAGTTCAAGTAAAATCGACATTGCATTGCGGGGCTGAGGGTTGAGGGGCTCAGGCTTAAAAGGCTTTGGGTGCCAGCAGCTTAGAATGTGAACCCTCCGGGCGAATTTTTTTATCTTAGCTTTCTTTTATTCGAAAATTGAGTTGTAAAATCTGAACGGCACTTACAAAGCTGCTGTCTGTGAATCCCAAAGCCACACGACTCACTATGGGGAGCGGGGGCTCTTCGGACCAGGCATAAAACTTACCAGGCCTTATCTTCGGCTTCTTTTTTCCAGGAAGCGCTTCAGCTGGAGTCTTTAGGGCACTTGAGGTAAGTGCGCAGCTCACGTTGAGGACTTGGGGTTCAGGATGTCGGGCTCACCTGAAGAACAGCGACTCCAGCTCCGGGAGCTCGCCAGGCTCAACATCGCTGCGCACTTGGAGGAGGCCTGAGACCTTTCGGGGGCTTTCGGGCGCCCTAGGGTTTAGGGTTTAGGGTTTAGGGTTTAGGGTTAAGTCCGAGACGGAAGGCCAAGCCGACGCCGCCCGCAGCGCTGCGGGCCGAAGCGCCCGGGCCTCGTTGTGTTTGTGTCCTCGAGAGGTGGGGGGTTGTGCAAAGGGTTTCGGGTTCAGGGCTTTCGGGTTTGCACCCCACTAGAACCCTACTAGGTGCACCACTCTACACCATCCCATGGGCTGAGGGGTGCCATGATTCTCAAGGTGCGTGTGGATGCTTGGGATTCTTGGGGTTTCAGGGCCTTCTTGGGGTTGGCGTGGTGGCGCTTTGGCGCCTTGGATCGGGTTTGTGTTGGCAGGTTTGGGGTTTCTGGTTTGCAGTGGTTTGCGGCTAAACCCACAGCCAGGCCAGCCTTTGTCCCTGGTGCGGAGGCAGCGCTGTGAAACCGATTCGGGGGCCTCTTGGGCTCATGATTGAAAAGATGCTGAGCCCTTCGAACACAATCCCCCACAAACAGCACCAAGGCACCCGTAGCGCTCAGATACTCCCTGTGCACTTCCCTTGCGATCCTGTTTCAACTTTGTTGAATGCCAGGTTCTGAGGGCCAATTGAGCAGCATGCTCGGAGCATCAGGATTCTCGTAGATGACAGGCGAGGCCAATGTTCAACCTCCAAGTGGATGTTGATGTGTGGCACGCAGGCAGGCTGAAAGCGGAAGTTCAACGAGACATTTTTGTGCTTGCAGGGTGGTGGTGTTGGCCAGTGTCTTGTGTTCCGGGCGACCGCCAGAGTGCGGGATTTCTGGCGAGGTCGGCTCGGTTCAGGCTGCCTGGTGCCCATGGCCAAAGGTCGTCAAGCCATAGGGTTCGCCCACAGCCCACAAGGAGCAGAATAGCTCAGCAAGGCAGACATACTTATCACTGCTCTTGTACTGCTGTACTGCTGTTCTGCTGTACTGCTGCTGCTGCTGCTGCCGCTGCCGCTGCCGCTGCCGCACTCCAACTCCGACTCCGTTTCCTTCTAGTAGTACTAGTAGTACTACTAGTAGTAGAACTAATCCTAGTACTGCTAGTACTACCTAGTACTACTCATACTACTAGTACTACTGGTACCAGTACTACTGCTACTGCTACTGCTACTACTACTACTACTACTACTACTACTACTACTACTACTACTACTACTACTACTACTACTACTACTACTACTACTACTACTACTATCACTACTACCACCACCACCACCACCACTACTACTACTACTACTACTACTACTACTACTACTACTACTACTACTACTACTACTACTACTACGACTACTACGACTACTACTACTACTACTACTACTACTACTACTACTACTACTACTACTACTACTACTCGGACTACGCGTTCTCCCATTGCCACATCCTACCTTTTTTTCGTGCTACCACCAACCATAGCCAAACACCAACTGCAAACTATGGCTAACTTCTACTAAAAACAATTGCTAACTACTACTATGTGCTGTTTTCAGCAAGAGTGCTGCTACGCACTAATACGACGTCCATGAGTTGCTTCGACTTACTACTCCCTGCGATGAACGGCTGCTGCTACTGATACTGCTACTGCTGCTTCCTACTCCTGCTCCTAGGTTGCAGCAGCATCTGCCAAGTCCATGGAGAGAAGCAAGATACATGTCGTGGTATGCTTGGCGCCAGAAACAGAGAGTTAATGAGAACTGCGAAAAAACTCGCACAAGTTTTTTGTGATCTCCTTTGTGATCTCCTGATGCTGAGCATCGGGTGCAACACAGATGGCATGAAGTCCAAAGCGGCTGTCAGCGTGGCCGCCCAACATAACAACATAAACAGCGCTCAGCATCCATGGCCGTGCCATCTGGAATTTGGCTGAGTTGGCATCTGCTGGCCAGAAAGGTCATATTTTGCTGGCACGCAGTTCGCTCCCGCTGCCTGTGCGACAACGGACTTGCGGCCTCATGTCGTGCTTCCCCCACAACTCGCCGCACCTTTCTCAGCCACGAGGCATGACTGCATGTTTTTTTTGGAGTCAGGGATAAGTAGGTTGTTTGCCATGCCAGAAGTGGGTTCAGGAGATCACACATGTGACCCGGAGGCAGGTGAGCAGAGGCTGTTCGGCCCAACACATTGGACACCCATCGCTGCCATGCTGGCCCATGCCCACGCTCAGGAGCTGCACGCAAGCTCCAACCCTGAAATATGCCGAAGGTCTTTTAGTTCATAGAGTAATGCCTTCCAGCAAAACACCAAAGGTTCAAAAGAACCCGGAACGTGTTTCTGCCTGACATGTGCCCTGGTCTCTTTGCCGGAGGATCCTGCCGGATTCAGCGCAAGGTCTGCCCGCAGCTGAGCATTGCGGCTTGGGAAGTCCAGAAGCATTCCCGCTCACATCTGTCGGCCTCATCTTGCCCCTCAAGCCACGCACGGGCGGCCCAAACTACACCCAAGGGATTTGTCAAGATCCCTTCATCCGACTTCTCCCACCATCGCCTGCTCATGACCCGAATTCCAGAACCCAAACGCCCCAAAAGCCTCCAACGGGTTCAGGGTTTCCTCAGGACTTCATCCAGCGCGCTGCCGGAACCTCCCTGGCGGTTGCCAGCCACTGCCTCGATTGAGGGGTTTGAGGGTGTGGTTGAGGGTTTGGGGTTTTAAGAGTCCAGTGGTTGAAGTTTGTGGCTGTGAGGGCTGGGGGGTTACTTGCAGGGAGCTTACGGGCTTAAGAGGTTTAGGGATCAGAGTGGGTTGGAAAGACAGCGGCCCAACTGTCAGGTGGGGTTTGGGTAACCCACGCTGAGCCCACATCCCGAACCATCAGAAGCCTCAGGCCGTTGAAAGTCATGAACTTCATGTGTGAGGCCCTTAAAGCCCTAAACCGCTAAAACCCTAAACCCCAATCCCCAACCGACAATCTCCTAAGGCCTAAGGCTCTAAACCCCTACAGCAGCTGCACTCCGTGAAGGGCTACCCGGTACGCTTAGGGTTCCCCGGCCATGCTTCATCCTTGTGTTGCAGAGCTCGTGCGCAGCACTCAAGAACTCTTAACCTGCCGCGCCTTCAGCAATCAAGCGCCCTATGCCCTGCAACTGTCCCGAGCGCCCTCCATCCTAGACATGAAGCCCGCCAAGACGCTGCAGACCGACGAAACCAAAGACTGCCTGACCAACCCCGAACCATCCAAGAGCTGAAGCCTAAAACCAGGCCCGCCTTTGCTGTGGCTGTCCAGGGCGCCACAGTCCCGGCTGACCGATCAGGCCTTGGCTGCAACATCTTGCCGTGGGTCTTGGGTTTAGGCGGGAATCGGCTGAGGGTGCTAGGGCCTTGAGCCCGCCTGCTACGTGTGCGACTTCGGGTTCAGAATCCTGCAAATCCCTCTCCCGGATCCTGAACCGCGAGCCCGACATCTTAGCTGTTCAGTGTCCGAACCCACGAAATAGGGGGGCTGCTGCCACCGTTCTCCCATTAACATCTTGCAATCTCTCTTGCAGATGGTTCGAGTGATGCATGTAAAGGAGACCGGACAGTACTGACGTATGCTAATGGAGATGGCGGTGTTCCGGGAACGACAGCTGGCTCACAGCTTGCAATAAGCTTCACACGTATTTTGTCCTTTTCCCGCATCACCTGCATGCCGTTGCTTGCACCATGCGTAGCACAAACTTGTCCGCAGTCCAGCTGGCAAGCCCTTGCTGATGATAAGAATGATAGCCTGTGCGAGGCAGCTCCAGAGCCGCTTTGGAATGGCACTCAGTGTTGTTCCGTGTTGTTCCCCGTGCACACTCCGGGGCACGGAAGGACGGAAGGGAAGGGTGGACAGAAAGAAGTACTTTAACGCCTCCAACGTAAGAGAGCTGGTTCTGAGTGCTTCCGAGACCGTTGCAGCTTCCGTCTGTCATACCATTCTCCCTTTCCAACCACTGCTGACGCACGCAACTACACGATCTACCACTACCACTGCCCACTACGACGGCGACGGCGACGATCACGACCACCACCACCACCACTACTACGACTACTGCTACTACTGCTAAGCCTGCTACTGCTAAGCCTGCTACTGCTACGGCTACTACTACCGTTCCTGAGGTGGGCGGGCGGTGCTTGGCACAAATTTAGCACTCAACGTAGCAAAGCAAGAGCCCCAGTGTGCGTCCGATGTGCCTTCACTTTCGCCTGCGAAGTTAACCACCGGCTATTTTTGGCAGGCTCCGGCATACGTGCCTCGGAGATTCGAGCCCGCATGGCGCTGTGGCTCGGCACCTTGGCAGGAAGATGCAGCGAAGATTTCCTTTCGGGACGGTGGGGGGGGGGGGGGGGGGGGGGGGGGGGGTGCGAATGGCACAAGATGGGGCACTGAGGTCCTTTCCTGTCCTGCTGCGTCTCCGATCGAGGCCGGGCCCAAAGAAGCAAAGAAATCAATGGCAAAGCCCTGCCCCACACAACGCCGCAGAACCTTCCAAACCTGTTGGCGCTGTGCCAAGGCTGGGCCCGGCGAGGTCTGTGCGCCGGAAGGGGGGTCGGACGTGGTGCAGCTGCTGAAAGTCCTGCTCTGCTCGAGGCTCAGGATGAGTTTAGGTGGTGGGGCTGTTGAGGCTGAGCCCTGGAATCAGGTTTGAGGGTTTTCAGCTACTCCGAGGAGTTTGAGGGCCGAAAAAATCATCTTTCCTCAAGCTCTCGGCATCTGAACCCTTAAAATCCCAAACTCATGTTCGAATCCTTCAAATCTGACGGCTTAGGGTTTGGGGTTTAGGGTTTAGGGTTTAGGGTTTAGGGTTTAGGGGGCTAGGGTACCTTAAACCCAGAGCCCGAATCCCGATTGGGCCAAGGTTGGCGACAGGACCAGTTGTGGAGCAAGCCTGTCGTCGGTGGGCAGTGGTGCTGCTGCCTCAGTGGCAAGCAGGTCCAATGAAGGGTTTAGGGTTTAGGGTCTAGGGTCTAGGGTCTAGGGTCTAGGGTCTAGGGTCTAGGGTCTAGGTAAACGGCCTAAACCCTTAAAGCTAGAACATGAGGAACAGCAGAGTGGATCAGCGCTGAAACTCCTAGCTCCCGCTGAACCCCTGAAACCCAATAATCTTTCCCTACAGCAGAGCCACTTCAGGCCCCTGTCCATACGGAGTCCACTGCAACATCCGCCGAATCAAGGCTGGTGCAGTTCACGGGGTTAGGTGTCGGTTTGGGGCCCAGCTTCAATCACCCTAAAGCCTAATGAGTTGTTATTTAGGTTGGAGGATGTTTTTAAGTTTTTGATTTCGTGCTGTTTCTTTGATTTGGTTTGCACATGGTGCCTCTAGGCGACAGACATGAATCCTGAAATGAAGAAAACAAAAAACTGTTGTTCAATTTCGCGCCCAAACCTGAACCCTGGACAGTACTGCGCCTGCATGTGGTAGGCTTTCGAGCTCCTCGGCGGGCACCGGTCAGTTGCCCAGAATGGCTGGGCACAGGCTAGGAGGGTTGAACAGTTTTAAGGCTCGGCCGCTCTGAGGTACCTCTTCTTCTTCCAAGATGGACATGGAGGTGCAGCGGTGCTGCGATGTAGGGAGCCCGCTCGGAGCCGGACTTACTGCATCTGGTGCTGCCCACGAGGTATCTGTGCCGGGCCAGACACGGTTCTCATGTATGATCTTCAGAAGAACAAGGTGCGGGGTGGCGCTTGTCCCGGGTTGGTCGTGCGGCCTGTTGTGAGCCCTACCTGATACCTTACATACCGCAAAGAAGTACTGAACCCCACACGAACCCCGTCGAGCCGAGCACTCAAACACCTGCTCATCCTGCTCCAGTGGAGCCCACCGACATCTGCCCGAGCGACAAGAAGTGGCCACCAGGAAGAGGACAGCACTTTCTCTTGCAGTCTGTGCAGTCCTGCTTCCTGTTTTCCCATTCGCGCCTGAACCCCACTCTGAAAATATTCTGGAAGGTTCACTGGCAACCGCTCTCCGCGGCGCAGTCGGGTGAACCCCTCAAGGCAGCCTTGATAAAGGAGGGAGTTCGTAGTGGGCGACAATTTGCAGATATCGGTCCACCTCTTCAACAGAAGAGGAAGGAGTGGGCCGACGGCCGCAAATCTTAACCAAACATGTTCGGTCCACATTCTCTGCTGTCGGGCTGCTCCTTTTCCCTGCGTTGAAGCAGAGGCGGGCCGGCCGATGGCATCTCTTAAGCCCTGTAGAGCGCCCCACATGTAGCCCCCCCCCCCCCCCAGAGCCGTACTTAAACTGTGCAAGCAACCTGCCGGCCTCCGAGTGGCCACCTGTGGAGGCCTGGATCCTGGAAGCAAGCATGGACTACGTGGCATGGGCCCCGAAGTGCAGGTGGCGAGAATGGAAACTCTCAATCATGGGCAGGCCCTGGGGTTGGTAGCCATCAATGTTCTAAATCGTATACACATTCACCCCTGAACCTGGGAACCCACAAAACAGCTGCCGTACGCGTTTGAAGGTCCAGGGTTTAGGGTTTCAGAGCTGTCGAATTTAGGGTTTTGGAGTTTCAGAGTTTTAGATGGACTCGCTCGATGATTGTTTTCCTCTTGTTTCTTGTTTCTGACTCGTGCTGTCATGTTTTCTCTCTCGTGCTCACTTGTTTTTTGACTCGGTCTCTACGGTCGCTCGCCTCTAAAGAGTTGCGCTGCGCTCAGGTGCTGATGGCACCTGCCCAGACCTTGGTTTTCTTGAGAGGTTCCCGAACCTCGGGATCATGCTGTCGAGGGTCCGTTGTCTACGTTTAGGAGTTTAGGGCCCCTGGCCTTGAGGGTGAGATCTCTTATGGGGTCCTTAGCAAGGACCCTTGCCTCATGCAGCTCCTGCTACAAGACGCCCTGAACCGATGCAGACAGGTGGCAAGAGATGGGTTTCAGCGTGGGCATTGTCAGGACAGGGCTGCGGAATCCGCAAAAGTGCCGTGATATGAAGTCAGTCCGGTCAGTACCACTTGCCGAATCTCAGCTCCTCGGATGGCATGTGCTAACATGTGCTTGCATCATCGGCTTTGCGCCTTTTTTAGCCGTGTCCGTGGCCAGGAGGGCCACACTGCGCTCTACTTCATCTCCTGTACTGGCCAGGAGCTTTCCTATAAGCCTCCAACCCTGAAGGCCCTAAGCTCCCCAAACCTACCCGCCAAACTCCAGCCCCAAGCTGCCTCCAAGCCCCCAGCACCGACCCAAGAAGAGAGGCTTCCATCGGAGCGCAGGAGTTGGTGCACCACCTTCCCTGCGACATGTCGAGGATGACAGTGCAGAGGCTTGGAGCCTTGAATTCAGGGTTCCGCCGAGCTCAGGTGTGAAGATTTTTTGGGTTTGAAGTCGATTTAAGGGCTTTGCCGTCTGCAGGACTTAGGGCTGTTGCTCTCCTACTATGGCAAGCCCCCTGGCAGGTACAACGACTATGTGCTGTTTGTCAAGGACCGTTGAACCTTTGCAGAATCGGCGTGGGCTCCCAAAGCAACCCAAAGAGGACTTCGGTGACGAAGAGCTGGACCTTCCAGATTATCCACCGGAGTGTCCCTGCACAGCTGCATGGCTCCGATCCCGGAACTTTGGATTGAGCTGGGGCAGTATCTGAGTTCGGCGAAACCCGCGTTAGTCCCCAACACATCGAAGAAAAGGCTCCTGGTGGCTGACGATTGGACCGCTGGCCCAATGGCCGCCAGAGCCCCAAGCTGCTGGGAGCCCCACGTTGGGCTTAGTGGCCACTGCATGAACCCTTGCAACTCTCCGCACTTGGAACCGAGTCAAGTTGAAGCCTGCTTGCAGGCCTTTGGAGTTAGAAGGTCTTAGAGGTTTGAAGATTGAAGATTCCTGGAACAGTTTCGCGCTGAACGTTAAGAATGACTTGGAGATTGAAGGCTGAATTCTTCAAAAATGTTCAAAGGTGTAAACATGGATTTGTACATGCTGAAGTTTGAGATTGAAGATTCTTCGACAAGCTGCCACAGGGGTCTTCCGTTTTAAGCGTTGAATGTGTATTGTATCTTCAACCCTCGAATACTAAACGGTCTTACCGTTTCGAAGGACTTCTCTCCTCTGTTTTCTATGATAATTAATGACCTCTGTACTTACATATATGGTGCAGCGTCCCTGCCCCCTCCACCCCCCCCCACCCCATGGTACCCCCCCCCCACCCCCCCCCCCCCCCCCCCCCCCCCCCCCCCCCCCCCCCCCCCCCCCCCCCCCCCCCCCCCCTACGGCCCCCCTGTGGCGTGGTGTGGTTGGGGTTTGGGTTGAGGGTTAGGGGTTAGGGATTAGGGGTTAGGGGTTTGGGTTTAGGGTTTAGGGTTTAGGGTTCAGCATCTCAAGTCCGAGCATTCACTAGTCAAGCAGCTTGTCAAGTGTTGGAATAAAACCCCACCCACCCAAGAAACCCATAACATTGAGAAAATACAAAAATCACTCAATACATTCCCAGTAGGCTTAAAGCTTAAGGTCCAGTTGGCTCAAAACCCGAAATCTAACTCTCAACCTACTGTGGCGGGGGGCGGGGGACCCTCAGGGCCCCAAACCCTTTGCCCCAAACCGTGCCTTTAAACCCTATGCCCCAGAGGCCCACCAGACAATATGCCGATGAGGGGCCCCCCCCCGGGTGGAAAAAAACCGTTTGCCGACGAAGGGGGTCAGGGTTTAGGGCCCCCCCGGGTGGAAAAAAACCATTTGCCCACGAAGGGGGTCAGGGTTTAGGGCCCCATCCGGGTGGAAAAAAACCATTTGCCGACGAAGGGGGTCAGGGTTTAGGGCCCCCCCTGGTTGGAAAAAAGCCATCTGCCGACGAAAGGGGGTCAGGGTTTAGGGCCCCCCCGGGTGGAAAAAAACCATTTGCCCACGAAGGGGGTCAGGGTTTAGGGCCCCCCCGGGTGGGAAAAAACCATTTGCCCACGAAGGGGGTCAGGGTTTAGGGCCCCCTCCGGGTGGAAAAAAACCATTTGCCCCCGAAGGGGGTCAGGGTTTAGGGCCCCCCCGGGTGGAAAAAAACCATTTGCCCACGTAGGGGGTCAGGGTTTAGGGCCCCCCCGGGTGGAAAAAAACCATTTGCCCACGAAGGGGGTCAGGGTTTAGGGCCCCCCCGGGTGGAAAAAAACCATTTGCCCACGAAGGGGGTCAGGGTTTAGGGCCCAAAGGCTCGGTTTTGATCACAAATCCAGAAAACGAGAGCCCACCCAGAACCGTCGATTTCAGTACGAAAAAACCGCATTTTGAACTGGGGCCCGGGCCGATCCTGGGGTCCCCCTCATTTGGGGTGTTTTTGGAGGCACGGCCCAGGAAAAAAACCATTTGCCCACGAAGGGGGTCAGGGTTTAGGGCCCAGAAAAAAACCACATGCCCACGAAGGTCATTAGGGTTTAAATATACATAGTAAAAGAGGGTTTAGGGTTTAGGGTTTAGGGTTTAGGACTAGGGTTTAAGGTTTAGGGTTTAGGGTTTAGGGTTTAGGGTTTAGGGTTTAGGGTCCCCGCCCCGCCCCCCTGTGGTTTGGGCCCCCCTGTGGGGTAGTGTGGTTGGGGTTTGGGTTGAGGGTTTAGGGTTTATAGGGTTTAGGGTTTAGGGTTTAGGGGTTTAGGGGTTTAGGGTTTAGGGTTTGGGTTTACGGCTTAGGGGGGGTGGGGCGGGGGGTGGGGGGGGGGGATACCAGGGGGGGGGGGGTACCGACACGGGACACGGAACCATATATGTGAGAGGGACCTTTTGGGTCCATTTCACGTATATCACTTGTATGAGGAATTTAATTTATTTACCTATTAATTTCTTTAATTTCTTTAATTTCTGGGGCTCTCTTAGGGAAATAAATGAAATTAAAGAAATTAATTAATTTCATTAATTTCTTTAATTTCTGGGCCTCTCTGTGCGAAATTAAAGAAATCAATGAAATTAATTAGTTTCTTTAATTTCATTAATTTCTTTAATTTATTTTAATTAGTCCCGTGAGCCGGGGGGGCTCCCCCAATTAATTTCTTTAATTTCTTTAATTTCTGGGCCTCTCTGTGAGAAATTAAAGAAATTAAAGAAATTAATTCCAGTAGCCCTTCGGGCTTGCGAGACTAATTAAAAGAAATTAATGAAATTAAAGAAATTAAAGAAATTAATGAAATTAATTAATTTCTTTAATTTCTTTAATTTCTGGGCCTCTCTGTGAGAAAATAAAGAAATTAAAGAAATTAATTAATTTCATTAATTTCTTTAATTTCTGGGCCTCCCTGTGAGAAATTAAAGAAATTAAAGAAATTAATTAATTTCATTAATTTCTTTAATTTCTGGGCCTCTCTGTGCGAAATTAAAGAATTTAAAGAAATTCATTAATTTCTTTAATTTCATTAATTTCTTTAATTTATTTTAATTAGTCCCGTGAGCCGGGGGGGCTACCCCAATTAATTTCTTTAATTTCTTTAATTTCTGGGCCTCTCTATGAGAAATTAAAGAAATTAAAGAAATTAATTCAGGTAGCCCTTCGGGCTTGCGAGACTAATTAAAAGAAATTAAAGAAATTAAAGAAATTAATGAAATTAACTTAATTTCTTTAATTTCTTTAATTTCTGGGCCTCTCTGTGAGAAATTAAAGAAATTAAAGAAATTAATTAATTTCATTAATTTCTTTAATTTCCGGGCCTCTCTGTGAGAAATTAAAGAAATTAAAGAAACTAAATAATTTCATTAATTTCTTTAATTTCTGGGCCTCTCTGTGCGAAATTAAAGAAATTTAAAAATTAATTAATTTCTTTAATTTCATTAATTTCATTAATTTCTTTACTTTATTTTAATTAGTCCCGTGAGCCGGGGGGCCCCCCCCAATTAATTTCTTTAATTTCTTTAATTTCTGGGCCTCTCTGTGAGAAATTAAAGAAATTAAAGAAATTAATTCCGGTAGCCCTTCGGGCTTGCGAGACTAATTAAAAGAATTAAAGAAATTAAAGAAATTAAAGAAATTAATGAAATTAATACATTTCTTTAATTTCTTTAATTTCTGGGCCTCTCTGTGAGAAATTAAAGAAATTAAAGAAATTAATTAATTTCATTAATTTCTTTAATTTCTGGGCCTCTCTGTGAGAAATGAAAGAAATTAAAGAAATTAATTAATTTCATTAATTTCTTTAATTTCTGGGCCTCTCTGTGCGAAATTAAAGAAATTAAAGAAATCAATTAATTTCTTTAATTTCATTAATTTCATTAATTTCTTTAATTTATTTTAATTAGTCCCGTGAGCCGGGGGGGGCCCCCCAATTAATTTCTTTAATTTCTTTAATTTCTGGGCCTCTCTGTGAGAAATTAAAGAAATTAAAGAAATTAATTAATTTCATTAATTTCTTTAATTTCTGGGCCTCTCTGTGAGAAATTAAAGAAATTAAAGAAATTAATTAATTTCATTAATTTCTTTAATTTCTGGGACTCTCTGTGCGAAATTAAAGAAATTAAAGAAATTAATTAATTTCTTTAATTTCATTAATTTCATTAATTTCTTTAATTTATTTTAATTAGTCCCGTGAGCCGGGGGGGCTACCCCAATTAATTTCTTTAATTTCTTTAATTTCTGTGCCTCTCTGTGAGAAATTAATGAAATTAAAGAAATTAATTCCGGTAGCCCTTCGGGCTTGCGAGACTAATTAAAAGAAATTAATGAAATTAAAGAAATTAAAGAAATTAATGAAATTAATTAATTTCTGTAATTTCTTTAATTTCTGGGCCTCTCTGTGAGAAATTAAAGAAATTAAAGAAATTAATTAATTTCATTAATTTCTTTAATTTCTGGGCCTCTCTGTGCGAAATTAAAGAAATTAAAGAAATCAATCAATTTCATTAATTTCTTTAATTTCTGGGCCTCTCTGTGCGAAATTAAAGAAATTAAAGAAATTAATTAATTTCTTTAATTTCATTAATTTCATTAATTTCTTTAATTTATTTTAATTAGTCCCGTGAGCCGGGGGGGCTCCCCCAATTAATTTCTTTAATTTCTTTAGTTTATGGGCATCTCTGTGCGAAATTAAAGAAATTAAAGAAATAAATTCCGGTAGCCCTTCGGGCTTGCGAGACTAGTTAAAAGAAATTAAAGAAATTAAAGAAATTAAAGAAATTAATGAAAGTAGTTAATTTCTTTAATTTCTCGAATTTCTGGGCCTCTATGTGAGAAATTAAAGAAATTAGTTAATTTCATTAATTTCTTTAATTTCTGGGCCTCTCTGAAATTAATTTCTGTAGTTTCTCTACTTTCAGAGCCTATCTGTGAGAAATCAAAGAAACTAAATACATTAATCAATTTCTTTTATTTGATCAATTTCATTAATTTCTTTTATTTAAACTAATCCCGTGAGCCGGGTAATTAATTTTTGTAATTTCTTTATTTTCTAGGCCTCTCTGTGAGAAATTTAAGAAATTAACAAAAAACATCCGGTAGCCGCGTGGGGTTGCGAGACTAACTAAAAGAAATTAAAGAAAGCAATGAAATTAATTAATTTCTCTGGCTTTTTAATTGCTAAGCCTCTCTGTGAGAAATTAGAGAAATTCAAGCAATTAACCATCCTCTTTAATTTCTTGATTTTCTGGGCCTCTTTAAGCCTTCGTGCATCTTTATCGCGTTCCCTTTTCTATTCCCTTACTTTCGCGCTGAAACCATCACCCTTTCTTTCCCTTAATTTCCCCATTCATCCCTTAAAGAAAGGGACGCCTTCAAGATGTAGGAAGGATTTTTCATATAGTTGTGTGTACAATGGCTTGGTACAAGCGCTCTAATTTTCAAGAAGCTGTTTTGCATGTAATGTGTGTCACGAGTTTGCTACGTTCATGGAAAGACTATGCAA